GCTAGCCTCAGCAAAAAAATGCATTTTTTCTCCCTCAAAAAAAATCTACATTTTTTACGGCCACGACTTTTTTCAATTTTAGGGGCACGCCCCATACAAAAAAAATTAGCTTCTCGTTAATGGTGATGATCATGTGCTATACTATCTTTTATATGTTTATAATAATTGAAAATTAAATTTGATATGGTATTAATAGGTAAGTTATATAATATTCATGACTAGAATAAGAAAGAATCTTTACATTGAGGTATAATGATATATTGCAGACTAGATATGACTCTTATATACCTTATACAAAATTCTTATACACGTACAACTCATTAATTAATCATATGGTTTTGAAATAATGAATCTGTGACTGATTAATGATTGTAATTACTTTTTTAAAACGTCTTGATCAATATGTTATATATAATTTGTAGTTTGCAATTCTCCTCCTTTTCATCTTGAGATCCAGCTGAGCTAGAATCAACATGTATAACTTGTATATCTTAATTGAATCTTCATATTAATGATTATAGTCAATCTCTAAATTAGATGTTGTGATCCCATATCCCATGACGTTTGAACATTCAGTGAATCAACTATATCAGATTAGGGATAAGCAACAGGGCCCCCAACCATTTCCAGTTTCTGATGAACCGACAACCACCGGTATTTATAACCTTTTATACCCGTAAACAATTTGTTCATCTTATTTAAAAATGGTTATATTGAACAAATTCTTATTGAAAAGAAGACATGTGATTGAAGAAGATGGGTTGTACTGTTGAACAATTGTTGAGCGATGGACTGTTAATCAAGAAATTTGTGATATAAATTGAAGTTCATATCCTATTTTTTGAATTGGGATGTATATCAATCATTGAAGACGAAAGAGGAAGGGTGAAACTTTGTTATATTACTGAAGGAATCTGGTGATATTGATAACATTAATCCTGTTGATCCATAATTCAAGTAAGATCAGTAAGATCAAAAGTATTCAAACAATGGAAACAATTGGGTTCATTGGTGCTGGTTTAATAGGTGGTGGTATTGCTCAATTAGCAATCAAAGGTGGTTATAAAGTTTTATTAACAAATAGTAGAGATCCAAAATCATTAGATCCAATTATTAAAGAACTTGGTGATAACTCAAGAGCTGGTTCTTTCAAAGATCTGATCACTGATGATATTAAAATAATTGTATTATCTGTTCCTTTGAAAGCTATCCCAAAGATATTTGAAACCGGTGAGATTAAAGATAAAATCATTCTGGATACTTCAAATTATTATACATTTAGAGATGGTCAAATTAAAGAACTGGATGATAGATTATTAACAACATCTGAATATGTTTCTCAATATATTGGTGAATCAAATAAACTTGTTAAAGTATTCAATAACATTGATGCTATACATCTAAGAATCAGTTCAACAAATGATTTATCAAGACAAACAATCTTACCAATTTCAAGTAATGACGTTGATGCAAGACAATTAGCTACAGACTTCATTCAAAAAATTGGGTTTAAAGTCTTGGATGTTGGTGGACTTTCAAATAGTTGGAAATTTGAACCACATACACCATTTTATCTAACACCTTATATACCAAAATTCCCAGAAAATTTAGATCATGATGATTTGAAATCTGCTTTCCAAAGTTATCCATCACCTTCATTAACTGTTGAAGATGGAATCATTTTATTGAACTCAGCTACAAGAGATGGACCTGTTGGTGGTAGTATTGATACTACACCTGAATTGGTATTGGAAGTTATGATTGATTGGTATAAAAGAGCTAAAAGGGCAAAATCAAACAATTCCTCAGTTTTGTAAGCAGATTTGATTGGAATTGTTGGTATAATGAAAGTTTTTATAGCATTTACATACACTAATATATGTTTTTGCAGGCTTAAAATTAGTAGTTCAATAAGTTTATATCAACGCCGTCGGAAATTAGTACCGGGATTAGTAATTAGTACATCAATATGAGCCATATATATTTATTCAAATCGTGTACCTAAAAACTATGATGTAAACTTACAAATACTTGTGCACAGACACAAAATTGAGTCTAAAATTTCCTTAAACTTGTGCCTTACATTTAGTCTTTACACAATCTAATCAGTTGATTTGATTTGATTTTCAAGTTTGTTAGTACATTCAAAAGTTGCTTTGGACTTTGCGCAATTGTATGGGTATAAAAGGGGATAGATATCACTTCATTCAGTTCTTGATCTTACCAAAGTTGTACACAAATTAAGAGAAAACTATATCTATATTACTATAAACAAATATGGTACAAACAATTGGATTCATTGGTGTTGGTCAAATTGGTGGCGGTGTCGCTAAATTAGCTGTTAATGCTGGTTATGATGTTGTGTTGAGTAATTCAAGAGGTCCAGAATCTTTAGCAGATGTTGTTAATGATTTAGGTCCAAAATCAGATTCAAAAACTTTTAAAGAAATTGCTAATGATGAAAACATTGATATTGTTGTTTTATCAATACCATTAAAAGCTATTGAAGATCTTTTACCATCATCAGGTTTGAAAAATAAATTAATCCTTGATACTACAAATTATTATGCTGATAGAGATGGGAATGTTGCAGTATTAGATAATAAAAAATTATTAACTAGTGAATATGTTGCAAAATTTTTAGATAAGTCTAATAAATTAGTTAAAGTTTTCAATAATATTGGTGCAATTCATCTTAGAAGTGCTGCTACTAAAGATCCAAACTCTCAAACAACATTACCAATTGCAGGTGATGACTCAAATGCAAAGGATCAAACAACAAATTTCCTCAATAATATTGGATATCAAGCATTAGATGTTGGTAAATTAGAAGATAGTTGGAAATTTGAACCAAATACACCAGCTTATGGATGGCCATATATTCCAAAAGTTCCAAAAGATCTTAATGAAGAAGATCAAAAGAAGTACTATATTACACATGTTGCAGAACCAGTCTCTAAAGATCAATTGAAAAAGATCATTGATAGTGTTAGTTTTGAAGATCATAAACCAAGTGGTTCATTTGATGATTATCCAAAATTTGTTGGTGATGCATTGGTTGAGATGTATAGAGAAGCTGAAAAAATTAAAGCTGCAAATTCATCAATTGTGTTTTAAGCGATTAGCTACTTAATTTATAGCATCAGATAGATTCTGTTTAGTTATATTAATGAAGATTATGCCTTATTTTGAGAAATATTTATTGCCCTGATGTAGATCTGTAGTAGATGAGAATATTCAGGTTTTGATTACAAGTTTTGATTATACGTCATAAAATTCATTCATATATTAATTCATTATACTTCAACTATAGAACTTTTTTCTTGTTCAATAAAACAACCTAATCCCATAAAAGCTTCACTTAAAACTCTATCATAAACTTGTTCAGCTTTGAAACCTGCTGCAATATAATCCTTCTTTTTCTGTAATTCATCAATAAATGGATCATAATACTCTTCTGATGGATTAAAATTCTTGACAAGTACTCTATCACCATTGAATGGAGTGAAAGGTACTGTATTTGATTCTTGTTGTTCTTGAGGGTTTCCTTTTGAATTTAATGATTTGATGATTTCATTCAATTGTTTACGTCTTGCTGAAGATCTTTTCAATGTTGATGATTTGATTTGATTAATCATTTGATTTGGATCCTGTGAAGTTGATAGTTTATTCAGAATTTCTCTCTTTGCCTGTTCATTCATTTCTTTTTCTTCTTGTTCAATTTGTTTTTCAAGCATGATTTTCTTTAATCTTAATTCTTTATCTAATTCTTCTTGTTTCTTAAAATCTTCATATTCTTTTTCTCTATTATTATTATTTTCCAAAATTTTACTTTTATTATGTTCTTCATAAACTGATAATTTTGCCTCAGTTTCTTCAATATCTATTTTATTAACTAAATTGAAAATTATAGTTTCAACTTCTTCCAAATATGCATTATATTTGTCCAACTCTGTAAAATCATCACCACTTTTATTGAAAATTTGTGAAACTCTTTTCCTTATATCAACTTCTCTTTCAACATCTATATCATCAAATATTTGAGCTTTGAATTTAGCCTTTCTTAATGTTTTACCACAACCTGGATATGGACATGGTGCTGGACCTAAAGCATAAATTCTATCAACACAAGACTCACACATTTTATGATAACATTCTGGATTCACAAGAAATTTCATGTCGGGACTTAAATATCTATCTGTCTTACAAATCGGACACATATCCTGTTGCCTCTCCTCTAAATAAAGAGTGTTAGTACTTGAATAAATCTGCTTATCATCATAAAGCATACCTAGTTCAATAGCCATCTTGTGAATAGTCTCTTCAATTGTGTTGATTGTTGTTGATTAATTAAAACATCAAAAGTAAAGTAATTTAATTGAAAGCAAAATATCTTTCAAATATTTCGCGGATGAGCGTGCGCGAATCACCAGGACTTCATGGAAATTTGTTAACTACCAGGAATTCATGGAAATTTGTTAAGTACCAGGAGGTCATGGAAATTTGTTAAGTACCAGGAATTCATGGATATTTGTTAAGTACCAGGAGCTGATGGAAATCGGTGAAGTGGTACAAAGATGGGTGTGAACTACCAGGAGTTCATGAACTTTGTTAGGTTTCCATATAAAGCACTCTCTATTACAAATTACAAATTAATAAAGCTTCAAAAACAAAAATACATGATGATTAGAAATTAAAATTAAAATATATAATCTATTTTTTTAAACTGGCGTAATAATTGATCAAATCATATTCAGTCAACAATGTTTCCTCTCTATAAGCAACTCTAATATCTGGAACATTTGTCTTTTCAACATCATTACCTTCAATACCTCCTTTAGCAAAAGTTTTACCTAACCAATGTTTCTTAATATTATGCTCCCAACCTGATTGTACAACAGAATTCTTAGCCAATTCACACATATCAACATTTGATAATTTATAAATTTGTGCAGCAACTGAATATTCTTCAATTAATGGTTCTCTTGTATAAGAAAATTGTAATGGATCATCAGTTGAAAGTGAAACATTTAAACCTCTTTTGAAATAATATGGGAATGGATTTTTATCGTATGTTAAAAATAATGCATTATTTGATAATGGTGACATTGCAATACCAACTTGATCTAAATAATATAAATATTGAACAAATGGAATCTTTCTTAATAAAATACCATGTGAAATACCTTCAGATGTTAAATATGCACTGATTAAATGTTCTGGATCACCAGCTTCACCAGAATGTGGTCTTAAGACAAATGTATTAAAACCTCTTTTTGATCTATAATTATTTAATTGTGCTAAATTAGCATAGATGTAATATAAGTAATAAGAATATGGTGGATTTTGTGAAGCATCCCATAAACTTGGAATTGGATATTTCTTATGGAATCTTCTATCAATTTTAGATTCATCATCAACTGAGTCAAATCCAATAACTCTTTCCAAAAAAACATGTAATTTTGGATATTTACCTGGATTTTGACTTACTTCAAATAAAGGTTGAAATAAATTCTTAATAACTTCTTGGAAATTTGAAACAAGACCTGATTTCTTATAAATATCATATAATCTTGGAACTTGAATTAACCATCTAACATTATGACTTAATAATTTATTATCAATAACCCAAGCAGCTAATTTTTCCCATTCATCAATTGATCTACCATAAATTGAAATTCTATATTCACACATTTGATATTTGGAATTTTCTAAATCACTGAAAACTTGTTTTGTTATATCTGCTAAATATTCACCTTTTATATAATTATCTGTTTTCAAGAAAATTTCTCTTAATCTGGATTCACCAATTGGATTATATTTTAAATTAAATTTATCAAATCTATGAAATGTATCCTTATGAGCATGCATATCCAATGTATCGATAGATAAATCATAAGCTGACAAATTCAAAGATTTGAAAACTTCATCTAATGTCAAGACTTTACGATCTCTATAGATGACTTTTTCATCTGCATTATTTTTAATCTTATGTTTAATGAATCTTAATAAATGTTTTTGATTCATACAAGCTGAATGATGAACATGTGTATCAACTTTTCTAACATTATAAAAATCTCTATGTGGATTTTTTTTAGAAACTGAAGTTTCTTCATAATCATTTAATAAATAATATAAATTCCATCTTGCTTCTAAATATTGTAATCTTCTGAAAGCAAATGATTTTGCTGGACCATCTGATGAAATTGCCACAATTTTATCTAAATCCATATAGTATTCTTTTAATGATGGAACATCAATAATCTTAGATCCTGTTGAAGCGTCATGAAATTCAAAAACATCATCACTATTAAGCTCAAAAGTTACAGATTCATCAGCTTCTGGAATCTTGACATTATCCATACTGAAGACCTTGGAATCTGGTTGAACAGAATCTGGTAAAATTTGTTTATTATTATAGGTTGGTCTTGGGGGAGGTGGATAGATTTCCCAATCTTCTTGGTTTTTAGGATTTTGTTCTGGTAATTGTAATGAAGTTTTTTGATATTTGGATCTAAGATCACGACATTTTTTAATATTTGCATATAATTCAATTAATTCAGGTGATGGAGTTTGGTTTGATTCATGATCATGTTCATTGATAGAACCCAATTTATATGATGTTGATAACTTTGTAGCTGGCTTGTTACCATCAACACCTTCAGCAGATTCTTTATATTTGGCAGCCAAAGATTCACTACTTGGTTTCAAAGATGGTGGAGGTGGTGGATGACTGAAATGAGCAGATGATGATCTTCTTGATTTCTTCTTTTCTGAGTCTGGTAATGGGATTTCTTGAAATGCTTTGAGCTTAGCATCTTGATCATGGATAGTCTTATCTTCCATATAAGAGAAATTAGCTGATAGAGCTTGGTTTACTTTATCAAATTCACCATCAGAATCACTAATATCATCTGGGAAAACATCCTTGTTGTTATCTTCAACTCCATTACTGCTAACTTCCTCGTCGTGGAACAAAGAAGAGCCAGTCGTATGATCGACCGATAAGTTGGAAAGATCCTTACTGAGATTCATTTCTATTCTATAATCTCTGTGATATTAGTAGTTAATACTCAATTGGAACTCCAGATCTTGATTTTTGCTTATATTTGTGATGTTCTTTAAAAGGTGTCAACGTTTTGAAGATTTTAAATTTTATAAGCACTGGCACATTCGCGGAATCGCGGACGATGTAATCAGCTACACCTGCGAGCCGCCGCGGAACTCGTTTGATTTACCCTGTGTTCATATAATGTATAATAGTAAAAGCTAAATAAACTAAATAAAACGCTAGAATTTTTATGATCTTTACAGGTCAGAGACTTGATAGTAACTGATCTAAGTGGGATTAATGCTTGCAATCATCACAACATCAGTTGGGCAATTCAACAGCTTTTTTGACCACATTAGCCAGCTTCAATACTTTTTCCTCACCAAATCTTTCCAATACAACTAACTGGACACTTGCATTAGCACCATGATAAAATTCAGCGTCATAACGATCATGATTATCTTGATCATCTTCATTTAAAGGCTTATAAGTTTCATCCTTCAAATCAATCTTAGAATCAGCTTTTGTAATAGGAATTTGCACAGCTGGTAAATCTAAGACATTGAACTGCTTGGAATAATCACCGTTGAATTTTGGAGATTCACCAAGCTTAAGTGCACAAAATTGCCATCCTGGTGTTAATAAACCATCAATTGGGCGATCTGTATTAGTTTGTGCTTTTGTTGATAACCAATAATCATTAATGATTTGTTGAAACTTATACCTCTCAGCTACTAGTGACCAGTATTCAGCAGCTGATGTTATACCTTCATGTCCTAGGAAAACATATTCAACTGGCTCACCTGATTTATTAGCTTCATCTTTGACTTCTTTGAATCCATCAATTTTGAAAACATCCCATAAAAGTTTGTACAAATCCGTATTTACAATTGGTGGATCCCACTCAATCAACTCATGGCCTTGGCTCAAAAGCGATTTCTTAACCATTTCTAATGCACGAATAATTGGTGGATGTGGTTTTATTCCAGTAGACTCCCAATTCATTACTGCAAATGTTAACTTTTCAGGTATTTCAATATTTGTTTGCCATTTTAATGGTGGAACTTTTGGGTCTTTTATCCACTGGATCGATTCATCACCTAAAATGTGCTCCCCAAAATAAACTAAATCTTCCAATCTATAAGCCATAGGTCCAATCGTTGAAGCAATAACTTCTTGGTGCTGAAATGAGTTCAAAACCTTCATATAACTAAACCTGTTAGTGGTTGGTCTTAATGACCAAATACCGTTATGAGCTGCTGGACATCTTAGACTACCACCAATATCAGTACCAATTCCCAAAATACATGCTTTGGCTTGAATAACAACACCTTCACCACCACTTGAACCACCAGGTGCATAGTTTCGATTAAGCGAGTTTTCTGTATAACCATAGGCAGTTGAATAGGTATCGTAAGATAACATGGCCATTGGAACCGTTGTCTTCATATATAAAAGAGCACCCTGTGAGCGTAGTTGCTGGACTAATAATGATTCCTGATCTTCATCTGTGATTACATCAAATAACTTATCAACGTATCCAATTGAAGTTGCAACTCCTTTAACATTTAATTGATCTTTTAGTGAGAATGGAATACCATGGAATGGACCAATGAGTTCCCCAGTCTTGATCAAATAATTATCTAACGATTCAGCTTGTTTATAAGCATGATCAAGAAATAACTCTGTACAACAATTTGTTATTTGATGAACTAATACAGCTCTATGAGTGAAGGCTTTCGCAATTTCCAAGGCAGTTAATTTCCTATCCAATTGGTTTTTTAATAACTCTTGTAGTGTATAGTTTGTAATTTCAATTTCCCTTGGTGATAATAATCCATATTCAGGGGATTCGATATACTTATTCACATTTGGCTCTTCACTTGGGGATTTGACATCCTTAATGATCCATTCTTTAGGGATCTGATCTTGTAAGAACTGTTTCTTCTTAGCAACTGTTTCCTTGTAAGACATTATTCATTAAAGCTTTTTGTAAACAAAATTTATTAAGTTATGAACATGGTACGTTACTGAAGAAAAATTGGCGAATTTATAGGATTTGAAGTTGGGTTTATCTTTTATCTTTTGGTGAAACCCAACCGAAGATCGTATATCGGAAGTTTGTAACTATTGTTTCTCTATTATTACCAGATACATAAATCCGATATATGATTTGACCGTTGACGTGTATTAAATAGTTACATATAATCTATCTACAAGTAGTCATACGAATATCAAAATATATTAATAAATAAATGGTTCGGAGATGATTATATAGTGTTACTGATAATCTCAGAAAGCTGTTTGAAACTCTCTTTCCAATCTTTTAGCAACAAGTTGGATGAATTCTTCAGTCAAGACATAACTATCTCTACTAGTTTCACCTCTTGCCAAAGCTAAATCTTTGGTCATTTTACCATCAACTTGAACGGTATCCAATGTAGCTTTTTCAACTAGCTCACCAAATTTAACAACATCTGGTGTATTATCCAATTTCCCTCTTTGAATTAATCCTCTTGTCCATGCAAAAATTGAAGCAATTGAATTTGTTGAAGTTTCTTTACCTTGTTGATGTTGTCTATAATGTCTTGTCACTGTACCATGTGCAGCTTCAGATTCAAACGCCTTACCATCTGGTGTCATTAGCACTGAAGTCATCAAACCTAATGATCCAAAACCTTGAGCAACAATATCTGATTGGACATCACCATCATAATTCTTCATGGCAATGATGTACCCACCACGAGATTTAAGCATTTGTGCAACCATATCATCAATAAGACGATGTTCATACCAGATTCCAGATTCTTCAAATAATTGTTGATATTTTTTCTCATACAAATCTTCAAAAATATCTTTAAAACGACCATCATATTTTTTCAAAATTGTGTTCTTTGTTGTTGAGTATAAATTTAATTTACGTTCTAATGCTAGTTTAAAACTTGATTCTGCGAAATCAGTTATACTAGCATCAGTATTATACATTGATAGAGCAACACCTGCACCTGGGAATTGGAAAACTGGATACTCTTGAGTTTCACCACCATCTTCAGGCTTGAAAACTAGAGATAATTCACCGGCTTTTGGAACAATTATATCTGTAGCACGATATTGATCACCGTAAGCATGTCTCCCAATAATGATAGGTTGTTCCCATTGTGGTATGATTCTTGGGATATTTGGAATAACAATTGGTTCTCTGAAAACAGTACCACCCAAAATGTTTCTAATAGTACCATTTGGTGATTTCCACATTTTTTCCAATTTGAATTCTTCAACACGAGCTTCATCAGGTGTAATAGTGGCACATTTAACAGCAACACCATATTTCAATGTGGCTTCTGCTGAATCAATTGTAACTTGATCATTGGTTTCATCTCTATAAGTAACTGATAAATCATAATATTTCAAATCAATGTTCAAGAATGGTAAAATTAATTTTGAACGAATCAATTCCCAAATGATTCTTGTTTGTTCATCACCATCCATTTCCACAATTGGATTCTTAACTGTTATTTTGGCCATTTTGTACGATTATGATCACAAACTAATTACTTATGATTTCAATTAATTGTGGTTTAAGCAATTCAATTCCAAGAGTATATAACTGGGGAAATCCATCTCTTTATATACTGAAAAGCCAAACTTAAAATTTGATGTTCGATCCGGGGTAAACCCGCCAAGAGGAAATGTCAAATAGAGGTTTTTTACTATGGGAACATACTTTATTACATAAGCAGAGAAAAAAAATACATAGTATTTCCCCCAAAAATTTAAAAAAATTAACCATTTTAAAACACAAATTTATCCACTTTAGAGGGTGTATGACTTTAAAACAAGAGCATATATGGATACAACCAGCTCCAGGCTATCGAATGAGCCCCCTTTCATACGTTTTTGATTATCTACCTTAGACTTATTTTGATTTTTTGTGATATTACATAAGCAATTCATACTTTACTACTGTTAAAGAAAAACCTCTATTTGAAAAAGGCTCACCCGCCAAATGGGTCATCGAAATCGCGTAAACCAGTAGTAAATTACTACAGAACAAACTGATCTAAACTGCGTAACTACTTATCAGACTCATTAAAGGTTCACCACTTGAAAACGCCCCAATCTTTTAGTGTTAATTGCAATAATTTGTGATGCTTATATGCTTATTTTACCTCTTTCCTGATTGTCGGGTCCTAGTCGGAGTCACCACAATACAGAAATTATACCGGTGTTCGGTTGAATGCACTCATACTTAAGAGATAAGTATATAGGAAAACTCAGGACTACGAAGGATACCGTTTTGGTTATTTTAGGCTGGTGTAATGTTTATTAAGCGGCCAGGAACAAATCGGATAATCAATTGCAAATGTTAGATGATGTCTATCTCTCTTTATAGAATGGAATATCACCCAACATATCATATGGTGAAGTATCTCCTATCAATTTATCAAAATTCATCAAATTATAGTTATCCTGTTCATTTCCTAACATAGTAACAGCTTGTTGATCACCACTCAAACTACCTAACCCATCATTGAATATATTATTACCGCTAATCATTTGTAACCATAATCTATCAATTTCAATATTTGACAAATCTGTATCTTTTGTATAAATTCCTGATGTACTATTTGAAGCTGGTGTTGAATTCATTGATGATGTGTTTACTCCATTTTCTGAAATATTTGAAGGGTAATTGAAACCTGGAGTTGTTGGATTTATTGTTGTTTTACGATTTTTCAATTTATTTTTCAATGATACTTCATAATGTGAATATTTTAATGCTGATAATAGAGCTTCCAATTCATTGATTGACATTTCATTCAATTCATTTCTTTGTGGTAAAGCTTTGAAATGATTTACCTCATCAGCTACAGATTCACATTCTTTGTTTATATCACTTGTTCTATCGAAAAGATTATTTGACTCATTCTGTAATAAATTATAAATCACGTTTTGAGATTTACTTGTCCTCCATGATTGATAATAAGTTGAACTTAAAGAGTTGAAACAATCTTTAACAATCTTTGATTTGCGTTGAGTTTCTTCATGAATTTGTTGAATAATCATTGATCTTGGTTGTTGTTTGGGATAATTATATTTATAATCCAAACATCTTGCCCAAAAACTTTTCAAAATTTGACATATTTTTTGTAATGAAACCAATATATAGGGAGTTAATAATAATTGTGCACCAAATCCAAATAATTCATCAAAATAATTAGTTTTACCATTATTCATTGTTGTAATTAATAAGCTCATAGGTAATAATTCAACACAGATATCGAAGACTTTGATCAAACTTGAAAACCTACCAGATCTTAAGTAAATATGATAATGAATAACATAAAGTGCAGTTCTCAATTCAATACATGTCTTTAGTTTGAAAGTTTTGTTAATTTCATCGAAAACATTATTGATTTCTAAATTTATAATCCAACTTGTTGTACCTATATTTTCCACGGTATAATTCTCTAATTTCTGGATTTTGGGCAGTAATTCTTCTAAAACACAAGGTTCTTTCAGATTTAAAATATCATCCAAAATTCCTCTGACAAGCTCATTGATTTCATTATTTGTTTTAAAAGATTCAACAACAGCTTTCCAAATATTATGATCCATTAATGTATTGTTTTTTACATTGTCTTCTAGCCTTGGTAAGTCTGTATCAAAACAATTTGAATTCACTAAAAATGGATTCCCCATATTCAAGCTTTGAGTTAAGTCTAAAGTAACAATCTCATGCCAAACCATTCTCCATAGATTGTGTAACCTTAACTCATGTTGCAATAGTTTTGAGTGTTTCATATCACGATTTAATCCAATCGAACTACCCATTTGTAATAATAGTCCTAAAAAGGCTTGACTATCACCACCATCAGATCCATCACCGTCTTCCGGTGCATATTTATGATATAATCTCATGAATAATGAACATTGTAGCACTGCTAATGAACCTCTTCTCAACAACTTGAATTGATTTAAACACATCTGAGCAGCGTTTATAAATTGGATACCTATTGGGTTTGATAAAATATAAATCTCTTCTGAAGTATTATTTGATTTTGGGGTTGTACTTAAATAAGTTAATCTCATAATAATTAATAACATTCCTAGATACGAAAAATCGAATCTTGATGCAACTTTGATAACATATTTTGTATTGTCATTCTCATCTTTATTGATACAATATGATAATCTTTCTCTAAGTTTTTCTTCAGTAACAAATGGTATGAATCCAGCTAGAGTTGATCTGAAGAATTTATCCACTAATAACCAAACTAATTTTTCCTCTGGTAAAAGATTTTGAATTTTACATAAAGTATCACGTTCAGAACCTGGAATATGCAATATTTGAGTTTCTTTACGTTCAGTTGTACCTTTAACTTCATCTAATCCTTCATTCTCCATTAATCGCGTCTTGAAAGCTAAGTCTGATTTTGCATCATTTGAGGCATCATCAACAATCAATTGTTTTAATAATTCTTCTGGTTTGAAATTTAAATGACTTATTGGGGCTAAATTATTTCTCTCTTTCCGCATTTTGAGCAATGTGACTCTTAAAAAGGGATCCCTTTGAATTAATGAACTTAGTGATAATGGTGCAGAGGCAATCAATCTACCAGCTCTAATGCTTATAGGTTCATTGGAATCATAAAATGAAATTTCTGTAACTTCATTTGGAACTGATCCAGAACTATTTGGAATTATAGGAGAGTCACCACCTCTTAAATTTGACTCAGTGAAATTAATTTTTTCACTTAATCTAAAGCTTTGATTTGATTGATTTGAATTTGAGCTGAAACTATTTGAGAATTTTAAATTTGGATCAATAAATGAGTATTGATTTCTAACATCTGGATACTCAGGTGTATTACTAGACCTTGATGATTTGTTGTTTGGATCTATATATGAAGATCCAGCTGCTAGTCCTGTTTGTTGCTTGTCTAATTGGTTTGAATGGGATGATAGAGGTGTTGGACTAGGTTGGGTTTGAGGTAAGTTAATATGAGCCATGGGGGTACTAGCAGCATTCATATAATCAGCGCTTGTAGATATTTTCCCTGCTTTATCCCATGAAGGCTCCTGATAAGTGCAGAGATCTGTGGAGTTGTGCTTTAGACAAACATTACAATGTGGTCTATTCTTATCACACTAAAATTAAACTTGTTAGATTGAGCTCATTGTAATACTGCAGCCACCATACCCACCTTAATTTTCTTCTTCCGACACTGAGAGCATGATGTCACGAGTCTTTGACGCTTCTTTGGTGGACCAGAGTTATTCTGGAAGGATATCTGGGACATCATCTTTGTAGTTAGCAGACGCTTGTGTCTTTTTCTTCTCTATTGTTTACAAATGTTTATTGCAAAAGAGAAGGAAAAGGTTTTTTCGTTGATAAATCCAAATCGGGAAACTCGTCCTTGTCAAATTTAATTTTGAAAAGTAGAAAATGAATTCGCGAATGATAATGAGTCTTTTCAAAAAATATTCTTGGCTTTACTTTTCTATAAACTAATATTAAAGTCATTTATTCATCAAATTAATTTGTTAAAGATACCTTGAATTGATTTGTTGATTGTTTTGTTCAAGCTGATATGAACTCAGAAGCACCAGAAAATGAGGAGTCTTTAAGCCATATCCTTCCCGAGAATCATAGCACAACAGAATCAAAACAAGATAAACTTCCCATTGATTCTAAACAATATGAAAACCAACCAAAAGCTCAAAATAGAATTCTAAAAGAACTCAAACTATTATCTATCCTTACGTTTTTTGCTATAATAGGTGTCCTAGCTAGAAAGGGTATCGTGGTGCTAACAACTTATGATGGTGTTTATGTCGGAGGTATAATATGGGCAAATTTTACATCATGTATAATCATGGGTATGTTGATTCAATCCAACAAGGCATGGACTGGTAGAGGCCCCAAAGCATCACAACCATTATATACAGGATTAACTACTGGATTCTGTGGTACCTTTTCTTCTTTTTCTTCACTTATTTTAGAAAGTTTTGTTAAATCGGCAAATATTTCCATTGGGAAAAATTATAATTATCCTAATGGTGCTTATGGTATAATGGAATTTGCGTCTGTTATAATTACACAAATGAGTGTTTCTATCGCTGGCTTACATTTTGGGAAACATTTAATTAAACAATATGACCCCATCTTACCCTATTATAAAGTTTTAGAAACTTCTATTGTCATTTTGGGTATCTTATCATGGATTGCAGTTATTTGTCTTATAAGTATTAAGAACTGGAGAAGTTGGATCTTTGCATGTATTGTTTCACCAATTGCATGTTGGACTCGTTACTATGCTTCTAAATATTTGAATCCAAAGATTAAATCATTTCCTATGGGGACATTTTTTGTTAATATCTTTTCAACATTCATAATGGCCATATTGAATTTATTAAATAGAGGTAAATTACCAAATGGATCAGGTAGAATTGTTAATAGTGTGCTATCATGTCATATGATACAAGGATTAGAAGATGGTTATTGTGGTACTTTATCTACAGTTAGTACATTTGTGGTGGAACTTTATACAATAAAATCACCAAAAAGTTATAGATATGGATTTATTAGTATTATTGTGGCATTCATTATGATGTTATTGATTTTGGGTTCTTATAATTGGACCAATGGATTAACAAATCCTCTTTGTTCCTAAATTTTTATTTATGAGTTATATTATGTTAGTAAATATTCAAAATAAAATTTGATTAGTTGTGAAACTCACAAAGATGTAGCAAAAGAGCCATCTACTTAAGGTCAAGAAAGCTTTAAAATCATCAACCGACTTCAATCTAAATCGCATCATACCTCTCTAGTTCTAGTAGATTCAATTCCAAAAAAAGCTTAAAGTGAATGGAAATTTGAATTATCTTGAATCCGACGTGAACTATAATCACCTTATAACTCACTGATCCCAGTATCTGATTTACAAAACCATTGAAAATCTGTGTAAGACAACGTAAAGTTTAACAGACAGTTTAACAATGAATTGCTCATACTAACCAGGCCCTTCATCATAGAGGCATTCAACCCCTAAGTCACCCGCTTAAATAAAACATCATTCTAAAAATAAACTTTCAAAGTACAACCAACAATAGACATCCTCATAGCCATAAATGCAAAAAGTTGGCCCATATGACGTACCACTTAAACTCAAAAGAATATACATATCAAGTCAACCATACCCGTTAACCTATTTAATAAACTTTCAATCATGAGCACCAAGGATTTAGAAACACAACCATTTCATAAGATCGATCCTTTAGTAGACAATTTCATCAATAATGTTGGGAACGACTTTTATTCTTTTTGAAATTTAAGACATGGGAATAAGAAAAATAATCGTTTGAAAAAAGAACCAATCATAAAAAGGTCAAACTATTAAAAGTTTCCAATTATGATTACCGAAGCATAGGGCTATAAATTTTTCAATCATAATTATGATTAAAATTATAGATGAAAAAGAAGCATTTTGGATTTCCTCAAATCAAGAGGGGCCCCCAAAAAATCAAATCAAAATGGATATAAGTGACCAAAAGTTTTATGCTTCTAAATTCAAAATGAAGAAATGAAATTATGAACATAAATGATCAAAATCCGGGATGCGCCAAAGAAACCATATTATAGAATAAAATGTTTTCAAAAATTATAAGAAACAAATTTCTCACGACCTTGATAGCATTTCCTTTTGTAAAGTTTCAATGTATCCTAGATCATTAAGTCAGTGTATTTCGATCCCTCAGGAAACAGAAAATACCAAACTTTCAACATTTAATAAATTTAGACCCTTAACTTGATCATCCAATTTTTGAATTGATATATGCCAACTATTTCAATCTATATCCATTACTGGGTGGTGTCTGGGTAGACCTGACCAACAATGACAACTGCAATGGATTTGATCTGATCTTATGTTGAAAATGGTATATCCCTTCATTCTAACCCAATTGATTTCCAATCCATCTAAAGATTTGAATATAATTGATGATAACTTTGGTTGAAAAACCAGCAATTCCTTAGTGAGTATGAATATCAAAAAGCTGTAACTTCTTGCGACTAATATTGGAAGAGTGGTATGAATGAAGAAAAAGACATTCAACTCCCTTATAAGTCAAGTAGACGACCTTGGAGAAGAAGGTATAAATGGTAAGTTAGTGCCATCTTTTTTCGCGTACCATTTTTTATAGGCTTTTAAAATTTCGTGTCTTGGTGAAGTTTGAAATCAAAACAAAAGACAATCTGAGAAATCTATAAATCATAGAAACATCAACTAAAGAACAGAACAAAAAAAGATTTAAAGATCCATAAATCAAGAATCATAGGCTTATCATCAACAAGTCATTCATCTCACAGCTTTTTTTTTGCCAAATAGCCACATTTTATGGTACAGAATGAGTCTCAGTGACGAGACCATTAGTCAAGAACCAACCGCTGAATCACAAGATGATCTGAGACCTTTGGATTTTGAAGTGCTGGACTCAGAAGATGAAGAAGATGGTGAAGATCCGTTCAAAACTTTACAAAGGAAAAAAAGAGCTGCTACGGAACCAGTACAACAATCAATAGAAGAATCTTCAGTTGAACAGAGCGGTAAAAGACCCAAGACTGCACCAAATTTAAATAAGAAACCAAAAGATTTAATGAGTATTTTACTTCCAGATAATTATGAAGGATCTATGATGATATCAGATTTCAGTATCTTACAAGAATCAACTCAATTGACAAGTATGGTTAGTGCTGGTAATGGTAGAAGTGGGAGTCGAGATAAACCACATGATATAGATTCAAATGATATTAAAACCGTTTTGGAAAGTGATGAAACAGTGGATGAGGTCAGTCAAGATCAAGGAGATGAACCACTGGAAGCTATAAGTCACAATGAGTTTCTGGAATCTGTCAAAGAATCATCAAAGAAGAAAAGTATTGGTGAATTACTGGATGAATCTGACAATGAATCTGTGAAAAATGAGGATAGGGATGGAAATAAAGAAACAAAAAATTATGATATATCTTATGAGGATGTTGAAATTGAGGATGAGGGGGAAGAAATTGAAGAAGTAAACGGGGAAGAAAGTGATGAAAGTGACGATGATTATAAAGAAAAAGAAGAAGAAAATGAACAAGACAAGAGACAAGGTGAAGATATACAGGATGAAATGAAACCAAAATCAATCCCAATATCAGAACCTATTACAGATCATCAGGACAAAGATCATAACAACGATACTACTTCTGATCATGACCTCAATACAAAAACCAATGATACGTTACAACAAAATCAAATAATCAATGGAAGCCCTAACTTATCTCCATCACCTAAAAAAACCAATACAGAACAACAACAACAACCCACCAACTTTAAAACTATACAGGATCCGCAGCCACAACCACAACCACAACAACGACCACTTAAAAGGAAATCTACATTGGCTGAATTATGTTCAAGAAATTCACCAGTTCCAAGACGAGTTGGACTTTCCAAAAGAGCAAATGTCAACCATTTACATTCCTATCTTTCCAAGAAATAACACCACGCATAGCAGCTCACTTAGCTACAATAAGAAATATGCTTACGAATTTATGACCACACCAATTCTATAATGAAGTAATTTAATTAATTGCATTTTTAATTTAATTTATTGTAACAAAAATTCGCTTGTACTCTGTCAACACATCGTGTCACTAAACTCATTTTTCTCGATTGTACAAAGTTCAAACATTTCAAAAAAAAATCAAAAACTTTTTTTTTCATTGTTTCCTTCTTGTTACTTTTTCCTTTTCTTCATATATTCAAACACCTAGCTACATTGACTATATATTGGACTTCTTCTACCGTATATGGACTCATTCTTCTAGGTTAGATTAAATTGAATCTTGTAAGTTCAGTTGTAAACCTTTTTTCATCTATAGGTTTTTAACTCTATAACACTATTCACATTTTAATTTACTAGTATGGGTAATTTTTTTTATAGGATCATAAATAAATGCTTATTCAAATTTAACAAATTTCAGAATTGTAAACAACCAAGATCATCAGACTTCTAATGTGATTTTTCATAAAATGATGCTAGTAAGAATTTGAATGAGATGATAATAAAGATGTTGATGAAACAAAAGGCCACCATATCTACAGATTCATCACTGATAGCTTGTTACTTTCTGATATTAAGCCAACAATAACAAGATGAGGATCAAAAGAGCAATTTAACTGGTATTTCAATACCATTCCCAAATGAATATACACAGTTTTTAAAGATATGAAGCTAATTAAATTGGATATATCAAATATTTTAAAAGGGAAGTACCACGAAGAATTAAACAAAATTCAAATGAACCACAGAACGACAATGGAAATTATGATAAAACTTTAGCAGCTAGCAACTATTTTTGATGGGAAGTATGTCGTTATTAGGTCACCTGATGATGATGATAATGATGATGGTGCTGATAGCGAGACTTCTCTGATAACTGAAGAAAGAAAATCTGACAAACTGTTAATATCAGTGCCTTGGGCAGTCCAGAAAGTTGAGGTGTAAGTGGGGTTGACCTTGGTGATTGAGCTAAAGCAACAGAACACATAAATTAACTTGATAAACGTCGTTGTAAAATTTTAATTGTATAGAACTAATAATATCAAAATTGTAATAATCGTAATCCAACCCTCTGGTTTCACAGCTTTTTCCATGAAGCAATAATGAAGAGCAAAAGCACCTGCTGTAATTTGATTAGGAGTTTCTATTAAATACATGAACAAATAACACCAGCCAACTGCAAATCAACATACCCTTCAGCATATACGCCTTAAAACCTGATGGTAAACGAATATACATCGCGATTGTACCCCAAACAACGCATGACTCGATGAAAAATCAATTTAACAAATGTATCAATAAATAGTGGATCAGCGCCTTAACTAATTAAATAGAATCAATAGCACATATGGTCTATGGTTATCATCATTGAAACACGACGCGCGATATCAAGTGTTTATTTAAACTATATCAACCTTGAATACAAATGTTTCCTAGCTCGCCAGATTAATAACCTTCTTGGATGTATAAGTTGTATTTTAGTTAGGTTTTTCAATATCTGTATTGGATACTAAAATTGATGAATTTTCTTTGATGTAATCCATTATTATAAATCTGACCCACTTTCAAGAACAAGTAATCATAATTTTACGAGGTACAATAAAGACATACATTTCCCCTTAATAAATGGTCTTCAAGCCCACAATGTCTAAATCCCTTCATAAACTATTATGCTTATAACTTATAAAGTACAACATGATACCAATTTACTATAAGGCATTTGGTCCTCGATCGCAACAGGAAAATTATTCTTGAGAAGTCGGAATTCGCTTAATCAATCAGCCAACTTAACTACAGTTTTTGTGATACAATACGACAGCACGACTGGTAAAACAATCCTAACATTCTAATGGACAACACTCAAAGGATCAATCAACTGTTCTGTACAATCTATGAAATTTCTAAAATAATAGATTCAGAGATTCAGGAATAAATAGCCATAAGAACAATATCACGTGACATACAAATTCCGAGGTTTCGCGAATTTTACGTAATCAGATTTGTAGGAAAACCCCCAGATCAGCTTTTCAAATGCATTTTGAAACTTGTGTTTTGGGTTTTTTGGCCGTAGCTCAACAACGAAAGAAGCAGTTGAAGAGCATAAGGAGTCATATTATGGAGAGCAATTTTGTTCAGGTATACTGATTCTCAGGGGTGTTGCAGCTAGTTTACTGATGAAGTTATTACGGTATTGCCGCAAAAACGAGCGTAATGTTGAACACATAAGTGTATAGCGTTAATGAGTGGCACCATTCGATTTGCAGACCCAACATTACAATACTAATTTCCAATATGAGAAATTACGAACTGGCGTAGCTGTCGTGAAGATGGTGTTTAGTGTTTGTGTTTGTGTACTATATATTGTTCGCGGGTTTTCCTGCAATTATTCTAAACTCATATTCGAAACTCATGAAACTCATACTCGAAACCCATGCGATTATTCGAAACTCATATTCCAAACTCATGATATTCGAAACTCATATTCCAAACTCATATTCCAAACTCATATTCGAAACTCATGACACAAAATCGATTTAACGTAGTATATTGTACTCTAAATTATTCGCGATTTCTACACTGTTAACATTAGAGTTGGAACCGTTCCTACTCTTCCTTACTGGAGTTGGTACCACACCTACTCTTCTTTAATGGAGTTGGAACTGTTCCTACTCTTTTTTACTGGAGTTGGAACCGTACCAACTCTGGCTTTGTGTTTGTTAACTATGTACTCTAAATTATTCGCGAATCCCGATGAGTGTATAGGTGGAGTTCCAACTCTACCTATAGGTGGAGTACCTACTCTACCTAGGTGAAGTACCTACTCTACCTATTCTGTGACGGTGGAGTACCTACTCTACCTAGGTGGAGTTCCTACTCTACCTATTCTGGCTTTGTACAACAGTTATACTGTGATCGCGAATTCATTAAGTATGGGATGACGTAATCAGATTTGTAGGAAAACGGGCCCCAGATCAGCTTTTCAAATGCATACAAATCAAAACAAATCAAAACTTCACCATCAAAATGACAACAAATGCAACCCAACGTCACTTCATCATCAACATCAACAAAACACAACAAACAACTAGGATAAACATGCCACAATCAACACTCCCCACTGATTGGACTTCCATAAGAGCAACTCCATACAAATCAATAAATTTCGAATCAATTGATCAATCAAATAATCATTATGATGATTTTAATAAATATTTAAATAGAATTAATAATGTTGTTAATAAAATTGATAATAAAGTGGAAAAATTAGAAAATGGGTTTAATGGATTGAAAAAATGTGATAAGAATCTTGATTGGATTGATCAATTAAAGTAAATGATTATGATTAGTTGATTGGTTAAGTTAAACGCAGATGGAAAAGAATAGTTATCCATATGGGGATGTTTAATGGATAATATGGTTATACACAACTAAGATTATGATGCTCAAGAATAGACAGGATAGTTATATTACTACAACTGAGAAATGTCAGAACAAAAGATATGTTCATTAAACGTACGGTATAAAACGAAAATAAAATCAAAAACCAAAAAAAATAACACCTTAACAGTTCCATAGCAATTTCCTAATAGCATCCAAAATCATAGCAAATTTCCTTCAAATAAATACTTCTCATTATATACTAAAAAAACATAGCTCAATTATTCATAATCCAAAACCTCGTAATATAAAACCTCTTGTTATATCTGCATCACTTGATGCATGTAATTTATCAAGTTCAAATTCTCCCATCAGTGTATTAATTAAACAATCTAAAATTGCATCAATATAGATTTTACTTGATCCTTTACCTAAAACTTCATTTAATACTTCCCCAAATATTTTCCTATTTGTAATTTGTAAATTTTCTTGATTCATTGTAAATTTAACATATAATAATCCATCTGGTGTTTCAACATTAATACAATCATGCCAATCATCAAGATGAATTTCACCAAATTCAACATCATTATGATATAAATGTGGTATACCTTTTATTTTATTGATTTCTAAATCTGTTATGTTGAAAGGTGGCTTAATAAATAAATTAATATCACCATTAATAACTGGTTTATTTGTATCACCATTTTCAAATTGAAAATTCAAACGATCTAATGATACGTTATGTATTAAATTTGCAGTATCAAAATTAGAACTATAATTAAAATTGAATTCAAATGTTTTCAAAAATTCATTAATAAATCCAGGGAAATCTTTTGAACCTTTTGAATTTTTAATTTTAATTGGTAATGATTTATTATTAACAAATTCATCAACTAATATACTCATTGGACTTCCTTCATTATCTAAAGAACATTTTTCCAATAATCTTGGATTTAAATGATCAATTAATGTATTTGATTCTATTGTTAATATTTTGTCCAGAGGTGAAAGTTTAAATTTTTTAGTTGTAATAGAACCATCAATTAAATTTATTGTATTTTCTCCAAAGCAATCTTTAATTAATATATCCCAACCTAAAGAAGGTATATCAAATCCAAACAGTTTATATTTCACAGGATTGGGTACATCAACTGCAAATGAAACATTATAACCTTGATCTTGTTGATTTGAATCAAATTGTAAGTCTTTTAAATGTATATCATGATCATTAAATTGAATATATTTCCCACCTATAACATCTTGAGAAAAATCAATTTTAAATTCACCAATTGGAATATGACCTAAATGAATCTTAACAGTTGATATACCATCAACTTTAAAGATTTGATCAGGATTTTTCAAAAATTGTTTAACTAAACCTATAATTTCTTTAGTATTTGGTCTAACCATGACTAATAAGTCTAAATTAGTTTCATGACCATGTTGAATATCAATATCAAAATCTGGAATTTTAACATCACCAATATTTATTAAATTTCCATCAACTTTTGTTGTTAAATTAACAGTTTGTAAATTTATACTAGCAGTATTGAATAAACCACCACCCATTTTGAACATCTGTTTGAAATAAGGACTTTCTATACTATCATAATCCATAACATTAACACCTTTAACCCTTAATAATATACCTTGAGTACTCAGATGTTCTAATTCAACACTTTTGATATCCATCTCCACAGATTGATTAACAAATTCTTCACTTCTTGGAATCAACATTAATAAATTAATAATACAAAAACAGCCAATAAATGTAATAATCAACGACACAAGATAAATCTGTAACCTATACCTATTCTTCATTCTGTTTTTACCTTGTCTAAATTCACCTTCAGCTAACCCAGTTTCGTTATCACCATCCAAAGATCCGTAACTACCACCAATTAGTTGTTGATTATAATCAGGCGTGACTAGTCGTGTTCTTTCAGCAGCGGCAGGATTCAGTTCACTTTGTTCATCTTCATCGTGAAGACCACCGGGACCAAATGAAGACATCCTCGGTATCAAATTAAACCACCTTTACGAAAACTGTGATTTCGTTGTTTTGATTGTGTTTTTTTTGGTTTTGTGGTTGTCAATTTTAATTTTTTTGATTAAACAATGATTTTTTGCTCATCGGAAAAATTAATTTTTTTTAATTGTATGGAGAAATCGTTGTTACGGGACGCGAATGGATAAAGTATGACATATAAATCTTCAAAGGAAGATTTAAAAAAGTCAGAATTTGAAAAAGTATTTAAGCAAGGATGAGGGTAGATAATTTTATAAGTCAAAAGAAAGACTAGAAGAAGGATTATTGCTTCTTTATAGAAGAAAAGAGCAAAGAAATTGGTTAAATTAATCCGTTATTCCAAATATTTGAGATCAATACAACTTATTGTTTATATTCTTTCTTATATTTCAAATATACTTTAACAGAATAGTACCTATACAATCACAATTGAGCAACTTTAACTGCACCACCACCATCCTTAGAACTTTCAATAGCAGCAACAAAGAAAGCATAATGATGGAATGATTTCGCAGGTGTTGCTTTCAAGATAGATTTGTCATTCGAGGTAATTGCTTCATATAAGTTTTCAAATTCGTATTGGATACCTTCAGAAAACAAATCTTCTTTGAATTCAATATGTTGTGGGTTTGTTGATGTAGTTTCACCAACATAAGTATCAATTGTGATATGATCTTTATCTGTATAATCTAAATAAATTGAACCATTTGTACCATAAATAATCAATGAACTTTCAGGTTTATTGTTGGCAAACACAGTAGAGTAAGTATAAGTACCAATTGCACCACTTGCTAATTTTACACTTGAAAATAAAATATCATCATCACCTGAAATATCACGAAGTTGTCTTGTATTTGCTGAAACTGATTCTATATTACCTAAAACCTCAGTTAATAGTGCAATTTGATGAACACCACCATCTGATAAAAACCCACCAATATGTTCAGGATTTTGTCTCCATTTAGTTTGTAAGAATGGACTATTTGGATTCCATTGTTGGATAGCTTTATGGGTAAATGAAACAACATCACCAATCTTGGTTAATCTTTCTTTAATAAGTTCGATAGCTTTGAAATAAACCCATTGTTCAGCAATCAAAATTGGTACTTTAGTTGACTTATCCAGTTCAACAATTTTTTTAGCATCTTCCAATGAAGCAGCTAATGGTTTTTCAATAATGATTGGTTTACCAGCATCAACCGCTGTTTTAATAACTTGATAATTATGTTGAACAGGAACTAAAGCATCAATAAAATCAACTTGATCATCTTTAACTAGTTCTTCAATTGTATCATAAACTTTTGATCCATCAATCTTGGCTTTTTCTGCAAACTTTTCAGCTTTGGATTTGGTTCTATTTGTTGCTGAATATGGGGTGAAATGTTCAGGAATTGCTTGTAGAGCTGGTAAATGGAAATCACTGGCAAAGATACCTGTACCGACGAACCCGACTTTCAATGGTGCCATTATAATATGTGTGTTAACTGTTGCTTTACAATTGTGTATGATCTGAGGAGATAACAATTCCAATTGAACTTTGAAAAGCTAGAAGGAATTCGTGTGCTTATATATACAAATATTTCAATTTTCATAACCCTTGGGAATCCTACCTATGTAGCAAAAGGGTCCAATTAAAACTACGCATAACGTACCATCAAATCACATGCTATTAAGTAACTGCTACATAATCTTGAGAATCAATACGCTTGTGCAACCAATCAAGTGAATTTTCACTAATTTCTTCCTTATAATCACCCACAATTCCATAATAATCTTTGGCTAATCCCTTCTCCAGATTTGCATTTTTGTCGGAATTATCTGAATTTACCGGTTTTCTTCCTAATGGGGATAACCATCTTAAAGGCGATGAACCCATAATTTCAATCCAATTCAATTTAAAACCTTTATTCTAAATGTTATCATTATCTGGGTTTATTCTCAAGATATACCTTTTATCATTATGCTTCAAACTAACATATTCATCGTATAATGTATTTGTTCTCCGGTTCCTTTTACGTCTCATATCATCAATGGAAGTCTTATTACCGTAAATATAATAAATATGACTTGAGAAAAGGGCAAATATCATCAAGATCCAACCAATAACGGCAACATAAACAATAATTATATTGGCATTAACAGAGCCTTTTCTATCTTTATACTGTTTGGTGAAACATGCCATTGAAATACCAATGAATATGAAATAACATAACCACCACCAACATAATTGTATAAATAAATGATAATTCTCTTTACCAATAACTGCACCTAAAAATGTACAAAAATGATCCATCTTAGGTATACAATATCCTAAATCTGATGAATGATGACTTCTATCTATTTTAATACTTTGACATTCAGAACACCAAATGGGGAAACCATCTTTACTACACATGAAATATTCAGGTGGTTCAATACAATTATATCCAGTTTCATCAACATTTTGTAAAATTCTGAATAAGGGAACTTTTGGTTGTTTACCAGGTCCGATAATCAATATTTGAAACCATATTCCATAAATCAACAATATAAATAATATATTACCAATGATTAATCCAATTCCTGTTGATTTAGAATGATGTTTATAAATTTCATTCCAACAAATAAAATATGAATAAACCCATGATAAATAAATCATACCACATGTTATTAAAACTGGAATTATTATCTTAAGTTGTGATCTTTTAGCATGTCTCCAGTCCGTCATATCATGGTTTTCCTTTAGATTGAAATCAAGTTGAACACTATCTTATTTATTGCTTTAAATTGTTGAATTATCAGTTGAAAGTTGAAATGAAAGGCTTAGACGAAAATGAGATGAGCATTTGCCTGATTTGGGCATTTACCGAGGGTATCTAATTACACGTGAAAGTCATGTGCTATATGGTCGGAATAAAAATAAGTATACCAATTAAAAAAAAAAATTTGGCACTATTTTGATGGATCTTTTGATTCATGTAAAATACAGATCATACAATCAAAATGTTATATTTAATTGGGTTAGGTCTTTCTTATGAAAGTGATATCACTGTTCGTGGATTACAAGTTGTTAAAAAGTGTAAAAGAGTATACTTAGAAGCTTATACTTCAATTTTAATGGCTGCAAGTAAAGAAAAATTAGAAGAATTTTATGGTCGTGAAGTTATATTAGCTGATAGAGAATTAGTTGAAAGTGGTAGTGATCAAATTTTAGAAGGTGCTGATCAAGATGATGTTGCCTTTTTGGTTGTTGGTGATGTTTTTGGTGCTACTACTCATACTGATTTAGTTATTAGAGCTAGAGAATTAGGTATTCAAACTGAAGCTATTCATAATGCATCAGTTATGAATGCAGTTGGTGCATGTGGTTTACAATTATATCAATTTGGTCAAACTGTTTCACTTGTTTTCTTTACTGATAATTGGAGACCTGATAGTTTTTATAATAAAATTTTAGAAAATAGAAAAATTGGTTTACATACATTAGTTTTATTAGATATTAAAGTTAAAGAACAAAGTATTGAAAATATGGCAAGAGGTAGATTAATTTATGAACCTCCAAGATATATGAGTATTGAAACTGCTGCTCAACAATTATTAGAAATTGAAGAAAAAAGACAAGAACAATGTTATACACCAAATACACCAGCTGTAGCAATTTCAAGATTAGGTTCACCACAACAAACTTTTAAAGCTGCTACATTAAAAGAATTATGTGATTATGAATCAGGTGAACCATTACATTCTTTAATCATTTTAGGAAGACAAGTACATGATCTAGAATTAGATTACTTATATCATTATTGTGATGATAAAGAAGGTTTCAAAAAAGCTGTTGTTGAAGATCAAGAATTTTTTAAACCTCCACCTTACGTTCCACCACCTGAAGAAGAATTCAGTGATTAAGATAAACAAAAAAACATAATGTATTATAAATAAAAATTTTATATAGTTGAATGAAAATAAAGGGGGGAAAAAAACCTCTATAGAATATGAAATGTTTGTTTTTTTAAATATTGATAATTAATGATTACGATCATTTTCATCATAATCATCTAATGAAATACCACTAGTATTTGAACGAGTTCTTCTAATAACTGGTGATTGATCTAAACTTGAATCATCATGATTACTTAAAACAGAATAATTATTTTCGTTATCATCAATCTTAATTTCTTTTGGTTTATAATAAATAACTGCAAATGCAGATCCTAAAATAATTATAATACCTAACCAAGACCAAATATTTGGGAAATGATGCCATATTATAACTTCCCAAATTATAGCATATAACATTTGTGTATAAAGCATCGCAGAAGCTCTACTTGCCTTTTCACGTTGAATTCCTTCAGTTAATAAAAATTGCATACAAAAACCACTAATCCCTAATGCGAAAAACAAGAACCATTGTCTGCTAGTATGTGGGATTCTAAAAGATAATCCTGGTACAATTATAATACCACCTAATGAAATGATAACACATAAAGCAGCAAAATATTCAACAGTTACAAGAGAATGAACTGATTTACCAATTTTTCTAATAACAATATAAACACCACTTGCACCACAGACACCAACTAATGCAACCATTGTAGCTACTAATCTTTCTTCTGGATTTGAAGTTTCAAGATTATCATTTCCTGAAGATGATCTTTCACCGAAAAGGAAAGTTGGTCTTGCAATTAATAAAACACCAAATAATGAAACTAAACCACCTAATGCTTCGACTAAAGTCCATCTTTCTCTTAAAATTGCCCATGCTAAAAATCCGGTGACACTTGGTACTAAAAATGTTATAACAACTGCATCTGAAACTGTTAGATACATTAATGAATAATACATTGAAAAAACACCAAAGAATCCAACAATACCTCTTAATACTAATAACCATCTAACTTCTCTTGGTCCAAAGATTTCTACATCTTTTTTGATATATTTCAAATAAGCATAACAACCAGCAAATGTAATTATCATTCTAACGAATAAGATTTGGAAAGGATGGATTGGTTCTGTAAATTCAGGATCTGTTTCTAATAATTTAGTTGCAACAACCATAATTGAATTGAAAAATTGTGATAAAATTATAAATAAAAGTCCAATATTGGGTATTAATTTTTCATTATAAAAATACATAACTGAATTTGTAACTTTTTTAGGTGAATCCAAAAGATATTTCAAATTCAAATGTGAAGATGAAGTTGAAGGTCTTCCTGATCTTAAAAATCCAAAATTTGTATGGGATTGATCTAAATCATCTCTCCCTATTTCAAAAGAATCATCATCGTGATCATTGGGCAAATCGTTGTTTAAAAAAGGTCTATTTGATCCACTCATTGTTGATTTGAGTGTATAGCGAAACTGTTGAAGTAAAGATAAAAAAGGGTCTTTTGAATATAATATAATATAACAATGACTTCTTAGTTATTGAGTACTTTTTTTTTCTATCATGAGATCGTTTTTTTAAGCCCAGTTAAAAATCTCAAATGTAAAATTACTTGCGCTATCAGGAAAATCTTCCGAAATGGCCCGATGAGGGAAGATTTCCAAATTAGGAAACAAATCCGTAACAGTACCATAATTATTTAAATGATCAATTGAATACTTGGAAACTACTTTATTTTCTTTATTTTGAGTGAGATTTTGAGGATATTCATTTGATATAATAGGTCATATTGTTTTCTGCCTTAGCTATGTTCCATTTACTCTCACTGTTCTTCAAATATCGTCGTTGGACCCATTTTCCGGATTAACTTGGCTTAACTAGTAATTCATGGATAAACCTAAAATCATGATACATCTTATAGAAACCACCATAATTCATAGACTTATACTAATATTCGGGCCTTTGTGTGTCTACGTTTAATCGGTTTATATCAATTTAGTTAGCCGTGGTTACTATAGCTATTACCCTCTTTGCATTTTATACATTTTATACTCCACATACTATTTTAACCGAAGGTTAGATGTTCTCGATGTTATAAAAACCATCAATCATCATCAATTTCCAGATCAATACTACCACTTTCAACTCACCAGTTTCAAGCTATTCATAACTTCACACACTATGTCAGATACAATCGGATTCATTGGTGTTGGTCAAATTGGTGGTATCGTTGCAAGGTTAGCAATTAATGCTGGTTATAACGTTGTCTTGAGTAATTCAAGAAGTCCACATACATTATCAGGTATTGTTTCATCACTTGGTGATCAAGCTAAAGCTAGTACACCTGGAAGTATAGCAAAAGTTGAAAACATCAAGATTGTTGTTCTTTCAATCCCATTAAATGCTGTTCCAACTTTATTACCTTCATTAGGTTTGAAAAATAAAATCATTTTGGATACATCTAATTATTATCCTTTTAGAGAAGGACATTTAGAAGAGTTAGACTCCAATAAATTAACAACAAGTGAATATGTCATGAAATATTTGGATCCATCAAATAAATTGGTCAAAATTTTCAATAATATCATTTCAATTGAATTAAGTAACTCATCGACTCAAGATGAGTCAAAACAAACCATTTTACCAATAGCTGGTGATGATATCAAGGCAAAACAAATCACTAATGACTTTGCTAAAAAGATTGGATATAAAACTTATGACGTTGGTCGATCATCCCTCAGTTGGAAATTTGAACCAAATACACCATTTTATGGTCTTGTTTATTTCCCAAAAGCTCCAAAGGGTTTAACTCATGAAGAATTGAAAGCTTTCTTCAAGAAAACACCAGCAAATCCATTGACTCATGAGAAAGCTAAAAAGGTGATAGATTCTACTAAAAGACCAACAACAGTTGGTGGTACGCCTCAAATGTTCCCAAAAGTATTATTGGAAGTTATGAGAGAAATGTATAGTCAACAGGCAAAAGATAAAGCTGCAAATGCTTCTAAATTAGTGCTTTAATTGGAAACTCAATTTTTTATATATATAGTCTTTATTTATTACATATACACTAACAACTTATCAAAGTTACTTATTCGTTTTTTTTGTATATAAAAGTCATATATTATATAAATTAAATCTGTTTAATATTTCGGATAAATGAATACAGCTGCTTTCGGGTAAATGAAAATTATATTTACAAGTTTTGATGTTAAATCTGATAATGAAAGTATAGATTTTTTGTGCTATTATGGTGTTTTTAAGGCTTGTCTTTATAGTTAATGGCTTATCTTGATGTATAGGCGCTAGAATTTAACAGCTAGCATATGTTTTTGAATTTTTAATATAAATTGTCGATGTAGTAAATTTATATTAATTTCATTTTAAAAATTTGAAAAGTTAAAACTAACCAAATTATTTAAACCCCTTTTAAAGGTGCAAAATCCATATTAGTACATTTAAAGTTTGATCAGGAGTATTTTAACATAAAAACTAACCACTATCTCTTATAAATATTCTTTATTATGGAGGATCAAAAATTCGGGGTTCTCGCCTTTGCCGGATTTTATTCATCTGCTAAATTCTAATTTCCGATTCTCTAAAATAACAGTAATTATCAGAAGGGCACAAGATCTATCCGATGTTTAATTAGCGATTCCTCTAAAATAACATTTAATTTGACGTGATTTGATTATTCCAACTCCAAAATATATAAATGTTAATATAGAGAGGATAAAATGTCGAAAATGTCATATATTTTAGTCATCTATTTGGTTCAGTTAAGAAAAGAATTGGCTGGCCGCCAGATACCATATATTTGCAATAACGAATACCATGCAACGAATTGATTAGCCTTGTAAAAAGGTATAGACTTACTGATCTATAGTGTAAGATGGATCCACTGATCCATTCAAATTACACTCAACATGGCAGCTGTTAAGTAGTTAATATTAATGGTTATTTGTTATATTATAACTTATGATTATAGGTTATAACGGTGTATTCAAAAATAAGATTTGACTAATTGATGAATACAGGTTTCTTATGTGAACACTGACATGCCACTTTTACTTTACCCCAAAGTTTAAATTTGAAAAATTTCGGGTATATGATCCTTGGGGTATGAATTATGGTTCATTTACCATAACTCTAAAAGCTAAGATCCATTTTAAACATGGGAAGGATGAAATGGATGGATATTTTTTTAGCAAGAAATTCCGATCTTATATATCTAGATACCCTCTATTTTTTGCAAAATCTAGAATTTCAGACTCACAACTTCATCATGACTGTAATTCACTTTCTTTATATGACCTAATGTTTATTGGTCTTTCAGATTTGAATAGACGATTGAAATTCGTCCAGGTCTAAAATTTCTCAATGTTTAAATGACTTTAGTTGTTTATTTGATTCTCTCAAGTTTTGAGAACAATATTCAAAATTCAACATTGCACTTTTTCAATTTTCAATTTGTGATAGACTCTATCAGAATAGGCATATGAATCTTTCAAAGGTTTTTTAAAAACCCTAGGATGTAGGTTTTTAGAATTTTGGATTTGTACAAAAAGACCCCGGATAACGTCTTTACCTTCATTTTCAAATTACCAAAACGTTTGTAATTAAGACCCTTTATATTATTGAAATTGATTAAAAAGATGAAAGTTCATTCAAAAAGTGGTGGATCTTTCATCTGAAGTTTTGAATTAATCAATGATAAAATTGAGACTTGACTTTTTTTCTTTCAAAAATTTGATAGTTCAGGACTTTGACGTACATGGTACACAATATTATGCTGAATAATATCCTAAGCAAATGTTAAAATGCTAGCTGTATCATTAAACCATGAATGATATTTATTGTTAATAGTGTGTCATATTTTGGTTGTATAGAGCTTCATAGCCCAATTTAGTTCTATCCTTCAAATTTGGAAAACTTTAACATCCAAAATCATTGATGATTGTCAGTAGCACCTATGCTCAAAAATTGAAATGAAGATTTAATTTAAAGGAGTTTGGATCACATCTCAACTTTTATAACAACCATAGAAACCATGTTTTGTGTTAAAGGCTAAAACATAGTTCTCATTTTTAACTTTCAAGACCCAAAATTAATCTTTCACATTTGATCCATAATTTAATGTCACCACCATCATTTTACTATTACCTTCACATCCCATTTATGCTGAGCTGCATGAATAAAATTATTTGTAGTATGTGTTGGGTATATGGCCAAAAATTGTTTTGTTTTGGTTTCATTATTCAATAAGGGATATTAATCTTGATCTGACCAAAAACATCAAAATTCACAATCTCTTAAATAATTGTTAGTAATAACCGTGATCCCTAAAGAAGCGAATAAAACTTTCAAAAAAAAAATTAATATTCCAAAAGTTGATGGCAAATTTGAATCAGCTCCTTAGTTTTCAACCAAAGCTAATATATTGAAAGGTTAACTTGGGCACGTAAAAATATATCTTATCATATATCATTGAACACTTAAAATTCTGATAATCCTGTTCCATTCAAAAATTCTGATTCACTAGAACAATGTTAGTAGTATCAAACTTTAGTAAATGTTTTTGAATTCCATCTAAATATTGAAGAATGAAGTGTGCCGACTTATTCATCAGATCTTGAAACATTCATCAGATCTTGAAACATTCATTTTTAAGAAAAAAGTAAAACATACCGCTTATAATTCTCATTATACGATCACATTTGAAAAATTGAAAAAAATCCTTGAACAGATGTAAAGCAACTGTGACATAAAATAGGTTGAATGATCTGTGGAAACTTAAACATGGCATGAAATAATTTGAATCAAATTTTTATTTTCAATCAGAATCAATATCTTGAAGGTATAACAAACGTTTTGAACTTGTAAATATCAAATGATGAATTCTAATTCACTAGAAAAATGTTAGTAATATCAAACTTCAGTAGATATAATTTGAATTCCATATAATGAAATTGAATAATGAAGTGTGCCGACTTATTCATCAAATCTTAGAACATTTACCTTCAAAGAAAAAAGTAAAACATACCATTCATTCTCATTATCTAACGATCACATTTGAAAATCCTTGAAAACATGTACACCACCGTGACATAAAATAAATTGATTGATCTGTGGAAACCTCAACATGGTATGGATACATCAACAGCTTGGAACCAAACCCGTACAAAATGCCTGAAATAACCATAAAAAAACATTACCGCCCGCCCACACAGCATTGGAACCAATAAATAATTAAGGATATGATGAAATGATAAGATAACCCAGCCAATGGTAGTCCATTCTAATCAGTTGTTGTAGATATGAGAGTAAAACAAAAAGTCAAAAAAAAAAGTAAACAAAGGAAGGAAATCAAAAGTATTTATATTTTTTGTGCCATCCACAAAACAAATACCACAAAAACCACAAAACCCATTGTGACACAAAAAGTACATTGATGGAAATCTAAAAATAGATCAATCAGATTGATGTCATTTTAATAAAATGTTTGACACAAAGATGAATATTTTATGGGTACAAACTCGATTCCCACTTTTTGTTGTTTTTGGGGATTGGTATATGAAATATAGCACTCTACTTAAAGCCAATACATCTCCTTCTCGAAGGCTAATCCCAAAACAGAAGAATACATCACAAGACTACAGAAATTTCCATAAATAAACCAGCCCATATTAATATAACTATTTATAAGATTCTCTAATCTCTCTATTAATCAATTCACCCCAAAAATAAACCGTTGCAACACCTTTAACTGTACTTTTCTTCAATCCCTTTCTAGCAATTATCCCATCATGTGCATTCAAAACATTAACATAAACTGCAAACTTATTCCAAGTTAGTTGATTCAAATTGTTCAAGATTCCAATCCGTTCATGATTCAAAGGTAAAGCATCAGTTTTCTGGAAAATTTCATATTGTTCAACATCAGGATCTAAAAATTTGGCATTTAAATATTTGTATAATTGATCCACTTTACTTTTCAAGATCAAAATTTTTGGTGCCTCTTTAACAACCGCTTTTGTCTTACCTAAAAGTTTTTCCTTAACAGATTCACAGGCAGTTGGTGGAGTTGAATCAGTTGATGGTGAATAATGCCCAACATTAATTACATTCTCCAATGCTTCACCCGTGGCATCTTCTAATCTTTCCTGTAGAGGTTCATGCTCTTCAGTTATATCATCTGCTCCATGAGCTTCTTCATAGTCAATCACCCGTTTTTTATTATTTGCTAACTCTCTTAAAGCATCTATATCAGGTCCTTTATAAGTTCTAACAATGAAATAACTTGTTATTGAACCAATCGTACTTGCCGTGAATATAAGCGGTATCCAGATTGGCAATATGAAGCAGACAAGCACTAAAACACCAGCATACTTAAACCTTGAAGTCCATGAAGTCTTAGGAGGCTTATAATCCTTTTCTCTAAATGTTGAAGTTTCTAAATTAACAATTTTGGGCTTAACATCAATTCCTCTCACTGTATATGTTGATAATAAATCTTCATCGAACTCAAATTTCAAATCTAATTGATCCCAATGTTTATCAAATGGATTTTTATTAGTTAAAAATGCAGTATAAAAATTAACAGATCTATCATGACGAATATTTGCAAATATATATCTTTTTTGAAATCTTTCTAAACCTTTAAAATATTCACCTTCACTTAATCTAACCAAGATTTTCCCTTGATCTTTGATGAATAATTCTTTACCGACAAGACCTAATATTGAACTCCCCAGGAAATTTAATAAACTAAACCAAGGCTTGAAAAAGAAAACTCCAAGATGTGGTGAGGCAAAAGTTGTAAAGTATTGAGGTTCCACAGTGTCAAAGAATCCTAACTTCTCCAACTCACCAATCATATATCTTGAAATCAATCCACCTAATGAATAACCAACAAAACTTATTTTAGAAACAGCAATCCCATCATCTTGTAATAATCTTTGAACTTCATGTAATACTTCAAGTAACATTCTTTGTCCCACAATTTCTATACCATCATAAGTCTTGAATAAAGCTGAACTTTTGGGTCTTATTGTAACGATTTTTTCTGCTGAATCTTGAATTGTGTCATGTATAGTTTCTTCAATAGCATGAAGATGCGAAGCGCCTCCCCAGAGACTGTTGATTGTTAGTTTTTTTTTGATTGCTTTCAGTATTTTCTATAATACTTACCCATGAACAAGCACAAACAGGTGCCCTAGTTCATGCTTTGCCATTGTGTTGATGATTGATTGTTTCCTACTGTGTTTTGATTGTTTTTGCCTTCGATTTCAATATTGTTGATTTGATTTTAAACGGTTTGAATCAAACGGAATGCTCGGGATTATTGAGTATGGCCGAGACACCGAAAAGTAAATAAACTACAATTTAATATTTATAATTTCATACATTCATTAACATTCATTAGCAGAGGAATATTCATAGCGTGGTGTCGATACTTATTCAAGAATAGTACACCCTTCCACATTCACTAAAAGTCTTTCTGAAGACTGGATCTCAGGGTATGTTGATATCTTGGTATTTGATAGATTTAATCTCTTTAAACTGGGGAAGTTACCCATGGTTGTTTTGTTGTAATTTTTATTATTTGAAATATCTATATGTTCTAATGTGGAGTTAGAGTTTCCTAGTCCAACAATGTGCTCTAATTTAGAGCATTTAGAAATAACAAGTTCTTTCAATGAACTGAGTTGTTCAATATTTATTGATTGTGAATTATTATCTGCATAGATTCTCAACACTTGTAGTGATTTAAATCTATCAAGAGTTGACTTTTCAATCCCTCCAATTACTTCTAAAACTTCCAATTTAGAACATTTCAAGTTATCCAAAAATTTCGTACTTGTAATTCTAGTTGTACTAACACTTTCAGTGATTACTCTTTTTAAAATAACTTCACTTTGGTTTAAAATTTTCAATTTTGGAGCTTTGAGATTAAACAATTGGAATGATAAACTTCCAATAGTCATTTCTTTCAATTGACTGAAATAACAATTTGTGTTATCTAATAATCTTAAATCATCAAAACCTTCAATCTTGGAAACCAAGGGGAAATAAAATTCAGTAAATGATGAGTTCAGTTTAGGCAAAAGGAATCTGATTAATGGATTAGAACTAAAATCTTTAGCGTTAACATAGACTGTATGATGCACCTGATGAGTTTGTAAGCATTTCAATATGATTTTCAACATTTTAATTTGATTATGAAGTACTTGAGTTTCCAGATCATCAATGTTTAAATTGAAGATGAAAAAATGATATTTTTGAATCATTTGTAATAATGATTCCAATGATATCTTGCAAATATTAACATGGTTTAAGTTATTCAAGTCAAAAAGTCTCTGTGATACCGTAGATTTTGAGTCATCATTATGAATAACCAAAAGAGATTCACTTAAAAGATCTTTAAATTTGTGACAAGTCTGTGAAAGTGCTTTGTAAGTGTGCAGCGAATCAAACCTATTAAAGATCCCATCCACAAGTATCTCAGTGGGTAAATCAGTGAGTTTCATGATTATTTGACAACCTGTGCATTCAAAACCCTTCCAATACAACAATGGACTATGAACCAAGTAATAAATAGTTCAAAACTTGTTGATTTCGTGTCGTTCTTTGGTTTTATCACCTATTTACGGGCTTTGGTTATTATGGCTTTTTTTGACACCTTGATTTACCTACGCGAATTCAATTAAACAATAGATAACGATAATACTATAATTTATAAAAGGTGTATAAACATTCTATGGAGTTGTATATAGTCTATTCCTCATCTTCATCACTTCCAATATCGATGTTTGGAATTTCGAAATCACTATCACTTTCTTCTTCTTCTCCAATCTTATTTTCAGGAATTTGAACAGTTTTAGAACCTTCACTTATAATCTTCATTCTTTTGGATGGAGTATCTTCATCATCATCTTTTTCTTCTAATGATCTTGTTTTGTTTGCTGATTCTTCTTCTGATTCGGTCTTACTTTGTTCAGAAGCAAATGTTAAGACTGTTTTATCTTTAATTTCATCATTTTTTTTGAAAACCATTGATTGTTTAGTCTCTTGTTCAGAAATTGGAACTTGTTTAGTCTTTGTAGCTTCTTGAATAACATCTGAAACTTCTAAATGCTTTGGTTCTTCAATGATTTGTGGTTCTGCATCAACAATTTCTTCATCTTCATCTTCATCTTCTTGTTCTTCAACTTGTTCTTGAATTTGTGATTGTTTGAATTTTGTTTCTAATGGTGGGAATCTTGGATTTGTTAATAAACTTAAAACTTCATTATTTGATAATAATCTCTTTGCAATTGGTAAGATTGAATAAGTTTCACCTTCACTTGGATATAAGACAATGGCTTCTAATAATCTTGTCAATTTATCAGAAATTAATCCTCTTGTTGATTTTTCTAATGTTGCAGTAGAGATAACATATTTAACAATTTTAATTCTTGAATTTGGTGTTAAATTTGGAATTCTTTTGATAACAACTTCGAAAAATCCTTGAATGATGTTAACGGTCTCTTTTGGTGCATTCAATTCAAATAATTCTGCATGTGATAAAACATCAGATAATGGAGTTGAATCTTTATTCTTAGTTTTCTTTTTTTGTGATTTGTTTTGTGATTGTGATTGTTGTTGTTTTTGATCTTGTTTTTCTAATAAATCATCTAATGGAGTTCTTTTTTGTAAAAATAATATAGAAACATCAATTAATTTATTAATCAAATCTAAATCATTAATACCTTGAAATTGTTTCATTAATTCAACGGTTGTTTTCAAAATTAATAGTAATTCAGGTTCAATGGCTAAACATGAATCTTGATTGATCTTAACTCTTTTAGAACCTTTTTCATTTTTGATTGGAATAACAACCTCTAATGATGATAAAATGGATTCTAAATGTGGTAATACCAATTTCTTATAAGTCTTGGTAATTTCATATAAAATCATGGATCCATGTGATTGAGTTTTAGCTAAATCATTTGTAATGATTTTTTTCAATTCATCATTTCTACCAACATCTTTTTGGAAAGGAATATAATTTGGTGAAATACTTAATAATAAGATTGAACTTTGAATAACTAAACCTAGTGGAATTCTTAAAGCAAATGGTGTTGGTGAAGTCAAGAATGCAATGATTAAATGACTTAAAACTTCAATTCTTTGAGAAATTTGAATCACTGTGATTGGCTCAGTTAGATCAATTTGTAAGAATGGGAAAATATAATCTTTTGTATTGGATTCATTTTCTGGTAATTGGTTTAATAAATCTTGAATATCTCTATCATTTTTCAATTCAACTAAATTATCATAAATTAAGACGGTTGAACGTAATTCATCCAAGATTTTGAAAATCTTCAATCTCCATTGATCATCTGGTAATGATTGAACATTTTGACCACCTTGATTTGAATTTTGTGATGGTTTAACCAAATTTAAATAAGCATAAGATTGAACAATATCAGATTTCAATGATTCATCAACATTATGAAAATTATTGATTAATAATGAGTTCAATTTTGTTTCAAATTTATTGATAAATGGTTTAAATGTTGTTGTGTTTTTGAACAATAATTTTTTCAAAATTGGTAAAACAGTGTATAAATCCTTGTTTAAATTTTCAATTAATGAAGAAATTATATTTGGTAAGTTTGGTGTTAAGATTTCACGTGTTAAAACAGGTTTACCTCTAATACCTTGAATTAATTTATCAAGACCTAATGCAGCATTAGTGAAATTAATTACTGGGACACCGATTTCATTAATAATTTTCAAGAGTGCAACAATGAATCCAGTACCACCATTTGTTAAAATAATTGGATTCATAGCTAAGATTTGAACAACATGGGAACCATACCATCTTTTCAAACCATTTTTAGAATTCAATAAATTTGTAGTCTTAGCGATAAGATGATTGATTTCAGATTTTGATGCTTTGGTAATTGTATGTTTTGATTGATATAATGATTTCAAAATATAGGATAAAGTTGAAGCTTCTGGATTGTCTAAAAGAGATAATATCACAGCTAGTGGGATTTCTGGAGAGGACATCTTGAATATTATTCTCAAATCCTTGTCTTTTATTAGTAGTAGATCCTGATTTCTCTCTATATTTAATGTGATGGGTATTGAATTTTTTTTCTATGAGGTATTATCGACACAGGGAATCTGCCATTTTTGGCCGATGAGCTGCTTAAAATGGGATGATTTGTTGAAGTTTTGAGCAGATTTAGAGGAGAAAAAAGTTGGATTAGAGTAGCCTTTACATCTCAAATAGCCTCAAGAGTGTAGCTATTACATCACCCTTGAAATAAGTTAAAATACCTCCCCAAAACACCCCGGTATCAGCCAATATTGTCAATCAAATTTCGCGATTGAGAGTTTTTTCGTTGTCGGATCATAAAAAAAATACACGGTTGAAATTAATGAAAACATTCAAAAAAGTTTTTGAAAAGTTTTATTGATAATTAATTGGTGTTATTTGTTGCTTTAAAGGGATTCAAATCATCAACATATTCACATTCTGCTAGCACAAGATGTCCACAAAACAGATCACCACTACCACTATTTTCAACTACGTTCCAAACTATATCGGTTATCTTAGAGTGATAACAGCCGTGATATCATTCCAATTGATGAAATCACATCCATTATATTGTACATTGGTTTATTGTATTTCATGTTTATTAGATGCCTTAGATGGACATGCTGCCAGATATTATAACCAAACCAGTCGATTCGGAGCTGTTTTAGATATGGTTACTGATAGATGTACAACTTCCTCATTAATTTGTTTCCTTTGTGTTTTATACCCAGATTATGCTCTTGTTTTCCAATTATTAGTTTCACTAGATTTAGCTTCTCATTATATGCATATGTATGCTACTTTACAAACTGGTGGAAAATCCCATAAGAATATTGATAAAGAATCAAGTTATTTATTAAATTTATATTATACAAACAGATATGTTCTTTTCACAATGTGTGCATTTAATGAAGTTTTCTATGTTGCTTTATATCTTTATTATTTCCCATTATATAATGTTTCAATCTTTGGTGAATATTATTCAATTGCTGGGATCTTGGCTGCTATTTGTTTCCCATTTTATTTGTTCAAACAATCAACTAATGTCATTCAATTAGTAAGAGCTGCTGTCTTATTAGCTGAATTAGACATTGAAGATTTACAAAACAAAAAAGATTGAATGAGATAACAACATATACAACATATTTGAAAGAGAAAGTTAAGATCACCATTTGATGATGGTCAACATATATTTGTAAAATAGAATGACAATAAGATTCATAACCTAATATAATAATCATATATGAAAGCTGAACTTTAATTGTAGGTTATCAAATATATCGTAAAAGACAACTATCGAACAAGAAAGTCTTTTAGTTTCATGTAACCAAGATCAAAATTTGATATATCGCAAATGTATGAAGTTTAATTCCATTGAAATATTTGAGAATTAAACTGTACTCAAAATTGCGAACAAAAATCAAAAAGACTACATAATAAATACACAATTCAAATCAAATTTATATTGAATATATGATTGATACCCTTCCAAATTCCAATTCCTTTATAATAAAAGGGTCAGAAATTCTCTATGGCATCCGTATAATTATAATGTAACAAGATAATGGTTGCGCCGAACACCTTCTCCATTAAAACCCAAACATGATTAAAAAACCACATCACTTAGAAGGAATGATCAGCAAAGCCAATCACTCAACCTCTAGGGAATTGTCTGAAAATAACGCGAGACTTCATCATATAGTTTAAAACTTGGAAGGATATAAAGAAAGGAAAAAATAGATATGTAAAAGTTTGAAAACTTTTGAACAATTGGAAAAAAATTTATAGTGTTTTCCAAAATCGAGATTGAATTCGCGAAATTATTACCCGCTTATAAGTTTTTAGGTATGGGTGATATGTATTAGACCTCTTGAAATAGGACCAATTCATGTCCAAAAATAGTTTTAAATCAACTTATGGAATCTGTACACCTACTAGTATTACCTAGGCTCAAAAAAAGGTAGAATATCGCTCAATTTTGGAAGATATTCAAAAAAAAGAAGCTTGCTTTCACTCAGAGTCGAACTGAGGATCGCTACATTACTAGTGTAGCGCCTTACCAACTTGGCCATAAAAGCGTGCTCTTGCGGATGTTTACCATACTACGGGCCACATCATGGAGCGTTTTAATTATAACTCACTGTTCCGCCGGTGGTTCTGGCTATATTTGGTATCATTAGAGTACCCATCGCTCACTGCATAAGGCTATCAATGCTGCATCCAATTAAAACCACTGTATACCGAGATATCTCATGTTCTATTTACTCAGATTTGTGATGACATAACAATTTACATAAGCAATTTTAAAGCTAAAGTTCCGGATCATTAAATTTTATCCCAGCCTGTCATGAAACGAACGCAGAGTAAAACTAATTGAATAGATTACACCTTCGAGTTAACCACATGCATTAATATTTGTCGCCCTATCTGCCTTGTTACCAAGCCATAAAAGCATTTGCTTGAAGTTTGAAATTATAGTGGTTTTTCCGGATGAGTTATTGCTGGTAGGGGCACTCATATCATAACCTCGAATTAATTCCGATTTGACAGTATCAGGATCTAATATCAATTCTGTCTTATATTCCTCTAGCTATTTTGCGCGCCCTAAGAAATAGTGCTTATATTATGGACTAGTTTCTTAATATATCAGCTTAGAGTATCTTAATATACAATTTAACCGGAGCTTATATATCTTCATGGACGTAATTTAATATGTGCAGCTACTTTCCACTTATCAAGATAATTAACTAAAGTAACACTATATATATGAGCTTTTGAGCTAAGAAATACACGTAAATTGATCTTCATTATAAAAGTATTGTGTGTTATTGAGTATACAATTGCCTATTAGCTATCTCGCTTGGTCAACATTTAAAATAAATTCATATAAGAATGTAATAACTTGTAGATGTTCTTCTGGTGTTAATCGTTCATTAACACTATGGATACCACTTGACATTGACTCAGGATCATTAAGATTTCCTTGGAATCTGAAAATATTTTTGGTTAAATCCCAATAATGTTTGGTATCAGTGTTACCCAACATTGTGAATGGTGCAACTTTTAATTTCTTATCATTATCTTTGTTAACAATATCATCGTAGACATGCTTAATTGTACCTGAAAATAAGTCCCAAACTGGTCCAGATGATGGTGTAACTGGAGCTGGTTCTAATGGACCACCTAGAGTGATTCTAAAATTACCATTTTCAGTTGGTTTAGATAAGACTGTACCATCAAATTCAATACCCAAATCGAATTCTTTAGCAATTGTTTTCAAATGAGTCAAGAAACGCTCATAAGTTTCATTTAATGAAGAATGGATATCAATACGTTGATTAACAACCAACGTAACATATTCAGGCAATGCATTTGATTTGACACCACCATGGACCACGTCAATAGCTTGACTTGTACGGATTGCATATCTTGTTGATTTATCCTTTGAAAGAAATTCAATTAATCTTTCTTGAGCGTGTTTATCATTGTCAACATTTGCAAGGTCTTGTTTGAAAGAGTTTGAGATTTTATCAGAATCTTCGTATGCAACTTGTAAGTATTGAACAAATGGATTTTTAGATGAGATTCTTGGTTTATTTGGATTTGCTTCCAACAAAGTAACAAATTTAGAAATGATACCAATTGAAGTGTGATCTGGTGGAACAGAGGAATGACCACCTGGAGTAGTTAACTCTAAGTAAAAATCAATATGACCCTTTTCTGCTGTTGATGGGGCAGCAATTTGTTGACCATCAACTTGTAAAACACCGGTACCTTCATCAACCAATGCAAAGATTGAATCTTTACCGTATCTTTTCTCAATATGTTCACTAAGAGCACCTGCACCAAAACTTGTACTTTCTTCATCATTACCAAATGCAAATAAAATGGTTCTTTCAGGCTTAAATCCATCCTCAATCAATTGTTCAACAGCTTCAAAAGTACCGATTAATAAATCTTTACAATCAGAAACACCACGTCCCCAAATATATTTACCGTCATAAACACCAGCATAAGGATCATGGGTCCATAAATGTCTAGTACTTGGGTCAATTGGAACCACATCTTGATGAGCAGCTAATAATAATGGTTTGAGATCTGGATTTGAACCTTCCCATGTATAGAGTAAACTAATTTTTTCAACTTTTTCACGAGTCAAGTGTTTATGGAACAATGGGAAAGTCTTTTCAAGATAATCATGTAACTTGTAGAATTTGATCCAGTTTTTCAGATCTTCAATTGGTCTTGGATTGTTATCATAAGATTCAGTTTCAATTCTAACAGCACCTGCTAATTTTTCAATTGATTTGTTTTTGAAATCGTCATCATAATAGATCTTATTAGCACTGTTAGTGCCCGCAAAATAATTATTTGGACGAACAGGTTCAGGTTGTGGGAATCTTGTGATAGTAGTTTCCTTTCCCTGATGACAATTGAAGAAACCATTGGTTGTTAAATAGAATAAACCACCAACGAGTAAAGTAGACAACAAGTGTTTAACGAGATGACTCTTTTTATTGTCCTTTCTTTTAGTGGTCACTGGTAACTCCAATTCACTCAGCTCTCTTTTTTCATCGACAAAGTCAGTCATTTTTGCTGTACTATCTTGCTATATCTTGTATGAGCTTGAAGGTAGAAAGAGTGAATGATTGTGGATTTCTTTCAATCGAGTATAAAAGGTTTTATCAAAAACGCCATAGTGGAAAATTAACGCTTTCATTTTTTTGCGGTTACTATTTTCAGAAGTAATTCCGAATGACTGATAAGCACGATTCGGAGATTTTAGATAGTATATTTTACTATTTTACCTATCTTTGTTTAACTACAGGTCATAAATGTTGATTGTTAGGGATTGGATACTCTAATTATTCCATTGAAGACCAATTGACCTTTTTATGTTCTTAATATGGGTTCAAGTCACAAGATGGACTTCTAAATCCATAAAAACACAATTTCAAGTGCAGTATGTCCAAAGCCTATATTATAAGAATTATACTCGACATGGTGGATTCCAAAGTTATTAAAGATATTTATTTGAAATATATAAAAAAAAGATTGAGGTACATATATAATGGTAGCTTTAAACTTGGTAAAAGAAACATATACTTAATCTCTATGTGATTTGATAGATCTATCAAATAATTTGTTAAATTTTTGATTGCAACATCCATTTGGAAAGGATATTTGAATTAATTGCCAGCTACCCAGATTAATATACCATGATCGTTTGATTGAAAACCCTTTGTGCTATTATAATGAAATACAATCCGACCTTGTCCTTAATTTTCCCAGTGGTAATGCTTTTTTCAACTACAATTGATAGTCTAACGGGAAAAAATACAGTGATGCATGAATATTTAATCAGATTTATAGACTCTTAAGAAATGCTCATATGTCCATATGGAAATAGCTGTTGTTGGTGCACTTTTTATGATGGAAGCAAGGAACCCTTTATATAGCCCTTTAACACCTTCAACTTTAACAACTTTCAAGCCCGCTTTTATGAAATTTTGATTTTTAGCTTTATTAACTTGTAACCTTTTCCTTATAAGATCCAATGGGAATACAACACTTTTGGCAAATACACCTGCACTTAATCCACATAAAGGTTCAAGAATGGGTTGATATTTTTGTGAGCTTTGTGAAACCATACGCGATATTTCATATGACCAAAACATTAAGCCTGTATACAGTGATATAGATACCATTCCAGCATTAACACCTTTGAAGAAACCCAAAGCACCTTCTTCTTTAAATATATTACTCACAGTCGTTGATAACTTACTAAACTTTGGTTCATTGGCAAACCTTGTCCTTAGTAAATCAAATGGATATGATATTATTGTACTAGTACAACCGGCCAGTGACCCCAAAATAAATGAATGACTAGCAGGTCCAATATGATAGTTGTACTGCGTCTGAAGATCACTCAGTATATTGTTATACATAGAATAACTTGAGAATTGAGCTGCCCCATAAAGAATATACATGACAGCAGCAGGAACATTACCTTTCCATAACGCGAGCATACCTTCTTCTTTTGCGATGACTTTGACAGTATGCAAGATCCCTTGATACTTATTACCACTGACTTGTAACTGAAGCCTTATTTTCACCACATCCAATGGAGCTGTACACATTCTATACTTGAGCATTAGTAAACATATTCACACAAGAGATATATCTGATCTATATTACTAACCTAGCCACAAGACCCGATATTGATCCTGCTATAGCTGAAGTCACAGGCGAAACCTTGGTTCCCTGTCTAAGATGGTCACTATTGGACTTCTCAACCATCCTCTAATCTTAGATTAGCTAGTAAATCAAGCCAAAATCAACAGAAAAGTGCCAAAATAGTCCATAATTTCGTATCTCATCACCGAAAAGTTTAAGTGGTGTCCGAGATCCGACTAAAATCATTCCGGAACTCAGCAAACATAAAAAAAAGTTTATACGTACTATACAAAAATTCAAAATGATACAAACAAATCTTCACTGAAAGACGTATTTTACCAACAGAATAATGACCTTAGAAAGTGAAACTACTATTTTGAACAGAGTGGATGGTTCTGCATCCCTAGATGCCGGTGAAACCAAAGTTATATCATCAGTTTCAGGTCCAATAGAACCAAAAGCTAGACAAGAGTTACCAACAACATCTGCTTTAGAAGTTATAATAAGAGCAGATATAGGAGTATCGAATACAAGGGAAAAATTATTAGAAGACAAGCTTAGAGCCATATTATCACAAGTTATTATTGGTCATTTATTTCCAAGACAGCTTATACAGATCACATCACAAGTTTTAGAGTCTGGTGAAGATAGAGAATACACATCAAAAGAATTATCAGCCATCGTCAATTCATCATATTTGGCATTGATTGATGCTAATATAGGACTTAGTGTATCTTTTGCTGCTCAAGATATTGCCATCACCGAAAGTGGTGAATTAATTGCCGGTCCAACTAAGGAACAATTAAGATCTTCTAAAAGTTCACATGTTGTGGTATATGCTATAGAGAATGGTGAACCAAGTAATATTTTGTTTAGTGATAGTATTGGTACATTCACTGAAGATGAAGTTTATAGAGTGTTAGCTATTGCCAAACAACATACTGGGAAAGTTCATCAAAAATTCAGAAAGACTTTACAAGAAAAAGTTGAAAAAGATTTTGTATGGAGTGTATAGATCTTACTTTAGAACTATCATGAATTTGACTTATAATTTACTTGTATAATCATTTTGTACATGCTTCAAATAATAATTACTATATAATCAATTGTGATCTAAATATCTATAATTTTAAACGTTCCAAGTTGGCAATGGTTTGTTCGAAACCTTCAATTTCAGCAGCTGCGTTTTCTAATTTGGTTTTATTTTGTTCTTGAGCTTCTTGGTTAGCTTTTGAAGCATAATCTTTACTGTTGACGATTTTTTCAATTGATTGTTTACTCTTTTGAACTTTATCTAATTTCTTTTGAGCTTTAGAAATTTCAGCATCAATATCAACATGACCTTTAACTAATAAATGAACATTGATTTCTGGTGAAACGGCTTGTAAAACAACACCTTGTGGGATTTCTTCAACTGATTTAACAACCTCGATTGAGTCAATAGCTTTAATTAATGCAACGATTGATTCTTTTTGAGCAGTGATAGTTTCAAATTGTTCAGCGTTTGAAGCTTCAACGAAAACTTTACCGTTCTTGATGATGTTGTATTGAGCTAATAATGAACGAGCTTCTTTAGTAACATCCAAGATAGTTTCATAATCAGCACTTGCTTTAGCATTATCAAATTCTTTGTTGTAAGTTGGATAAGCAGCTTTAACAATTGATTTAGTGTTATCAGAACCACGACGTGGTAAACGTTGCCACATTTCTTCAGATAAGAAAGGCATGAATGGATGAATTAATCTTAAAGCACCATCAATGGTTGTGTATAATGTATCTCTTGCTGATTTACGTTCAGCTTCTGAACCTTCTAAAATTAATGATTTGGAGTTTTCAATGTAAACATCACAAACTTGATACCAATATTCATAGATGGCTGAAGTTGAAGTTAAGAAATCACGCTTTTCAAATGATTCATTAACAATTTTAGAAGTTTCATTTAATTTATGTAAGATCCATTTTTCAACTAATGATTCTTGACCAGTTAAACCTTCAGTAGCTGGTGGTTTATAATCATCACCAAGACGTAATAAAGCGAATTTAGTAGCTTGATAAATTTTGTTACAGAATTTTCTATAACCTTCAACACGTAAAATATCCAAGTTGATATCACGACCACCAGTAGTATAAGCACATAAGGCAAATCTTAAAGCATCAGTACCACATTGTGGAATACCATTTGGATATGATTCTTTTTGACCAGCTTTGGCCTTTTCAACTTCTTTAGCAGCCAAATTACCACCTAACAATTTACTGTGTAAGTTTTCTAAAGAAATACCTGTAATAACATCTAATGGATCAACAACATTACCTAATGATTTAGACATTTTTCTACCTTGAGCATCACGAACTAATGAATGACAGAAAACTTCTTTAAATGGAATTTCACCAGTCATTTTCAAACCTAATAAAATCATTCTTGAAACCCAGAAGAATAAAATATCCCAACCAGTTTCTAACATTGACCATGGGTAGAATTTAGATAAATCATTGGTCTTTTCTGGCCATCCTAAAGTGGAAAATGGCCATAAACCAGATGAAAACCAGGTATCTAAGACATCTTCATCTTGTCTTAAAGTGTAAGTTTTACCAGCAAATCTTTGAGCAGCTTGTTCTTCAGCTTCTTGTAAAGTTCTACCTGAAACCCAGTAGTTATCATCGTTTTCATCATTAGTTTCACCTTCAATTTGAACGAAGTAAACTGGACATCTATGACCCCACCATAATTGACGAGAAATACACCAATCTTGAATGTTTTCTAACCAATGGAAATATTCAGCTTCTGAAGATTTTGGTGTAATTGTAATATCACCGTTTCTAACGGCTTTAATAGCTTCAGCAGCCATGTCTTTTTGGGAAACCCACCATTGTGGTTTTAATAATGGTTCAATAACATCACCAGATCTTGAACAGATTGGGATAGTCATTGGGTTTTCAGTTTGTTCAACAAATAAACCTTTTTCTTTCAAAGCTTCAATAACTTTCTTTCTAGCATCGAATCTCTTAATACCAGCCCATTCACCAGCATTTTCGTTCAAAACACCATCATCAGTTAAAATGTTGACGATTTCCAAGTTGTTACGTTTACCAGTGTTGTAATCGTTTGTGTCATGACCTGGGGTAATTTTAACAGCACCAGTACCGAATTCCATATCAACGGCTTCAGCATCGGTGACAATTGGGATTTTGGTACCTAAGAATGGATGAATAACAAATTTACCATGTAAATGTTTATATCTTGGATCTTCTGGATGAACGGCAACACCTGTATCACCAAATAAAGTTTCTGGACGAGTTGTAGCAACAACTAATTTTTCATCAGAGTTTTCAACTGGATAAGCAAATGAAGTTAAAACACCAAATTCAACTTTTTCATCATAACCTGGAACTGATAATAAGGTTTTACCTGGAATTTCCTTGTTATCAACTTCTAAATTAGATAAAGCAGTGTTTAAATGAACTGACCAGTTAATTAAACGGGAAGCTCTATAGATAACACCTTCTTGATGTAATTTGACGAAAGCTTCAGTAACTGATTTAGATAAGTTATCATCTAAGGTGAATCTTTCATAATTCCAATCATATGAAGCACCTAATCTTGTAAATTGACTTTTGATTTTAGCATGGTAAACTTCTTTCCATTCCCAAACTTTCTTGATAAAAGCTTCACGACCTAAAGTATGTCTTGAAATACCATCTCTAGCTAATTGTTTTTCAACAACAGATTGTGTAGCAATACCAGCATGATCGAATCCAGGTAAGAATAAAACAGTTTTACCTTTCATTCTGTTATATCTAATTAAAGTATCTTGAATGGAAACGGTTAAAGCATGACCAATATGTAAAGCACCAGTAACATTTGGTGGTGGTGCTGGAATACAGAAAACACCTTCTGGTTTAAATTCACCATTTTCAGCAAATTCTGGTTCAAATAAACCTTCTTTGACCCACCATTCATACCATGAACTTTCAACATTTTTTGGATCGTAAGCTTTTAAAGATGGATCTTCTAAATTGACCAAGATTTTCTTTTCACCAGCAACAGTTTTATCAACGAATTCAGGAATTGGTTCAACAACTTTTTTTTCTTTCTTTGGTTTAGATTCTTTATTAGCTTCAGCTTTCTTCTTATCTTCAGCCTTTTTAGCTTCTTTAGCTTTAAATTTAGCTAATTTTTCAGCCTTCTTACGCTCTTTTTCTAATTCTTTTTCAGTTTTAACTTTTGGAGCACCTTCAGCTGGAGCAGCTTGAGTGGCTTGAGCAGCAGCAGCTTCTGGTTGAGCTGGATTCTCAATCTTATCACTCATTTTGTAAATATATGTCGAGTGTAGTAGTCTTTTCCCAGCAAAAACAGTATTTGGCCTTCTAAAATGGAATGAAAAGCTATTAAATATCCTCCCACGAAGAAAAATTGACATACACAAGTCGTAAACTCAACTATGATTTTTGAATATTTATTACTCATTGATCGATTATTTGGTGCCATTTTCTGAAAAAAATTTACCAACATTGACATTTTACGGTGCTCTAACCGGATTGACATACTTCAAGTGGTAACCCGGTCTCATCAGTAGTAATATAATAGAAATTTATTAAGCTGTGATCTTGAATACTATAAGGATATTTAGATCTTGATTGAGTCAGTGATATATAAAGCCACTACCCTTGCAATGTCGTTGAATGATGAACTACTGAAAGATTTAGATAGTGATAGTGACTTTGAGTCTGAAAAAGAAGAAGTTGAAAATGTTGAAATTAAAGAATTAAAAGATATAAGCTCAAAAGACAATAGTGGTGATATACCCATGGACGACGTTGAAACGCAGTTGAATCAATTGATAAATTCAGGGAAAGATGTGTCGACGGGTGATCTACTTTCAAGGATCGATCTTTCCACGATACAAGACGTTACCAAAATCTCAAAATTAAGTCATAAGATTGGTCCAATATTGGATAAAATTCAACAATACAAAGCACAACCAGTTTCCAAAAAGGAAGAATATGATTTTCTTATAGGGGTTAATGATTTATCAGTAGAGATCACAAATGAAATTTTCTTGGTTCATGATTTCATTAAGGCACATTATAGAAGAAGATTTCCAGAATTAGAATCACTGATACCGAACTCATTTGAATATTCCAAAATTGTGAAAACTCTAGGAAACAATTTAGATATATCACAAGATGAACTATCATTCATATCCAAGGAGAAAGTTTTAGTTTTAACAATGTCTGTCATCCAAGCTAAAGATAATACCCAGGAATTATCACCTTCAGATTTACAAAAAGTCATTGCTGCTTGTGATTTGTTACTAGAATTAGATTCGTCTAGAAGGGAAATCACAGAATATGTCGCCTCAAGACTATCCGTTTTCGCACCAAATTTAGCAGCAATTGTTGGTTCTTATACCGCATCACAATTTATGAGTGTCTTGGGTGGTTTGAAAGGTCTTTCACAAACACCATCATGTAACATTCCATCATTGGGAAACAAAAGAGCTGTCGGTATAGGTTTTGGACAAAGTGGTGTTAGACAACAAGGTATATTATTCTATAGTGACCTTATTCAATCAGTTGATCCTGATATAAGAAAACAAGCAATGAGAATAGTATCAGGTAAGATTATTTTAGCTGCTAGAATGGATTTTGCAAGCTCTGTTCCTGATGGATCTCGGGGTCAAAAATGGAGAAGAGAAATTGATGAAAAAATAGATAAATTACAAGAACCACCAGAAAATAAAGCACCAAAAGCTTTACCTGCACCAATTGACAAGCCTTCTAAGAAGAGAGCTGGTAGAAAATATAGAAAGATGAGAGAAAGAGTTCAATCATCAGAATTGAGAAAAGCACAAAACAGAATGGAATTCGGTAAAGTGGAAAATTCTGTTACTGATGGATTTGGTGAAGAAATTGGTCTAGGTATGTCAGGATCATTATCTGGTATTGCTGTTAATACCAATACAAATGCTAAAGTTTCAAAAGCTATGAAGAATCGATTGGAAAAAGCTACTGAAAATAGTGAACAATTCAATATGGCTGTTTTGAACTTTGGTAATACTGATAATGCTAAATCATTAGAAAATGGAAGGGATGGGAAACGAATAAAGAGATGAACCACCACCGCTACCAAGTGATAGGATGAATAGAAACCCTTTTGACGAAATGAATGAATAGTTAATTAGTTAATTAATTATAAGTAGTTAAGAAGTTCACTCACGTGACCGTACCTTCTCGCGACTTTCCCATCGAATCGGGTAAATTGTAAACAAAATCAAAAAATTACAAACGAAAACATTGGAAACTTGTGTTTACACTTTTGAAATTGGAGGCAGAAACTCAGCATCAAACTCCAACAAGCTATATTTGGACTCTATATAATCTTGGATCTTTGCTCTTCATCCGGGTCTCAGAGTTTCACATATCAAGATGGTCGCTAATTTCTTCAGTAGCAGGATGAATAGAAACCCAGTTGTGGATGATCTAACCAAGAACATGGAGTCACTTCAGTTCCAAAACAGATCTAATAATGGCTATACCAATGACAAATTTAGCTTTGAACCAAACTCACCAATGAATAAGGAAAACCGTCCTTTGGAATATACTTCACCTTCAAGACTGAACCAACCAACAAGTAATGGTACAAGTCCATTAAGATCCACAAGACATAGAGAACTTCAACCTAAACCTTTGAGCACAAAACATAAACGTATGGTAAATGTTTGTCAAATGTATTTTTTGGATTACTATTGTGACTATTTTGACTATGTCATCACCAGAAGAGAACGTACAAGAACTGTTCTAAACAATATCAATAGATCAAGAAATCCTGAGATGGAGTGGAGAAGTTATGTTAATAATGAAAGCTCAAACTTGAGAAAAAGAAGACTGAAACCTAAAAACAAAGATTTTGAAATCATTACTCAAATTGGTCAAGGTGGTTATGGTCAAGTTTACCTTTCCAGAAAGAAGGATTCAAAAGAAATTTGTGCTTTGAAAGTTATTTCTAAATCAATGATTGTTAGAATGAATGAAACTGAACATTTATTGACAGAACGTGAAATTTTAGCTGCATCAAGAAGTGACTGGCTTGTTAAGCTATTATATTCCTTTCAAGATACTACAAGTGTCTATTTAGGTATGGAATATGTTCCAGGTGGTGATTTCAGAACATTATTAAGTAACTGTCACACTTTAGCTCCACCACATTGTCGTTTCTACTTAGCTGAGATGTTTGCTTCATTAAATGATTTACATAAGACAGGGTTCATTCATAGAGATTTAAAACCTGAGAATTTTTTGATTGATTCAAAAGGTCATTTGAAATTAACAGATTTTGGGTTAGCTTGTGGTACAATTGCAGATGAAAGAATACATTCAATGAAAATCAAATTAGAAAAAATTGGTGATGCTTTTGGTAAACCAAGACCAGATAGAACTCTCTTAGAAAGAAGAAAAATGTATCAACAACTGAGAGAAACTGACCTAAATTATTCAAAATCCGTTGTTGGTAGTCCAGATTATATGGCAATTGATATTGTTAAAGGTTATGCATATGATAAGACAGTCGATTATTGGTCTATTGGATGTATATTATTTGAGTGCTTATGTGGATTTTCACCATTCAGTGGTGAATCAACTGAAGAGACTTATTCAAATTTGAAGAATTGGAAATCATATTTTGTTAGACCAAAAAACAGCGATGGCTCATATGTATTTAGTGATAGAACTTGGGAATTCTTAACTCGTTTAATTGCTGATAGTCCAAATCGTCTGAAAACTTTTGAACAAGTTAAAAGAATGAATTATTTTGCAGGAGTTGATTTTGACAATTTAAGAAATAAATCACCACCTTTCATTCCTTCATTAGATTCTGATCTTGATGCTGGTTATTTCGATGATTTTGAAGATGAAGGTGATATGGCTAAATATGCCGAAGTTTTCAATAAACAAGCACATATTGAAAAACTGGCAAGTCAAAACAAACAAAAACCACCAAATTTTGTTGGGTTTACATTCAAACATAAAGGACAAATGAATGATATTAGAAATATGTTTGAAAATACTACCAAGGATCCATTCTCAACATTATATTAGGTTAAGTCATGGTTAAAAATTCATTTCAGAAAGCAGAGAAAAAAAAGAGGAGTTATGTACTGTAATATGTTACAATTTGTTTTATTAGTTATTTTTATTTCAAGTTCTGAAGGGATACAAGAGGGTGTATTTCCATTACAGAGAATCATATGAATGATTCAGATATATTGTATTATGTTCATTCTATAAATATACCAAATTAGTTTAAACTTTGTAGTTTTGTAAAGTAATACCTAAAGTTCAGCTGTGAAATCAAAAGGTTTAAAAGCTTCTTTGAACGTTTCAGTCTCTTGAGTTTCCCTTTGTTCAGACTGTTGACATTTATCCCATTTGATTCTTTTTGGAACTTGTAATAAGTAAGCTAAAACACGACGACCAAATTGTAAATCCAAAGGTTTATCTAAAGAATCAATATCACTAACATAAATTGATTTATCTTCAATTGATTTATTGAAAACTTTAAATGAAATAAAATCCTTATGAGTTCTCAAAAAACTTTGATATTCTTCATCAGTATCATCATTAAACTTTCTGAAATTTAATTGAACATTTCTAGTATATTTGGTGTTATTAATAGAAGCATTTTTATTCAATGTTTTCTCAAAATCTGTAAGGAAATCAACAGCAACTGGGAAAACTTGATTATGGAAATGAACATTATTAGATTTATTAATTTGGAAAATAACTGTACCCAAATTGAAACTAGCAAATAATTTGACCAACGATAATTCATACCTGAGAACTTCACTTAGAGTTTGTTGATCTTCTTTTTGGATATTTTCAACATTTTGTTCAAGTCTTGGATTATGTGCGATTGGGATTATAAGACAATGGCCTGAAAATTTCATCTTATCAGTAGGTCTTGTTAATGGACCTTTTGCTATTGTTAAATAAGAATGTTCACCGATTGATATGATTAAATGTTCTTTTAATTTCGGGTTACTTAGACAGAAGAAACAATTTTCTGGTAAGACAACTTTATTTGTAGCAGCATGTTTTTTAGCAATTGGTTGAGATTCGTCATTAATTGGTGTAAGATCTGAGTCTTGAGCTTTACGCTTTTTGGATTCTGGGGAGGCTAATCCTTCTTCTTTGTCTTGAATAGTTGTGAATGGATTTGGGGTTAATGTTTTTGGTGGTGTTGAATCTTGACCTTTAGAATAGTTAAATGCATAAATCCATTTTTCTTTAAAGCCAAATTTGGATAAACTAATGAACCTAGTTATAGAGCCATCTTCCCATTCAAATGGTAGTCTTTCAAGGAAATGACCTGACTGAGAACCTATAGCAAAATGATATTTTGGTTTGGTCAATTTAACAATTGTATCAATATTTGAATTTCCAAGGAATAATTTAGCTTCATGTGATATCACTTTTGGCCATTGATATGTCACCAGTATGTCAATTTCTTTCCCTTCTATCTTTGACTTGAATTCATTCAAATTTTCATTTATTGTTGATTCATCACCTGTAATGAATGCTAAAGTAATTTCATTAGCAAAAGCATGAACACCAAAATTTCCCAAATTATTAAAGTTGGGTATACTTTGAGTTATATCTGAGCTAGAATCAGCTGTAAAATAGATTGGATGCTCAACATCTACCAAAATAGGTTTGCTCGTATTCTCATTATCTGCCTTAGAGATAACATCACCTAAGAATATAGTAGCATCGAAAGGACCAGATTTCTTATTCAACGCATTTGTTTTCGTAATAACTGTACTAATATTTTCTTGACCAGGATATGCAACTAGACTATATGCAAAAGAAGTTAGTATTCATTTTTCCAAAAGATAATTGAGTAATATGTTGGATAGATAGTAGATACTCACATTTTTGGCATGATTATATTAAATCCACTCCGAATAAAACACTTAAAGCTCTAAAGTAGTACCTGATTTACCTTGAACGTTGGATGTTTCACTTTCACTATCTGGATAATATGAGACGAAATGCAAACTTTCCTATCTTTTAAACAACGTAATTGCAAAATCTTTCGAAAAATAAACCTTGTTTAAAGATTTAATTGTATATTGTTTAATATAATCCTCGGGATAAATAAAAATTTCAAAGGTTATGAGCCCTCGGCCTTACTTGATTTAAGCGATGATACCTGATTATACCTTCAAAACGAGCTTTATTGCTATGTATGGCAATAGATCTTGGATCTGGATGCTTTGGTATTAGCGAGTGTACGTTGCGGTAGACCTTTTGGCTGCACGGATTCAGAAATTAATTCAATACATACAATTAAAGAGGACATTTGAAATATATAATTGTGAATTTTCAGGCTCAACTGGACAATTATGGAGCATTTCAAAGGATGAATCCATCACACACCATGCAAAACTCGTTCTAGTCATAACTCATGATACTAACGCATCAAATATGATGATAAAATTACAACAGGAAGATATGATGGGAATGATATTTTTGACTTACAATTTGGACAGCTATATAGCTCTCATATCGATGAGTTTGAACTTTAGGGCGAAGAAATCAGATATATCCTATATTATAATATGAGAATCGATCACTTTAACAGCTAGCGTAAAATTCTTATTGATTTCATTAACTGCAGTAATAGAGTTTCTAAAATTAATGTTGCTCATTCAATATCACACTATAGCTACTCTCATCACCATGATAATTGGTCTTTTATGATCACCTTAGTTAACTTATCTGCAATTAAAGAGTCCACAACTTTATGAATGATATTCACACATGGTCCAAAGACAACAATAAGCCTTATATGATCAGGATTCAGTGCCTTCCAAGCTTTACAGAAACTCATGAAACTACCATGAAGCAGAAACAACAGCGCTATGCCAATTATTTACCAAGCTCAAAAAACGAACTATAACCTTGGACCGCAATGCATATGAATATATTATATATCTATATATGTATAAACATAATTACACATATTGAGAAAGTGGAGTGGAGGTTGATGCAAAACTTTTCATTTAGCCATGATATTTGTGTCGTCACAATATTTAAGCCTATGTCATGATGTAGCCAGCCGTAAGTTGTAACCACCAGATCTCTAGAGATGGGCAAAGTATCTAGAGTTTGAAAAGATTCACCTCAATCCTTCAAGAGTGAACCCTAATTACTTGAATGCGGTCGCTTGAGATCCCTCCATGAGCACTGACTACTCTTTTAACTCTGGTCCTTTAATTAATCAATTAGTTGCATTGTCCAAGATCTCAATTCTATACATTTATAATAATTACCTGTCGGTTGTAACGTTTATCTGCATCCTTATGAAACCGAGATGCATCGAATGTTCTTTCGGAAAGAAAAGAATGAATCTGGGTATGTATACGAGCTCAAGAAATATACGGCAGAAACTTCATATAGGTCGATCATATTGAGTATTGAGCAATCAGTGAAATATCACAAAAGGTATAAAGGGGGTTTATCTTAGATCTGAACAGCTAACTTTACTATTGTATAAAATTATTCATATAAGGTAAATTGGCGCTGCGCATTTCGAATTTTAATATGGCGATTGTTGTTTCTACACCTAGCAGCTAGTTGTGTAATATATTATATTAATAATTATATATACCGACATGCATTATAATATATATTGATTTAACAGCGATACAGCTAATACTGCTCAATTAATACACCACTATATTGACAATTCTTGTAGATACATTTGAAGACGACTAGTTGAAAGTCTTAGCGTTTGAATCGCATACTATCTAGAGCAACATATCAACTATTCTCTGATGATTGATCCCGATTCAGCTTGTTAGTATAACCGAGAAATGGACCAGCACATTGACATTTGATCTCTAGATATACATCAAGATGAATCTGGGATACTACGTAGTACGTTATAGGAACTATTGCACACCATCGTATATAAATATATACGTACTATCGTTTTTAACCCTTTCCGCCTAAATGAAACATATATACCCACGAAGGTTCTACAATGATGATGCCGTCGTTGGAAATTGAAATATATCTAGCTCTTCTTAACGGTCTTACTGATGTTGTTAAGCGAGCTGAATCATGCGCATTCGCATTTAAAATAGCATAAGCGTACAGCGACTTGAGCATAATTTTGTGCAAGATCCAAGATCCAAGATTCAAGATTCAAAATTACAAAGAAGTTACAACAAGTACCAAGCTCCAGCCAACCTACAGAACTACTGAAAATGGGCCAACCTATATAAAAATTCAATAGTGTAGTCCAAATTGTAGACATAATGTGTAATGTATAGACTATAGCTAGTGTATTCAAGCTAGTATAACCTAGCAAAGACCAACTAGTATATAGGCCGAAGATTCTCAAGCACGTCGTCACGTTTATTTGAAAGTTGACTTCAAGTTATAGTTAAAGGCCCTTATGGCTCCGTGTAAACCATTCAATAGAGTATATTATCGAGAAGTCCTTAAGCACTAAGAATAAAATAGGATGCGCTTACCTTTTTGCTGGATCTTTGTAAGCGTTTAGCCACCAGACAGATCTGAATGGTGTGTTAGTAATCTAATTAACGTATTTCTAGCGTTGATGCACTGCATATTATTTGTCCATTTTGTTTCTTGGTACTACCTAGCTGGGTATCACAGCTAACTATAACAATTTTTGGAAGATATAAGGGATTACAACTTGCATAAATGTTGAATATTAATAGTAGACGGCATGGCTAGTGAACCACTTAAGCAGGTAGTCTTAAGGAAAAGTTTTCAAAATAATTTCCTAGTGTATAGTTTCAATCCAATCGTAAGGGTTAATTTATGCTAATGTTGTAATTTATAAGATCGAACTTCCTAGTTACTCTAGTATATAATATATATGAAATAAATGTATGATGAGAGATAATGAGAAAGTGATATATGCTGAAACATTATATATGGAAGATGCATTCGACATCAGCATCATTTTATTTCCAGAAAAATCATTTCTAAATATTCAGTACTTCTAAGAAAGTTATTCCCATATTAGTGGAAAAAAATCTTCCCGTATGCATGAAATATCTTTAACTTTTGACTTTAAGCTTTTTAAATCACATACTTATACTTCAAACCTCTGAGTTCATGAAGCTAAGAATGCATAGAATGCTATAAATTTAGTATATTGAACATCACCTTACATTTATACAGAACCATTTAGCACTATTTAACACTGAAGAACAAGCAAATAATAAGTCTAACTGTATGTTCTCTCTCATGTCAAGTCAAGCTGGTAATGGGTTGTACTGATCAATGAAATATATATATATATCCATATATAATGTATTTTTCACTTGCTTTATTTGCTTCTATATAGGTTCCATATAAATCATATTAGTCAATCGTTCAAATCAACATAAGGTATTGAATAAAATGGTCAATTCATTCGCTCCAGGCCAGTCTTTGATATGGACTATATTCAGTCTTTTATGCATCAGCACAGTATTTGCTAAAGAGGTTGATGGTGTTTTCAAAAGTATTGATTCATTAACCTTTTATCAAGGTGATCGTAATTCACCATTTGATTTTTATAAGGCAGAAGTTAGCTGGTCACTTGATCCTTCCAAGATTTCAACTGGTGATACTTTCTCATTGAATATGCCATATGTTTATGAAGTTAGATTAACAACTGGTAGTGGTTTTCAAAATTTCTTTGATATTGTTTTAGGTGATGGTAAACATATTGCAAGTTGTACCATTGATCAAGCTGGTGGTAGATCATTGGCAACTAAAGTCAACTGTCAATTGACTGCTGATGTTTCATCCTATCAATCTCTCTCAGGTAAATTAGATTTCGATGTTGTTTTTGAAGGTGGTGGTAGAGTTGAAACTGTTGAAGGTGCTAAACAATGGACAGCAGGTTCCAACACTGTCACATGGAATGGTGATTTGCAAAACAGTATTTATATCAATCCACAAAGTTCAAATAAGCAATACTATCTTTCAAGATACACCATGAAAGGTGATATGTGGAATTATTTCATCACTGGTGATAGTTTCTGTTATGGTTCAGGTATTTCTAGAGGTACTTTGAAATTCTCAATTTCAGGTGGTCCAGGTGGTGATTTCGGTGTTCTAGATAGAAACTTGATTGAATTCAAAACTACCAATGATGTCAGCCCTTTCAACTTGCCAAAATCTTATGGTGATGCCAGTGATGTTCAAATGTCTTATAGTAACTTTGGTAAAGATGTTACTATTAGTTTTGGTAATGTTAATGCTGGTGATCGTATCTGGCTTTCAGCTTTCAGAAAGTTTGCATTCACAAACAGCAGATACTCAATCAAATATCAGCTCTCTGCAAAATGTAACAACGATCTCCCAGATTCATACAACCAACTTATCAACTTGCAATTGGTTCCAGGTGATGCCGGTTCAGATGGTTCAGGTGTGGGTGAGTATAATTTATTTTTTTTTCTCCTTATGATTTCATAAGCAATTACTAACAAAAAATCTATAGACTTACCAAAAACAATTACAACAACTTACACTTTCACAGAATGTACTGCTACCACTTCATTTGCCACTGGTAATGATGGCACTGTCACTGAAATCGTGAATGTTCCAGGCTCAAGTTGTCCTGCCAGTGAAAGCTCTTCTTCATCTTCAAGCTCAAGCTCAGTTATCACTTCATCGAGCTCAGAATCTTCATCTATTCCTTCAGAAGTTCCAAGCTCTTCAATTCCAAGTTCTTCTTCAATCGAATCATCATCATCAGAAGCTTCAAGCTCCTCAATTGAATCATCATCTTCATCAGAAGTTTCATCTTCAGTTGAATCATCTTCTTCTTCAGATGTTTCAAGCTCTTCAGAAGCTTCGAGCTCTTCAATTGAATCATCCTCCTCATCATCTGAGGTTTCGTCATCATCTGAAGTGTCAAGCTCTTCAATTGAATCATCATCATCTGAATTTTCATCATCATCTGAAGTCTCGAGCTCCTCAGAAGTTTCATCATCATCTGAATCAGCTTCAAGTTCATCAGATATTCCGTCTTCTTCTGAATCATCTAGCGAGTCATGGATCATAAGCTCTTCAGCTTCAGAATCTTCTTCTTATCCACTGATTTCAAGTTCAAGCTCAATGCCATCAAATTCTAGTTACATTGCTCCATCATTGACCTCAAGCTCAAGCTTTTCCATTCCAACAGAACCTTCATTTACTAAGTCAAAGACTAAAACAAAATCCAAATCAAAGACAAAAACAAAGACTAAAACAAAGTCTTCAAGTGAATATTCTTCAAGTTCATCTGAATTATCATCAGACAGTTCTTTGACTGAAAGTTCATCGCTATTATCAAGCTCTTCAGATATTTCAAGCTCTTCAGATATTTCAAGCTCTTCAGATATTTCAAGCTCTTTCGTTCCATCGAGTTCTTTTGTTCCATCATCATCATCATCATCATCATCAGATGTTTCTTCAAGCTCATCTGTTACTCCAAGCTCTTATACCTCATCTAGTGAATCAAAATCAAGCTCTGATAGCTACACATCAGATACTGCTTCTTCACAAAGTTCTTCATCAAGTATCACACCATGCCCAACTTGTACACCAAGCTCTTCAATTTTTTCAAGTTCAACTGAAAGTTCCTCAAGTGAAGCTTCAAGCTCCTCTTTGTCATCAAGTGAAACTCAATCAAGCACATCGGGATCCTCTTCAAAGGTTTCCTCAAGTTCAGCTAGCTCATCAGGTTCTTCAAGCTCATCAGATGTTACACCATGTCCAACTTGCACTCCAAGCTCTAGTGAGACTTCTCCTGTTCCACCATCTTCTTCATCAACTACGGTCTCAAGCTCCACTGTTTCATCTTCATCTTCACAATTTGATTCCAGCTCCACAGATGTTAAATCAAGTTCAAGTGATAACAATAGCTCAAGTTTCCCAGGTACTTCAAAAGTATCATCAACATCTGTTACACCTTCAGGGTCACAAACATCTGGATCTTCCTCATCATCACCATCCAGTTCTACAAATAAATCAACACCAGATGTTCCAGTTGTTCCAACCAATCCATCGGTTCCAGGTACCTCAGCTACACCATCAACAATAGTATCTACAACAACTGTTACCCCATCTAATCCAAATGTTCCAGATATTTCAAGTACACCATTATCCTCAAGATCTTCATCATTCATAACACCAGATAAGCCAGTTAACCCAACTGCTCCAGTTAATCCATCAGGTCCTGTTACATTGGTCTCTACAACAACCGTTACACCAACTAATCCAAATGTTCCAGGTACTTCGGATACACCAAGATCTCCAGAATCTCCATCATCTACAACACCAGCTAATCCATCAGCTCCTGGTACATCAGGATCACCAAATGAACCTACTAGACCAGTTTCACCAGGTACTTCATCAGTTCCAGCTATTCCAGATGTTCCAGGTAATCCATCAACCCCAGGTAACTCAGGTGTTCCAAAAACTTCAACAACACCAGGTTCCCCAGGTTCCCCAGGCTCTTCAAATACCCCTGCTACACCAAGATCACCATCTGCTACACCAGTAAACCCGGATACCCCAAAATCACCAGGTAACTCAGAAACTTTATCAACATCAACCATTGTTACACCAGGCTCACCAACATCTTCAGCTACACCAAATGTTGATATACAAACCTCAACTACTCCAGGTGGAAATACACCAATTGAAACACAAGGTACATCTAGTTTATCATCTGTTTCACCATCAGGTTCACAATCAGCTCCATCACCAAGCTCACCACAATCAATCGTTACAGGTTCTGGTTCATCCAGTGTACCAAACATTTCTACATTTGAAGCTTCAGCTATGAAGCAAGGAGTCTCCAAATTTGCTGTTTTAGCTGTTTTATTCTTTCTATGATTTGATTGATTTGAATCATGCTTATTTTTTCTTCAATTTTCAACGTTAATTAATTATTAATCTTTCCACTCTCAATTTTTTAATTCATGTTGAGAGCTCTTTCAATTTCGAAAGTTCATGATCCATCGGATTTCCCATTTATGAAAATATTATACCCATTTTTTGTTATTTCTTGCTTTTCAAATTTTGTTTCCTTATGAGATGAGTTGAAATCCTCTTGTATAATTTATTTATATCATGTTATCATATATATATATAAACGATTTTAATATTAAATAATTCAAGTATACCAATATTATCGACTTATGATATTCTAATTTGTTATATATACATGATATGTACTTAAACGTTGTACATCAGCTGCTTAATCAAAAAGCTGGGACTAGCTGTAGCTCTACTAGTATATATATAAGAGTATTTTTTCTTATATGACCATTATGTATATTAAGTTAAAGCATTGAAAAATCTACTAATATTTAGCTTGAATTACTGGTCTGAGAGAGGTGACAATTCGTCATGAATATGTCGTCTTTAACATTTTATTAAGATCGAAATCCCCATATTATATCATGATTTAAATTACTGTATATTACGACATATACATCGACGAATATTCCACGATTTTAATAGATCAAATATATTCACTATTATATATTAAAGCTTTTATCTAGGATGTAAAAGGCCAGTCTTCTAACATCATATAACAATATTACGCGACTTTAACAGTGTTCATTAGCTACCTGATGTAGTATGTATAAATTTGAGGATATTATAGAGGGACAAGTTTCAATCTCTCTACACCATTATACGGACCATATATTAAGACACTCTAAAAGTTGTACTGAATTCCGATGCATCGTCGTACTCTTTGGTAGAGCATCAGCCTTTGGGTATGAATTTAAGTGAGTTGTTGAAGTGTTTGTAAATAATTTTTGCCGTTGCGCGTAATGAAAAATAATGAACGCCCTGAACAAATTTCTTCAAAAGCCTGAACAGTAAAGTATACACCAAAACATCTCTAAGGATTGAGAAACAAAACATTCTATGCTCAGTGTGCTATGTTGAATTGAATCTTTGTTCTCGAAAGGGGTACTGCTCTCTGGATCCAAACCTAATTTGGTATACCATAACATCGCTGATTTGATTTAGTGCTGAAATCTTGCTTTTATACATATTGAATTCATTTTGAATGAAATGCTCATACACACCAAGACAGCAACAGAAGTATTATACCAGCTCTCTAGATTAGATCCATTTAGAGAACTGTTGCTCTGACATAACGGATAAATCAGCTTTTAATGCCGCTTTGTCGCTATTTCATGGAGATTTATATTGGGAATGTTGTACATTTGGAATGTTGAACCCACGAATGCCTGAGCAAAGAACATCAAGTGTTATAACTTATGAGTTACCAACTTGGACCACACCAACCGAGGAAATCAAATTTGCTTATTCTACATGAGTACGCTCTGCATCAATACGCAAAATACCTTGATACGTCAATTCATCCTTTGATGATTTCCGTTCTTTTGTTGAATATCTCGCAAATTAATTCAATAATGATGAGATAAATCGACCGTTGTTCAAGGAAAACATGCGCATTACTACTACAATTATTGGATCATTACAGTATTATAGACATGTCACATATCACGAAACATATTTTTTGAGTATAGTCAACTGGAATGTGGAATGGTTTCTGATTAAAATTAAATCACTCTAGGATCTGTTTTATTGGTGCTTTCATCACATATTGTCACCCAAAGCTTTCTGCTAACCAGTGGTACCTGTTAACCTTTGAGCACAATCTATAAATAACATCAGGATGTTGTCATGAAACAAAATGGGTATGGTGAATCGTGATCTTCCTCAGTAAAAAGGTTTTTTCATCTCAGATTGGATATTTGATTGTTGATGCTCAGGGCTTTCTGCATAACTATGCATACAACCGAGAAAGATTAAACATGAAATCTGGGAGATCCTTTAACGTTTTATTGATACAATACGATTGTCAAACCGTCAGATCCAAGAAATGTATGGTCTTTTTCCAAACTATCAGTCTAACTAATTTGAACTCATATTTGATTGAAATATTGCCTATTCATAGAGTTGAAGAACCAGAATATCTAGATATTTTATAGGAGCTAAAGTTACCAAATCAACATAAACTATATTTCAACATACATTAAAAACACTTTCTCGTGATTGAGGACTATTAAAGGACGCGTTCAAGAATAATTATCAAAATCTATCAAGGCAGATGCATGACGGTTAAGTACACTATATGCCTTTCAATCCAGTACGAACTTTTAGTTTTAAATTAAAATGTTTATATATAAGAAATGGAATATAAATACTCATTCATTTCCTATCAAACTTTGATTTGGAACTTGTTTCATTCAACATCAAGAAAGTTATACACTCGCTTAATAAAGATGCTTTATTCCAAACTTTCAAAGACATTGGTCACTGGTGCATTAACATTAGGTGCTACTGCAAAGCATTGTGATAATGTTTTCAGATCAATTGAATCTGTTAACTTATATGAAGGTGAAGGATATCCTATGGATTTTTATCAAATGAAATTAAATTGGAGAATTGATCAAGATCAAGAAGTTCATGTTGGTGATACTTTCTCATTGGACATGCCTAATGTTATGGAAGTTAGATTAACTGAATCCGATGGGTTTGGTAATAGTTTTGATATTGTTACAGATGATAAAACACATATTGCTACATGTGATTTACAACAAGGTGCTGGTAGAACTTCATCTTCAAAAATTTCTTGTGAATGTACCTCTGATCTTTCATCAAAAAGTTATGTTGAAGGTAATTCTAATTTTGATATTGTTTTTGTTGGTGGTGGTCGTTATGATCAAACTGAAGAAGCTAAATGTTGGTCAGTCGGTGAAAACAAAATTACTTTCAACAATAATCTTTCAACTACTATTGATTTCAAAAAAGCTGACACTTATAACACTGGTATTTTTGCTCGTTATTCCATGCAAGATGATGTATACTATTATTATTTATCCCCAGAAAATGTTTGTCAAAATTCAGGTATTCAAGAAGGTAGTTTCACATTTAAAACTGAAGTTGACTGGTCTGACTTTGGTGAATTGAAAAAAGATTTAACTGAAGTTTTCATTGCTAAAGAAATCAATGAGTTTGGTTACCCAACTAGTGTTGAAGAATTACCAGTCACTGATTCATCTTATTCATCAGATGGTAAATCTTATACTGTCAAATTCGGTGCTATTGAAGCTGGTTCCCGTTTTGTTTTCTCTTCCTTTGCCAAATATAGATTCATGGACTCAGAATATAATGCTTTTAATGCTTTAGAATGTTTATGTGGTGATAATCAATATTCAAAAGATATCAAGACTACAAGATTCAGAATTGTTCCTGGTAACACTGGAAGTGGCGGTAATTATAAAGGTGAGTTCATATTTTTATTACAAAAATTAAATTGAGTAATTTACTAACATTTCAAACTAGATATTTCATCAACTTACACAACTACTACTACATCTACATGGACTGGATCAGAAACTACTACAAGCTTTACTACTGGTGGTGATACTGTCACTGAAATTGTTGAAGTTCCAAGTTCCAAACAACATTCAGTTAGCTCTTCCATTTCTTTATCTGAAAGCTGTTCTACTGAAACCACAACTGTCACCACACCTTGGACTGGTACTTTCACTAGTACATTCACTGAATCTGTTCCTTATGGTGGTACTATTGTCACTGTTGTTGTTGAAACCCCAGAAGCTTCCACTGATTGCTCAACCACTGAATCAGAAACTTCAGTTCCTCCATTTGAAAGCTGCTCCACTGAAACCACAACTGTTACTACACCATGGACTGGTACCTTTACTAGTACTTTCACTGAATCAGTTCCTTACGGTGGTACTATTGTTACTGTCGTTGTTGAAACACCAGATATCAAAACACCAAGTGCATCAACTGAATATACTACAACCACCGAAACATGGAGTGAAAGTTATGCTACAACCACTACTGAATCATTATCTTCAGGTGCTACTGTGATCACTGTTGATGTTGAAACCCCAGCTGTCTCATCTCAATCATCTGGTTACTGGAATGTTTCAACCCCAGTTGACTATTCATCAAGCTCAAGTGAAATTATTACAGAATCAACACCAGTTGCAAGTTCTACAACTATTGTTATCACTACTACTGTTTCTGGTCACACTGTTACTACAACTACAGTTATTCCATGTTCAGAAACTGATGTTCCAACAACTAAATCTTCACAAGCTTCTTCCTCTTTGGTTCATTCAACACCAGTTTCTTCATTAACATCTGGAACAGCTTCTCATCCAGCTCCAAGCTCTACCACTATTGTTTACACCACAACTGTTTCAGGCTCCACTGTTACTATTACTGAAACTGTACCATGCTCAACCACTGAAACATCTTCTGTTGAATCTTCAGAACTATCATCAGTTATTATTTCTACATCAGGGTCATCATCTGCTCCACCTGCTAGTCAACCAGGTTCATCATCTGCTCCATTTGCTAGTCAACCAGGCTCATCATCTGCTCCATCTGCTAGTCAACCAGGCTCATCATCTTCTCCATCTGGTACTCAACCAGCTCCAAGCTCCACCACTGTTGTTTACACCACAATTGTTTCAGGCTCAACTATTACTACAACTGAAATTGTTCCATGTTCATCCACTGAAACTTCTTTTGTTGAATCTTCAAAATCATCATCTGCTGTTATTTCAACCTTAGAATCATCATCAGCTCCAGCTGTTAGTCATCCAGGTTCTTCATCAGCTCCAGCTACTAGTCATTTAGAATCATCATCATCTCCATCTGCTAGTCACTCAGGTTCAGCTTCTGGTTCATCATCAGCGGTTTCATCTGGTACTCAACCAGCACCAAGTTCCACCACTGTTGTTTACACTACAATTGTTTCTGGCTCAACTGTTACTTTAACTGAAACTGTTCCATGCTCAACCACTGAAGGTTCTTCTGCTACTACAACTTTAACCAGTGGCCACCAATCATCAGCTGTTCAATCATCAGATTCCAAAACAACACCAGATGCTTCTACTTTAATTGAATCACACAACTCAAAAGTTAGCTCAACTATTTATGGTTCTTCATCATCCACTGCTGTTGTTGGTTCAAGTACTGGTTCTGGTTCTTCTGCTGTTACTAAATCAGTTGATGTTACTAGTGTTTCTTCTGCTAATACCAAATCAACTGATATCGCCACTGGTTCTTCCGCTGTTACCAAACCAACTCATGATGCTAAAGAATCTTCTGTTGTTTCAAAACCAACTGATAAGGCTACTGAATCTAGACATTCATCTAACCCACAAGCTACTACTGGTGGTGAAACTAAAGTTTATTCTTCAAATTCTGAATCTGCTCCAGGTAATCAATCACCAACAGTTCAAACTCAAGCTACACCATTGATCACTTCATCATCTGCTGATGTTCACACAACTGTTATCAAAGCTAGTGGCTCAATTGAAAGTGATAGTACTTCAACTTACACTGATGTTACCATTGTGACTTGTCCAGCTAGCTCAGGTGTCTCAAATTCAAAACCAGCTACTTCATCAGTTGCTGCTGCTCAACAATCTGGTAATTCAACTATCCCAGCTCCAGTTATCTCAACTGCTCCAACTGCTTCAGTATTTGAAGGTGCTGCTACAAGATTAGGTGTTGCAGCTTCGGGTGTTGTTGTTTTCATTTCAATGTTATTCTTATGATTTTAAGGTTATTCTTTTCATTACTATTACAATCATCAATTAATTCTTTATTCAATTCATGTGTTAGTTATTGATTCAACTAATACATTACAGTATTGAAAACATTCTTTCAAAACTATTTGTTTTCTTTGACTGATATTCATCAGCGTTATACCCCTATGAACATTCAAATGTTCTTTATTATTCTACATTGACACTTTAGCAATTTTTCAAAGTCTCCAAATTTCTGGGGAACATTGTATTGTATATTTTATTTCAACTTTCAAAGCTATATATTTCTTTTTTAGTGATGTTAATATAATGATATTTTTTAATATACTCAAATTTTTGTATTTCAAGACCTATATAATGATATATAATGATTTTCATTAAACCACATATCTGAACTTGAAGTTTTCAAAATCAGTAAGATCCATAAATTCATAGTTTTCAGGAAGCTCAGGTTGGTGTGTAGTATGGTCAGAACTTAGATTGTCTCTTCTTTTATTCTCTTTTATGTTGACCAAATACATAATCACCATGAGGAACAGAGAAGCAGCAGAGCAGGCAGCCATTATAACTTTACTTTGACGATAATCAGGAGCCCATTTTTCTTGAAAAGTTTGAGGGCCAATCATATTACCGACACAATAAGATACAAGATATAACCCCATAACGACCCCTTTCTTTGTGTAACCTAATGTATTGGTTGTTATCATACTTATAACGGTGACCCATCCAATATGAACAACGGCAGAAAAAACATAACCCACAAACTGTGCTGTTTTATTCTCTGGAAAAGCTAGCAGACAGCATGCAATGAAAGCAACAGAATATCCAGCAATTCCACACAAGGTTCTATTCCCAAAGTATTTTATTGCGTAGAATAGAAAAAATGAAGATAAAAATTGACAAGCACCATTTGGCATTGACAATAATAAGGCTTGTAGCTCACTATACCCAAAGCTATCTTTGATCAAAATGCTACCAAAACTTGTTAAAGCACCATTTGGAACAGTAGATATGATACCGTGTGTGATGTATAGATATGTTCTAATATCTTTAAATGCTTCAATGGCTTGATATCTTTTGAACTTTGGATTACCAAAACCTTGTTGATTAACTCTGATCCTTTCAACAGATATCTTACGCTCTTTCTCTGTGAGAAACCACGCTTCATTAGGAGTATCAGGTAAATGAAAGAATAAGATGACTGATAATAAAAGGGTAAAGATCCCTGTCACTAAAAATAAAAGTTTCCATGCCTTTATTGTCATTGACTCTTCATGTTTAGCCAATCCATAAGCCAAAGCTGCACCTAAGATGTTACCAACACCGTTGCTTGACCACCAAAAAGTATTTCTTTGAAATTGTTCATCTTTCTTGTAGTACTGGGCTGTTAACATAACAGCTGCTGGTGAGATTGCAGATTCCATGGCTCCTAAGAAAAATCTAGCCGTTAACATACCACCAAAATTGAAAGCTGCTGCTGCGTTTAATATTTGTACTGACCCCCAAACAAAGACAAAAGCAGACATTGTTTTCATCAAAGGGAACCTTTGAAGTAATCTAACACTTAAAAATTCAAAGCTTAACCATCCCAAGTAGAAAGCAGTGGTAAGCCAGGAAAATTGATTACCTTTCAACTCTAGATCATCTCTTAACCCCATAATACCAGTAAATGATATGGTAACCTTGTCCATGAATTGAGTACCATAAACAACACAAAGCAGTAGAGTGACGTTCAAATCAAGCTTTCTGACTAGGGAAGATTCTTCTTCCTCTGTGTATGTTATCCCTTTACCTTCCTTTGCTAATTTAAGAGCCAAATCACCATTAGAAATATCACCGTCATTTCGCTCTAAATCTGAGCTTGACAACTCAATAACTTCACCAACATGATGGTCCAACTCGGCCACTTTCACAACGCTTTCAGATTTACTGCTGATCTGTCTAACCATTTTCAGTCGATTTGATCGATAGCTATTAAGTTATAACGCCATCCATAATCTAGAACTTCAATATTGTCCTTTCGGGTCATATTTATACAGATCGAATATCACACTTAAGTCGACTCATCTTAAAGACAATCAACCCACGCGTTTACTTATTCTGTTCCCTTTCTTATCGATTTGGGTGTGAAACGTGAAACCCTCAAAAAGTATGTATATCTATTTAAAAGAGCGATAAGAAACATATTGCAGAACTATTAACAATAGAGAATTTTGTTATCAGTTTTCTATCATCAATTCACTAGACCTTGTTCTCGGACCGGATGGCGTTGTGGAGGGCCCCAAGTACGGGCCGATCGCAGAAACAAGCAAATTAGCTATAGTATATCGTAGAACTACAAGTTCAAATGATATACTGACTTGTAGTCCTAGATATTGGTGAAACTAATCCCATATGGCACATTATGGAGATGATAATAAATATATTCAGCCCTTGAGTATATATCCTAGCCACAAGCTGCTGAAATGACATCTTATAATGCATAATTCGCTTTGATCAGCAGGCCGGCCCTAGTACCATAACATCAATTAAGTGACATATAATATCAAAGCAGACTCCAGAGGCCGTATAGACTGGTTGCTGTTTTGCAGAATGAAAGTGAATAATATGATCTAGATTTGTACGTATATAATATTGTTGCTCGAGAGATAGGGAGTTGTAACAGATTTTAAGAAAAACTTAGATTTGAAATCTACAAATATTTAATTAATTGTGACCAGCAAAACATGGCAAGAATTATATCTTCCAAGGGTCAGATTATAAGAAAAATTGTAAATTAAACATTATTAACAGAAATTATTAATAAATTATAAATATATAATTAGAAGAACATAACAACTTCTTAAAAATGCAGCACCTTCTCAATGAAATGATTGAGTAAACAGTACTGATGAAAAAAACACTTTTGTGATAAACAAATGCACGAAGAAATTCCAAAAACAAAACATGAAGAAAACAGTCTAATAACAAACCTTGGTATAATGAATAAATTTTTTGAAGAATGAAAAAATTAATGAACCTTGAAACCCTATAAAATTCTTGAGTAACGAAAAAACCTAAATTATGAAGCAAAACAAAACTAATTATAATAGCCTAGATGATAAAAATCATCAAGAAAAACAAAATTATATTATGATTATTCAAAAACAACTTATAATAAGAAGTAGATGAATGAACCAACAACAGCGGTGAAACCAACACGTAAGTTAGAAGCAGCACCTTCATATTGAGAAACTGAAGCGACACTTGAACCTTGAGCTGGAGCTGATGAAGCACCTTGGGTAGCTAAAGTAGTTGATGGAGCACCTGAGGTTTCAGCAGCAGTTGAACCTTGTGGAGCAGCAGTAGTAGTACCTTCAGTTGGAGCTGAAGCTGAACCTGATGGAGCTGGAGCAGCTGAGGTTGGAGCAGCTGGAGCTTCTGATGATGGAGCAGCTGGAGTAGCTGGGGTAGCTGAAGTACCTTCAACTGGGGCTGAACCAGATGGAGCTGGAGCACCTGAAGTTGGAGCAGCTGGAGCTTCTGATGATGGAGCTGGAGCACCTGAAGTTGGAGCAGCTGGGGCTTCTGATGATGGAGCAGCTGGAGTAGCTGGAGTAGCAGAAGTACCTTCAGCTGGGGCTGAACCAGATGGAGCTGGAGCACCTGAAGTTGGAGCAGCTGGAACAGTTGAAGTTAATGGACAGTAAGTGGTGTAAACAGTTTCAGTACCTTTGTTGGTTTCAGTAACAACAGTGACACCGGTAGTAGCTGGAACTTCAGTACATTGGTTGTCTTTACAAGAAGTAACAGTGATAACAGCAGTTGATGAAGCAATAACAACTTGAGTTGAGGTTGAGTCTGAACCTTCAGTGGCTTTTGAAGCTGGAGCTGAACCGGATGGAGCTGGAGCACCTGAGGTTTGAGCAGCAGTTGATGGAGCTGGAGCAGCAGTTGAGGTTAATGGACAGTAAGTGGTGTAAACAGTTTCAGTACCTTCTTTGGTTTCAGTAACAACAGTGACACCGGTAGTAGCTGGAACTTCAGTACATTGGTTATCTTTACATGAAGTAACAGTGATAACGGTAGTTGATGAAGCAACAACGACATCAGTTGAGGTTGATTCAGAACCTGATGGAGCAGCTGAGGTTTGAGCAGCAGCTGAAGTACCAGTTGGAGCAGCTGATGAAGTTAATGGACAGTAAGTGGTGTAAATAGTTTCGGTACCTTCTTTGGTTTCAGTGACAACAGTGACACCGGTGGTAACTGGAACAGCTGAACAACCTTGAGAACCTGAACATGAGGTAACAGTGACAACAGTAGTTGATTGTTCTTCTTCAGTAGCAGTTGAGGTTGATTGAGCTGAAGCACCTGATGATTGAGCTGGAGCACCTGAAATAGTGGCAGATGATGAAGCTGGAGCAGATGATGAAGCATCTGATGATTGAGCTGGAGCACCTGAGATAGTAGCAGATGATGAAGCTGGAGCTGATGAAGAAGCATCTGAAGAAGCAGCTGATGAAGCAACTGATGAGGCAGCAGATGAAGCAGATGAAGCAGCTGATGAGGCAGCAGATGAAGCAGATGAAGCAGCAGATGAAGCAGCAGATGAAGCTGAAGCACCAACTGAAGCTGGAGCAGATGATGAAGCAGCAGCAGATGATGATGATGATGAAGCATCTTCATTGATGGTGTTTGATAAGTTGAAGGTAGAAGTTGCTCTTCTGATTAATTTTCTACCATCTGGAGTAGTGATAGTTAATGATAAGTCATTGGTGTATGGAGCACCTGAAGTAGCAGTAGCGTAGATTTTGAAGACTAATTCATCACCGGTGATTGGACCAACAGTAGCAGCAATTGATTCATCTGAAACTTCTTTTTCAGATTCGACACTTGAACCATCAACTTCGGTTTCAACTTTTGAGAAGATGTAATGGTCGGTTTCAGCATCTGATGAGATAGCAGCTTCAGTCCATGGACCAAGAGAAGCTGGAACATGAACTTCCCAGTATGGTTGACCATCTTGTAAACGACCTTCAATGTATGGAGTAGCAGATGATGAAGCAGATGATGATGGGGCAGATGATGAAGCTTCAGATGATGAAGCAACTGATGAAGCATCTGAGGAAACTGGAGCGGATGATGAAGCATCTGATGAAGCTGGAGCTGAGGATGAAGCATCTGATGAAACTGGAGCTGAGGATGAAGCATCTGATGAAACTGGAGCAGATGAGGAAGCAGCTGATGAAGCATCTGATGAAGCTGGAGCTGATGATGAACCAGCAGTTGGAGAGTAAATGAATGAATCTGATGAAGCATCTGAAGAAACTGGTTCTGATGATGGTAATGAGAAAGTTGAAGCTTCTGATGATGATGGACCAGCACCAATTGGAGCACTAGATGAAGCGATTGAGGATGAGTTACCTGAACCGTTGAAGTATTGTGCTGAAGCAGCAGCCATCAAGGTTGCAAGCAAAGTAGCTTTGTTGAATGAAACCATTGTGAATTTCTTTGGTTATTAGCGAATGAACAAAATTCAAAGTGGATGGTTTTCAAATAACTAAGATTAAAAATATTTGAAAGGGATGAGATCTGGCTTTATATATATTAATTTCTGGGTCAAAAATCCATTAATCTTCCAAAGCACCATGATTCATGGCTTGGGCGAAAAGAACTTCGGGTTCACCAAGTTGATGTATGAATTGGTACAATTCAACTGCACATAAAAAATCTATATCTACATAGAATTTTAAAGATCTGCGATTGTACATAATCTACTGCATAAACACACACTTATGTGCATACAGTGAAGTGGTTGTGCAAATCTGAAATAGTTTTTAAATTTCTGTTTTTCTCGGGCAAGCATCTTCTTTTAGGCCGCGCCAGCTCAATTATTCAGAAGAATAGTAAATAGTCACTTTTCCTTTTGATTAAGAAGATGATTAAATAGCTATTTCGGTGATGGGTTTGATTGACTCTCTGAGCAACGTTAACTTCGTTAAGTAATAATATTAATCGTTTGATGATTCTCTTTATAATAATTAAAGCTATTCCCGCAGCTTCAGTTTAGGCAAAGTGGTGGTTACCAAACGCCTCCTTTTGTGGCCCTTATCGCTTTTAAAAATAAATCATCTTGATTCTTCGCGCCGGTTAAAATTCAACGAGTCACAAAACGAAATCGAATTGTTTAGAACGTGGAAAAGCATTTAGCCAAATTTACTAACTATGGTTTAAACTTCATACGGTGATATAATTATGGGTAAACAATATGGTATGGCCTGAACTCTGGTTGATAATCAAATGAGGAAAAACAGCAATGAACGAATGGGGTTATACATCTACTTCAGCTCTTCAGCTACTTCAAAATGAGGACTCGCTCCTATTTTTGATAGCTCAAATAGGAATTTGCATTGATTTGAAAAGCTTAAATAAGCGCTCCTGCTTAGTTTAGTTGAATTTTTAACGTGTATTCCAGACTCCAGTGCGCTCTAGAAGGTAGCTCTACTAAAGTTTAGTAGAAATTAGTATTACCTGATCTAATATAACATGATCCTAATCTCCAATTAATATTTACTCTTGAGCTTTTGATGACTTGCAAACTAATTTCCTTGAAGCTCATTTGGCTAGATCAGTGTTACGGTTTACCATAGAATTCTGGGTCAATTTGTTGTAACTTGTGGGTAATTCTAATTTCTTACTAGTTCTCGCCATCAATGAGCACGGGCCACGCGTATTCTCGTACTCTATTGAAAAATCTCGATTTGACTAAACAGTTTTATTCAGGAACATAGATTTGAAATTAAAAACCCAGATTCAGGAATTACTTTTTTGATCGAAGATTAAAATCTAGGATTTTCTAAATTTTCTCGTACAATTTCTACAGCTACATTGACTTCCCCTAATAATTCATGGTAAATCTCGCTGAAATTCAAGTAAGAATTTCTGATCAATTGCTTTCAAATTCTAGGGTGCGTAAAGATCTACTATTCAAAATAGGTAATTCTTTGAAAAATCAACATTCTCCATGTCAGCTTATTCCATCAGATGTTCGAGCTAACTATTGTGTTGATTCACTGTTGATGAGTTTAAATCATTTTTGATGATCAAGATTCAAGACCCATAAATCAACTCTAACTTCTAACACCCGTCTATAAACTTTATACCATGTTAAAGCTCTGAACATGGTGAATTTCAAATTACAATTACCTCTTGGTGTCATATTGCATTAATCAGTAAGTAGTACTCAGCTAATTTCGGCTTCAATTGAGCTGACTGTGCTGAGTCCTGACTCTGGAGTCTGTAGCTGGTACAATTATTTGAGTTGAACTGGATCAGGATTCAGTACCGGCAAAATAGATACTAGACAACTTACCTTTGAGGTTTGACCAGAACTGGAGTTGTGTAGTTACTAGATACTAGATTGTAATGAGCATTAAAGACATGACCCGCTAAAGCATATTCCAGGCTAAATATTTAGGTACGACATGTCACATAAACCACTTCAGAATCCAGATTCCAGAAGTTATACTACCGGTACGTAGTACGTACTCTACGTATTCAGCTAATTGCCATCGCAGAATTTGTCTTTCAAGCTCAATCGAGCTCAAGAGTCCACGTTGTAACTTGTTATTGATTTTTTGTAGACTAAGGTAGTATTTACTATTATCGATTGTTAGAATCAACATAATATAGAATATATATATAAATTGGTTGCTCAAGTTTTATATAGTTCTGTCTGATTTACAAATTACAACCGTCCTCAATTCATGAACATCAAAGCAACATTGGTTCAAAGCTCTGAGTCCATAAGGAAGTTGAAACGCCTAGTTTGTAATTTGTGATCACTATCCTGTCAACATGTTGTATAAGCAATTGTGCTCTATCATTTACCTCCGGTAAATTAAAGAGTTAAAAGCTTCAAGTTTCAACCATACAAATTTTCAACGGATTATTTTCCTTTCCTGAAGAAGCTCTACGCATGAAAACTGCAAAAGATACATCCGAATATATGTAAATCGTGCATAAGGAGGGCGTAGGTTGAGCAGATGAGCACTGCGGAAAACAGATTTTAACTGTTAAAAGCTACCCAGTTCTACGCAGAAACATCGGTGATTTGAACCATTTCATGGGAAGCTTCCATCAGAAAATAGGCAGCAGCAGCTGAAGGCTGAAGGGCCCGCCCCCAAAGGGGGCTTCCGTCCAAAACCTTTGGAAATTGGTTCCAAGAAGTTCCAACTACGTGCAACTTTCAAACTCTGAGCTTCTTAACTTTCAGCTTTCTAGTTCCTAGTACATACGTCTTTTCTCACTTATATACAGTTTAACTGAAATTTTGTTTCTGAAATTTATTTGTGATTGACTTCAGTCTTCCCTTATTTCATTATATGTTTTATACTCACTCGAAAACACCTTGGTTCTCTATCTGAGCTTTAATGTTTAAGGTTGATAATTCTTTACAAATTACTGTCTGGGTTTCCAACTTCCAAGTTCCAAGGCCAGACTCGACACTGTTCAAACTTCAGAGCTGTCTAGACTCTAGAGGTACAATCGTTTTTTCATCAAGCCATTTTATGTCGATCTTTCCCTAAAAGTTGAGGTATCTCGGAAAATCAATCAATTTTTACGCTGTTGATCTTTTTTTCTAGCCCATGGGCCCATCATGGTCCATGGATATAAATGGACTTTAATGGAGTAAAATAAATCAAGAAGACAGGAACTTTTATAAAGACTCAACCTTATAAGTTATCATAAACTTTAACTGATTTTCAAACACTAGCTAGTACTCTGTTATCTGTTATACTAGTTTTATAATTAGCGCACGTTTTAGCTTAAAGGTGCAATATTATGAGTTGATTGAATAAAACAACCGGGTGTTCACTCTTGACATTGATCTTCAGTTTAACTATTAAAGATGAGAATTGATTATAAACAAACGACGTTGAATTAGACGACGTTTATAATAATTACAATGTTCGTTTTGAGGGTACTTGAGCTGAAGTAGAGCATATTAAATGTTAGTGTGGTGTACAATAATTAATTATTAACGCGTTTTAATTTCAAATAATACTTCGAAGCTTTAACAATGATCTTGAATTTTTCTATGGTAATATTACGCCTAGTGTACGATCTAGCAATCTTTAACAGCTAGCCGATTCAAATAGTTTGAAATTTTACATCATAGTATATACTATATACGTACCATGAAATCAGGTTCGAGATAGTAATTTTGTGTTTATACTGTGTACTTGTGTACTACGTACTGACTCCTGAGTCCTGAGCCATGACTCGTGAGACATGAGTACGCCAGTACACCTCAAACAAAAATATATTATTTACTCAAAAAGTAGGTCGTAAAGTCGCGTAGATCATACTAGACGGTACTAGGTAGACCGTAGTAGCGTAGTAGCTGTTCACTTCAGAGATGAACATCACAGTGCTAACTTTTAAGCAATAATCCGTCAAAAATACCTGTACTGAGTCCTGACTCCTGATATACGCGGACTGGTTCCTCGATGCTTAAATGTTTAAGAAGCTAGGCTAATTAGCTACAGGCTTGGAATAATTATATCATGTATCGAATAGTTTACTGTAGTGTATAATTTGGTTGTGCAATTGTAATTTGTAATTTGTAGTAAATTTTGTCTGAAGCTGTTTGAGAAAATCTTCATGATCAAGATGTTAGTATAGAATTGTGTATATTATATTCGTATTGTAAAAACAATTATTAATAGAAGCTTTCAAGAGTAAACTTAACCGGTACCATAAATTCATGTAGATTGCGGTCGTTAGCATTAGGAAGAACCAATATAATTACTTAGCTATTTATATATATTAATCTAGAGTCCTAGAGTCTATAATTGATTGTGTAATTTACTATTCGGATACTCGATATAAAGACAAAGGAAACTTTTAGATCTTAAGATCGGGAACTCGTATGTGTCATATATCAAATACTGATCGTATCAAGAATCTTTCAAGATTCAATTACAGAAACACAAAAACGCTGCCCAGGGGCCAGTACTGAGTCTTTTAGTTTAACGAGCTGCTTGTTTCATTTCAACTTGAAAGTTGATAGTAGATAAGTCTTACAACAGCTCGGTACTCAAGTTTAGTCGGTGATCAAGGTTATATCTTTGAAACTTGATACCCTGAGGATTAATCAGGAATCGAATAGTTTGAGATTTGAAATCAAAGTTCAGCCCAAAGTGTAAAAATGTTTTCCTATTTGGAAACTGAAATAGAAAATCTTTGAATCTGATGGAATATAATTATATACCCTGGGTTTGACTGCGCTTTTTGTACAGAGCAAAGAGTAATATTACATTCCTTAAGGAATGTTGAAGGTACGTTTCAGTCAAAAATATCTTCCTAAACTTTAGCAAGTACTTTTGTAAGCATCTAAATTTTAAAATCTATGGATTCCCGGACGTTTTGCTGCGTTATCCTTGACCGTTTACGTATTACATTACATTAAAAATTTATGTTTCTTTCTGCTTAAAATTGTTCTGCTTTTTCATGTGAGACGCGTTTTTACATGCTTAAAAAGAAACTTTATTTTCAAGATCTTGAAATTTGAAAAAAAAACAATAAGAAAACAATAAATTCGGCTTGGAGGGTTCGAATGGGGGCTTGAAAACTTTAGGATTCAATTACAAGTCAATATCCTTCTTTTCAAATATAATTATAGTCAATAAGCAATACATTAATACTCTCCACTATTCAATATTGATACACATTTATCGTAGCAAGGAATACCTTCCGTTATTGGATATTCCTGATTATCAGACATCTTTGAATCTATAGATCTGAAAAAACTTTATCTTGACTCAAATTTCGCGCATATCTGTTTTGGCTGTGAATTTTTTAAAGGATAGTAAATTATTTATCGAAATTTTCAAGTCACAAGACTATAACGCTATAACTGGTGCTATTGACTTGGGATATCTCCATTCTTTCTATACGTTGCAATACTTTGTATCTGGTATATCAAGTGTTTTTGAGTGAAGTTTGTCAAACAAATTCTGAAATTCTGGAATCTGAAGTCATTTGTTATCTTACTAATAAAGGTACATACTTATTTATCCTATCTGCATAGATAATGTTCCCAGCATTTAACAAGAAAAGAACATGTATGGTATTAATAGTGCTACTAGTGCTATTAAACATCAGTATACCATCAGTTGTTTATTTCCATGAACCAACAAAACTTCGTGTTAATAAGGCATATAAAGATTACTATACCGGTTATCAAGATGTTGATGAATATAAAATCCATAATGTTTATGCACCAAATGATATAAGATCTAAATTGGCTAAGCATTTCCCATATAAAAAATCTACTGAAAAGTCACCTAGATATATCTGGCAAATGTGGAAAACTACAGATATAACTACTTTAGATGAAAATTTACAAAAATTGATTGAAACTTGGAGAACTCAAACTGTTGAAGAAAAAGGTTCATTCCGTTATGAAATGATTGGTGATGAAACATTAAGTGAACTTGTTAATGAAACATTTGCTGAAGTTCCAGAAGTTGCTGAAGCATTCCATATTTTACCAAAAATCATTTTGAAATCTGATTTTATGAGATATATTTTAATGTTTGCATTTGGTGGTATTTATTCAGATATTGATACAAGTCTTGATAAAGACATTCTTGGATGGTTACCATATGAAGAAACAGTTTTTGATAAAGAAAATCAAGTGGGATTAAGTATAGGTATTGAAAGTGATCGTGATGAAATGGATTGGGCAAGAAATGGTATGGCTCGTCGTGTTCAACTATGTCAATGGACATTACAAGCTAAACCAAACCATCCTTTCTATAGAGAATTGATTTATAGAATCAGTGACTTGGCATTGAATCATTTTGATCCTGAAACAATGATTTTAACTAAAGGTGGGAAAAAATATGATTTAAATTCTGGTTCTGAAACAAAATTCGCAGGTGTTATGGAATGGACAGGACCTGCTATGTTTACTGATACAGTTTTTGAATATTTAAATGAAGTTTATAAAACAAGTGAAGAATTAAATCCAGAATTAAATTTTGCAAATGAAAAAATCATTGATCCAAATTTACCTTTAAATTTATTATCAAAAGTTAAATATATGGAATTACCAGGTTCTGTACATAATGAATATGACCCAATTGAAAGACCATTTGGATGGCAAAACTTAACCAAACAAGAACATCCAATATTATTCGATGACGATGTCTTATTATTGCCTCATTTATCATTTGGTAATAGACAAGGTGGTGATTTAGATTATGCTATGCATCATTTTAAAGGTTCTTGGAAAGGTTGATTGATAATTAATAATAATATGCTGTTTTCGTTTGTATTTTATAACCCATGATGTAGGTATAACTCACAACGATATTTGTAGGATTGTCTTATATACCTTTCAGTCTCCTTAATGCAACTTTATTTATTCATTAGAACGTCATTTTCGAGGCTTTATGAAATCTGAACTTGATCTAAACCTAATTTTTAGTGTGTGCATATATTAGTTGAGTTACATAACTAATAGATCAAACTTATAGATGACATTGACAACATATCATATAGAACAAACTGAGTGATATCTATAGCTCTTCAACGGATGATGTACAAAATAATTCCTTTCAATATGTATTTATGGCTTCAATATTATTGTTAACTTCATAATGCTAATAATTTACCGCGAATTCTACATATATGCGTGAATATTACATAATCAATATATGTCGATAAATTAAATACTGCTTTAAACGCTTTAGAAATACTTATAGAAATATTCCAAACACTTTTCTATGGTATTAATCTAGCAGTGATCAATATGGTGCTATTATTTTCACCAAAAAAAAATTTGAAATTTTTAAATTTTCAAAAAAGTGTACCAGCTTAACTAAATTTAGATTTCAAATTCGTAACTTTTCAAAATTTCTAAAATTCGAAAAGTTTATTTTAAGCCTCGAAACTCAGTTCATAGCATTCTAAGAATGTGAAATACAATATTAAAGTATTTTATTCATATATTTTAACCAAAAGTTTTCCATAAATTCAATATTCTTGAAACTCCACACTAAATTGGCCGCGGACGGGGTTAGTCGGAGACTAGTACAACTCGTATATACGCCAGTAACTACAATTCAATTGACTGAACGTCAACGATAAGTATAAACAAATACGTCATAGATGCTCTATTGAATCACAGCAGACTGTCTGATAGAAATTAGAGTTCATTAGAGGGATAAACTTGATGCATGATATCAACTGCACAGAATTGATTCATGAGATATAAATAAGTGAATATTAATCTCCGATCGAATACAACGTCAGTATATTAGTAACTAGACGTAGTCGAATATATTATTAATAAGTACGCATCCAGCTTGATGAGGATAGTTAAGCTTTTCTTATCAAGTTTCATTTAAAGTGTTGGTACACCTAATTTACATTTCATATAAGCTCAACATCAATCAAAGATTTCAATTAAATATTATATTATACAGGATTAAATTATTATTTTATTTTTCATTATGATTCTTATTTCTTTGATGGTAAGGTCCATAAAGAATCAATATATTCTAAGACTTGATATTGTGAAGCGGTAAATTCAACAACATCACCATGGAATTTCTTATCATTTTTAGCACCTAAAATATCATAAGCACACAAAATTTCTGAATTACAATAACCTTCTTTATCGGTTATTGAGGTATCAACTTCATCAACTTTATTTTTTGCTGTTATTTCTTGTTGGATTGGTATTATAGCAGCTTTTAACTTTGTTGCTTCTAAATTCCATTTAATTAAATCTTTAACTTGTCCTTTGAACTTACGATATGCTGGTTTTTTAATTTCTTCCTCTAAGTTTAATCCATCACGATCACAATTCAATGCACCATTTGTAACGAATAATAAAGTTGAATTATCAGAATCGAAATGACCTTTGTGCATTGAACAAATTTCTTTAGAAACACTGTCTTTAATTCTTCTATTTTCTTCTTCTGTATATTCTCCAACAATACCCATATTTGAACTATGGAAATGAACTTCTGGTGAATATCCTGATAATAATGGACCTAACCATATGAATTCTTTTTGAATATTTTTAGTTTTAAATGTTAATGGTAAATGACTTAAAGTCAATGAAGTTAAAATACCAAGGAATTGTTCCTTTTTATCCAAGACTATAACATCATTATTAGCAATCGAAGTGAATCCATCTTTAAAGAATCTTGAATTTTCTAAAAATTCTTTGGAAACTTGAGAAATTGGGAATAAATGTTCATCGACTTTAGTTGGTAATAAATCTGTAAAGAATTCTAATTCATTTTTATCAACTGGTGCATTCAATCTAAAATCAGGGAAGTAATAAGTACCAGTTTTAGTGAAATCAACATTTTGTAAAATTGATAATAATCCATTTAATGGCAATACAGCAGGGTCTAACATTAAAACTCTTTGGAAGGAACTGAACAACAAAGCAAAGTTTTTGTATCTTGTACGATCCCATGATTTGTGGAATTTGGCATTGACAGACATCTCAATATTTGCAAAATAAACGTCTTGTTTTGGTAAAGATTTTGTATAAAATGGTGGTAATTGATCAAATGAATCATCTTGGAAATATTTGGAAGAATCAATTTCTTCGCTGTATATTTCAAGAATTTCAGCTTCGTCAGTATCCTTTAGGTCACCTTTATGAACAATTTGAACAGGTAATTCATTACCAATGAATCTTAAAACTTTACCTAATCTCTTTACATGTTCAATATCTTTGGAGTCAAATACTGGTAAAACTATACCCTGACCATTCAAACCATGTTTGAAGTTATATAAGAATGATGATTTAGGATTATAATCCTCATCATCATGTGCATCACCAACAGATGGAACACCAACAGGTAATTGTTCAGTACCATGTTTATAAACTGGATAAATTTTGGAAATCCATGGGAAAAGTCTAATTTCTAATTCATTTGATAATTGGAAAATATTAGATTTGGATAATTCTGAATCAACTTCATCATCCCAAAAGATATTATAGGCTTTAATACCAGTAGCTTCTTGAAATAAATTATTTTCAATAAAACAAGTACCAAAGACTCTTTGAGTTGACATATAATTGATTAATTTTTGAATGTATAATTTATCAGTTGCAAAATCCTTTTGATATGTTTTTTCCCATTCTCTAATCATATCGTCTTTAACTCTTTCACCTTTTTGTTTGACTTCAGCTTTCTTTTGAGCAATAAAAGATTTAAGACTTGGTGTGATTTTGATATCATTGAGATTTTTGTAAAACCATTCAAAATCTTTAAAGTCTGAATTTCCATTAACATTATTGAATAATTTAACACAACGTTCACTCAATTCCATTTTCTCAAAACCTTCTACTCCCAGTATAGAATCATAATGTGTGTTATAAGCTTCATCTGGTTTAATCACCAATAATTCACGATTTTGTTCTAAACCACTAGTACCATGGAATATTTGGAAAGCAAAGATGAAGAGTAGCGTAACTATCACAGTTGTCTTGAACACTTGAATTCTATATATCCCAACATTTGCTGTGTATTGGAACACCTTATCCATAAATGAAGAATCAGACATTATATGGATGGACCCCGTGGCTTTCAATCAATAAATCCCTGTTGTATACCAAAGAAAAAGCACTCCCAAGGATATGAGCTTTGAAAAAATAGTACCTGGTGGGTTTAAGTAATGAATGAATATATGATACCTGTTTTAAGAGGGTTGATAAAGGTGAAGAAATGGATGGTGAAGATAGAACAGATTAAAAACTAGTTGTTTGAATAAAAATTCAAACGTGATTTTCACTGTAAAATGGACTAGTCCCTTGATATGCATACTACTGCACTCTGAAGACTTGAATTGAAATAAAGAGCACGCGTAGTCTCGTGAGAACCCTGAAAATAATTGGGTCTCGCGAGGAAGATTTGATTCTGTTGTATAGAATTTAACATCATGAATTGAGATCATGAAGAGTACTATATTCATGGATTTAGATTTAGTGAACATGTGAAACTATGAAGAAGATTTATCGATTGACTAATGAAATCAAAACATGCCAGAGGTTTTTTTTATTGGGGCTACATTACACAGGAGAAACTACTAGGAAGTGTCTATCAACTTAGACATGTTACCGAAAAAAAGAAAAGCTATTAAAGAGCATTGAAATTGAATCACTGATGGTTGATTTAGAAATATCTTAAGCAATTTTGATGCTGTGTCATTATTTATATTGATTACACGCGAAAGAAATTCTAATTTATGAATGAATATTATATAAACTTAACTAAAGTGGAACGAAGCAATTATAATAAAATATATATTAACACATTACCATCAATTCAATATCTGTTTGATGCAGTTCTGGTGAATGGATTCTGTCTTTTAAGACCAAATAAGTATGAGCTTTGACCTCCGAAAGGAATATCAGGATATTCGACAGGTATGTATTGTTTATTTGGAAGTCCAGGACTTGATGAAATCCTGCTCTCAATATTTTCTTCATCACAATCTGAATTAGAAAGTTCATCCTCCTCTTTTTTTCCTATAGTTCCATCCATAATTGCAGATTTAATAAATCCATTTAAAATCGAAGTTTTCGAAATGAATTTCTTCCTTTGCTCATCTTTATATTGTTTTGGAGTAGCATAGTTATCAGGATAATTATCATGCCAAATGATATGTTTCATCCCTGTTTTACCAGGCTCTAAGAGGCGAAAATCTTCGAAATATTTGATAGCTTTGAGTTGCAAACTTGAACATTTCAATGGGACATTACCAATTGTTAAACGATTAACAATAGCATCTGAAAACTTAATTGGAAATTTAACATCACCAAAAACATCTTTGAATATAATGACATCTGAAAATTTGACATGAGCTGTGAAATAATTACTGAGTAGAATTTTATCACATCTATCATCAAGTGAAACAGCCGTTACAGAAGTAGCTCCAGCAAGAGATATGGTAACACTTTGTGAATCATAACTCAAAAGTACGTTTTTGTTAATCACGTTTATTTCTTCGAAATCACTGAGTAGAGCACCACAAATAATGAAAGCAGCAAGTTCTAACCTATTGTGAAGATGAAGTGGTAGTTTGGTTAATCGCATAGCTCTAATTGATTTGTTGATAAGAGAACTCTCCCCATCCAATTTGGATTTAGCACTAAGTTTTTGAAATATTGAGTTTTGTAATTTTAGCACAGCTTCAAAACATATGGAGAACAAACCAGATATTACAATATAAATAAAATTATTTGTGAGTATTAAACCAGCAAAGATATAATAAAGCTTTGGATATCTAGGTGACGGCTCTATGTAGCTGAAATATGATAAATTTCCACCTTTCTTTGGTATATTATCTAGATGAAGTGTTTTGAATTCTTTTTTGAAAGTAACCTTATTCCCAAAGTCGGTATCTTCAGTTTCATTTTCACATTTTCTATCATTACTATTTTCAAATTTGGAGCTGTGATGCACGCGTAACCTTTTCAACTGATCCTTCAATGATTTTTTAACAATTGATTGTGTCAAGAATTCTTTGAGTTTTATACGAGGAAGCATTGAAGGAGGTACACTGGCTGGATCTTGAGGAATTTTACCAAACCAAGGTTTTAAAAGAGATAGTTTCAATTGTCCCATAATCTCTATTCTAAAAAAAAAAGAAGTCAGTTGCAAAAGGGTATGTCGTGGGATAAGAAGTGAAATCCATGATGCATTGACTTGTTCAAAAGGAACTGGGAAACAAACATTCCCAAAAATTTGTTGGAAGCTGATAACTTTATTATACTTCATAAATTCTGTCCTGTAAATATCAACAATATATCGATCATCATCTATCTTTATAGCACTGTTTGTCTCTTCTAAACCATGAATTGTTATTGAATGATGATTTTCATCTGATACAATATGCATTGGAGTTGATGGTATTTTACCATCCTTCATGTAATTGATTATAGTACCAGCACAACAGAATGAAATGACTTCAGCTTTGGTGTTTAAGTACTTGGGAAGAGACATTTTGATTTATTGATGGTTCCTGAATGCTCATGAATCTCAAATTAATAGTATCATAGCTTCGTCCATCTTATAATTAGGTGAATTTTTGAACTTTTGAATCTAGTATAATTATGGAATGTGACTGATCATATTGAAGTTTTAGTTTTTCCTCGGGAAGCCTTCAATTACCGGTACTCCTTAAAAACGTTTGATCGACGGACTACTGTACGATATGAATAAGACGTTGAATTTTTACATAAAAATTATCTTGTACCTCATAACAAATCAGTCTCGAATCAAACAGACAAGGACTCAGAAGATAGATACAAATGAATATGATACTATCTTGAAGTATACTAAAATAGCTTATCAGCTAGTCTAGAAAGATAGTCCAATGTTTTCGAACGGAAGCATTGGTGAGGGTGAGACTCAAAAAAATATTTTAGCATATGAGATTCAATAGTGATTCAGAATTACTACCAGCTACGAGAAGTATTAGACACTGAAGTCATAGGAGCTAAGTTTTTTAATAAAGAATATAAAACAGTGGAGATTTGTACTCATTTCATATAAACTTTCAATCAGGCCAAACTTTATTTTTTCTCAATATACTAGATTGTTTTATCATACACTCAAATTTTTTCTTATAAGATGATCATCAAGAATAAGAAATCAACCACAGCACTGATATTGATTTCAACAGTTTTATTGGTATTATTCATAAAAAGTGGTTCACAATTCAAATCCATTGCAAGTAAACATGCTCAAAAATTATATCTCAAGTATTCATATAGTTCAGTTGATGATTATAGAATCGCTTCATATTCAAACGATGAAATGGATCAACTTCGTCGAAATTTATCTATACATTTCCCATATAAGAAAAACACTGATGAGATACCGAGAAATATATGGCAAATATGGAAATCTGATGATGTTACAACTTTAGATCAAGGATTACAAAATTTGATTCATACTTGGAAAGATCAAGAAAATTTCACATATACATTAGTTCAAGATACTAAATTAGGTGAGTTTCTTCATGATACTTTTATTGATACTGCACCTGCCGTTTTAGAAGCCTTAGATAAGTTACCAGAGATCATTTTGAAAACAGATTTTGCTAGATATTTATTAATGTTTGTCTATGGTGGTGTTTATTCAGATATTGATACCAGAGCAAATCAAAACATTACAAGTTGGTTATCATATAATAATACTATAACGCCAGATTTACCGAATCAGATAGGATTAGTTATGGGTATTGAAAGTGATCGTGATGAAAAAAATTGGTATAGAGATTCAATGGCGAGAAGATTACAATATTGTCAATGGACATTACAATCTAAACCTGGTCATCCAATGTATAGAGAATTAATTGCTAGAATTGTTGATATAACCTTAAATGGGTATGATACAACTAATCAAATATTACACACAAAAGATGGGTCCAAGTTTGATTTAAAGAAAAGTTCAAGTACGAGATTAAGTGGTATTTTACAATGGACTGGTCCTGGTGTGATTACTGATGCAGTATTTGATTATTTGAATGATGTTTATAAAACAAGTGAATTCTTAGATCCAGAATTAGATTTCAAGAATGATAAAATGATTGATCCTAATAGAAAACTGAATTTGTTTTCAAAAGTGAAGTATGAAAAATTAAGAGGTTATATACATAATGGGTATGATCCAATTGAAAGACCATGGGGATGGCAAAATTTGACTAAACAAGAGAAGCCTATCCTGTTTGATGATGATGTTTTACTATTACCACGTAAATCGTTTGGTAATATAGATGGTGGTCAATTAGATTATGTTAAACATTTCTTCAAAGGTACTTGGAAGAATAACTAGTTGAGTCAATAAGTATCACAGGAATATGAATATCAAATACAAAAATCATGAGCTAATTGTATATAGAAGTTTATGATTCAACAACTAGATGATAGAGATCAATTTCTTAAGCTTTCAATAGAGCTATAATATATTTGTTAATGTCCTTGTCTTGAGTCTAAAACCCTTTAGGACTAATTAGAAAATATGCGCGACCGACTAATACGTACATGATCATAAACAAAAAAAAGAACTAATTTTTAAAACCAATAATTGTCATGTAATTGTAATCTAATCTTAAAAAAATCAATCTCAAATCAAGCAGGAAAGGACTCAGAGCTCAGATGACAAACACCTAAACATGATATATGATGAAGTATACGTATTACGTATTGTTGAAGAAGACCAATTTCATCATACTGAACGGAAATGGTGTACCTCAAAAACTCACAACTGGGAAATCGCTTCAAAATGATTCAAAACTAGATAGAATTATTAGACATTAGGGCAAAAAATGAACTTATCAGTAATAAATACTAAAAGAAATGCGGAAATCATGAGATTCTTCAACATGATTATGAACACGTTCTTGATAACTTATTCTTCCAGCTTACTCTTTGTTTCCCCCAAATATCGAACTACAAGTAGTGAAGATATCCACTCATTTTTTTTTTATATATCTGGTCTAATGATTAATCCTTCAAAATTCATTCATAATAGGTTGGACTGGATCCATAGTTCAGAGATTACATAGGGGATGATAATCAAGAATAAGAAGACCACTGCAATAATATTAATTTCAACAGTTTTATTGACACTTTTTCTGAAATGTGGTTCACAATTTAAATCTATTGCAAATAAACATGCTCAACAGTTATATCTTAAATATTCATATGGTTCAGTTGATGAATATAGAGTTGCTTCTTATTCAAATGATGAGATGGATCAAATTCGTCGAAATCTATCCATACATTTCCCATATAAGAAGAATACAGATGAGATACCAAAAAACATATGGCAAATTTGGAAATCTGATAATATCTCAACTTTGGATGAAGGATTACAAGACTTGATTCATTCTTGGAAAGATCAAGAAAATTTCACATATACATTAGTTCAAGATACTAAATTAGGTGAATTTCTTCATGATTCATTTATTGATACTGCACCAGCTGTATTGAAAGCTTTAGATAAGTTACCAGAGATTATCTTGAAGACAGATTTTGCTAGATATTTATTCATGTTTGCCTATGGTGGTGTTTATTCAGATATTGATACTAGATCAAACCATAACATTACAAATTGGTTATCATATAATAATACCATAACACCAGATTTACCGAACCAAGTTGGTCTCGTCATGGGTATTGAGAGTGATAATGACCAAAAAGAGTTCTATAGAGGTGAAATGGCAAGAAGGTTACAATATTGTCAATGGACATTACAATCTAAACCTGGGCATCCAATGTATAGAGAATTGGTTTCTAGAATTGTTGATTTGACTTTAAATCATTTTGATCCAGAGACAATGACATTAACAAAAGATGGTAAAAAATTTAATTTGAAAAAAGGTTCTAGTACAAGAATGGCAGGTATATTAGATTGGACAGGTCCTGGGATAGTTACAGATGCGGTATTTGATTATTTGAATGATGTTTATAAAACAAGTGAATTATTAAATCCAGAATTGGATTTCAAAAATGATAAAATGATTGATCCAAATAGAGAATTGAATTTGTTTTCAAGAGTTAAATATCAGTTACAAAGAGGGTTTATTAATAATGGATATGATCCATTGGAAAGACCACTTGGATGGCAAAATTTTACCAAACAAGTAAGACCAATTCTTTTCGATGATGATGTTTTACTATTACCACAGAAATCGTTTGCTGGTTTTGATGGTGGTCCTTTGAACTATGTTAGACATTTTTTCAAAGGTACTTGGAAGAATAACTAGACGATTTTTTAATTTTTTAATAGAGGTATATATGTTTATATATGCTAATGTAGGGTTTCGATTAGCTGTCATTATTGATAACGTCCTAACAAAATTTGCAACGCTAGTTCTTTACGAACAATTCATTCAACCATCTAGAGCTAATCTACTGACCGTTGGCCAGTGGCCACCTAGAGGCTAGCCCTTAAAGTTTAGTACAATATTTGATGAATTATGTTTTCAACTCCTTGAAAAATTGTGTCTCAGACTTCCTTGTTTAAAAGACGTCTCAGATCGCCCAAAATTGAACTAGTTTTCAACTGGATAACTGATTTGATCAATGATCAATATCCCGTCCCACTTAGATTCAGAAATAGTTACAACTTACAAGTCTTTCAACTTTCTATTGTATTTGGGGATGTCTTTACTAAATAATTATTTTTAATCACAGTTGATGTGCTGCATAGAAGGTCCTCTATAATCCTGGGGAAAAATTGAAACTTTTATTTCCGTGAATTTGAAATGAAAATTAGTTCAACAAAATGAGTTTACAAGCTTAAACAGAGATTGGCGAAATGTATATTTTAGGTTTCCATTGGATCAAAGAGTCGCGTGCTTCTTTATCAGTAAGTAGTAAGCTATCATGGCTTATTTCTGAATCCTGACCAGCTTTTTAGCTCTTAGACACGGGATATCATATCAGGGTTTAGTTATGCACATTTGTTTCTTAGTTTCTTTTGACGCGGATATATTTTGTTAGTACAATTGAACAATTATGATAAGAATCAAGATTCAAGACCCAGAAATACATATAAAGGTATGTGTATCTTGAGGATTGTTAAACATGGTCTGTGAACCGTGATGATTTAATTACAAAATTTCGAGTTTTGCAGAATCCTTTCCTTTTAAACAACCATATAAAACCAAGCTGCTTGAGAAATGATTAGATTCAATAAAAAATCCATAATTTTACCATTATCATTACTCACAGTTATACTTTTTGTGTTTAATGCAAAAACTTTCCATTCTTTTGCTAATGAACAATCCCAAAGATTATATCTCAAATATTCATATAGTTCAGTTGATGAATATAGAATCGCATCATATTCAAATAGTGATATAGATCAACTTCGTCGAAATTTATCAATACATTTCCCATATAAGAAAAATTCAGATGAAATACCACGTAATATATGGCAAGTTTGGAAATCTAATAATATCTCATCATTAGATCCTGGTTTACAAAAATTAATTCATACTTGGAAAGATCAACAAAATTTCACATATACATTATTACAAGATGTTAAACTAGGTGAATTTCTTCATGATGCCTTCATTGATACAGCACCTGCCGTCTTGGAAGCTTTAGATCGATTACCAGTGATGGTATTGAAAGCAGATTTTGCAAGATATTTATTAATGTATGTTTATGGTGGTGTTTATTCTGATATTGATACTCAAGCAACAAAAAATCTTACTGATTGGATATCATATAAAAATTATATTACACCAAATTTACCAAATCAAATTGGTCTAGTATTTGGAATTGAAAGTGATCGTGATGAAAAAGATTGGAATAGAAATTCAATGTCAAGAAGATTACAATATTGTCAATGGACATTACAGTCTAAACCTGGTCATCCAATGTATAGAGAATTAATTGCTAGGATTGTTGATTTTACATTAAATAATTATGATCCTATAACAATGATTTTAACTACAAAAGAAGGTAAGAAACTTGATTTAAATAAAGGTTCCAAAACAAGACAAGCTGGAATTTTACAATGGACAGGACCTGCCACCGTGACAGATGTATTATTTGATTATTTAAATGAAGTTTATAAAACTAGTGAATTTTTAGATCCAAATTTAGATTTCCCAAAAGATAAAATGATTGATCCAAATAGAGATCTAGACCTTTTTTCAAAAGTTAGATTTCAAAAATTAAAAGGTGCCATTCATAATGAATATGATCCAGTTGAAAGGCCTCTTGGATGGCAAAATTTTACTAAACAAGAAGAACCTATTTTATTTGATGATGATGTTTTATTATTACCACATATTTCATTTGGAAATAGAGAAGGTGGACCTATAGATTATGTTATGCATTATTTCAAAGGGTCATGGAAGAAGGATTAGATGTCTGTGTATTTGATAGTCATATTATTGAAGCAGATATTCGCTTACTTGTAGCTTGTAGCTTATTGTTTGTATCTTTATTGTTTAAATATTTATATCTTCAGACCCCAAGACCAATAATTTGAGACTGGACCTCTATTTCCGAGACTTGCACTAAAAATTAATAAATATACGCGTCTGGGTCGTAACTTTAAATACGACAAAAGATAAAAAATATTAAACTGCTTGAAGTGATCATGAGCCGCAAAGTTTGGGAACATTTAATCATGTTTAGATTCAAACAGTCTCGACTTTCTTAAAGTTCACTGATACCTCTTGAATCTTGATTGTGTTACTGTTTGATCCATGTCTCAGTGAACAAGGAATAAAATGGTTTAAGGCGGAAAGCAATGTTAATCAAATTTAGACAAATTGAGATTTCTATCTCTATTTTCTTTTCCATACGTCAAGTTCCTGATTCAAATAACGGTCACTGCAAGATATGTTTAATCCCCATAATTAATATTTTCTACGTGATATTATATTTTCATTTTGAAAACTCACCAATGTTATTTTCGCTCATTATATTAGATTGCCGTTCCGCTATTTGACCTCTTTATATTCATTCTGATCCATAATATACACCTGGGATCAAATAAATGAAGAATAGATGGGTAATTACCAGACTGAACATTTCAAAGTTCATACATTCATTACGTCGTATTTCATGGAGACCATTTTCAAGAGTTTCAACAACAGATCAATATAATATCATTGATGAAAATTTTGATCCACAATCTAAATATAGAGCAAAAAATTTGGTTCTTAAATCTAAACTTTTGATACTTTTAGGGTTTATTTTCATTGGGATAAGCTTATTCTTATCAAAGTTTTATATATTTACACTGGATAATTATAATCAATATGTTCAATCTAGTTATAATCTGAATTTATATTTAAGTTTCAATAAAAGGTTTCAAGGTTTTAAAGAGTTTAATAATGTTTTTCAGGCACCAAATCAACGTGAATTATATATCAATCAAAATGGAGTGAATAATGAATTCAATTATAATTACTCATCAATCGCATTAATTTCATACATCAATGAAATTTATAAAACTCAAAAGAGTCCCAAAGAATACCTTATAAACCAGACCATTGATTTCCACTGGGGTGATTGGGTAGATACCTCAAGAGCAAATCCATTTATCAAAATGTATCCAGATTTACTCAAAAGATTTGGAAACTCTCAAAATGAAGTTTATAATTATTATAAAATGATGTGTCAATTTGTTCTTGAAGATAAAATACCTGATTATGAAGATCAACAATTATTTCAAAATCTTGCATATCTATTTGAACAAGTTGAAGGTGTTGAAATATGTGGTGCTATTGATAAATATTATTATTTTCCTGTTCCAGAACGCATTATGCTTGAAACTGACTATCATTATCATGTTGTTGGTGTGAATCCAAGGAGATTGGATGAACCTTTAGGTATTGAAGGATTAGCGAAAAGGTATCATAATTCCAAAAGTGTCACTTCTAAGCAAATAAAAGCTATTGATCCAAATGATGGAAAACAAATTGCTCGGGAACTTAAAGGGAGTTATCTTTCGAAAGGTTATGAATTTTCAAATTTCAAGCTTCAAAGGTTCATCAATCAAGATCCGTTAGATTTTAGAGAACCAAACGTTTTGGGTGAAATCAAAGAATTAGAAAGAAATAAGTTCAAATTAACACAAGGAGAACAAAAAAGATTAGATTTTTTGCATTATTCTAATGAACATTTGAAAGAAAGACAGCCATTTTTTTTCAAAACTGTCATGGTTAATATTGATAATTACCAAGCCGTATTACATCATTATAACTATCCATGGATGAGGAAAATCTTGTGTCCTGAAGAAAGAATCAAAATCATTCATCATATGATTAGATCATGGTTTAAATTTGCAGAACAAGCTCAAGTGATTTCATGGTTTAATTATGGGAATTTATATGGATGGTATTTCAATGGACAAAATTTACCATGGGATAATGATGTTGATGTTCAAATATCAGTACAAGATCAAGATAAGTTAGGTCAATATTATAATAATACGCTGGTTATTGAAAACCCAGATTTGGGAGATCACGTCTTTCTTTATCAAACAAATCCATGGTATTTACAACCTCATTATAAACAACATATTGATTCACGTTACATAGATGTGAGATCTGGGATTTATATTGATATTTCATGTCTTTGGTTAGATCAGTCTATTGAACATTATGATAAGGAAGATGAAGAAAATGAAGAGAAAGCAAAAAAAGAAGGAAACGATACACCAGAAAAAGCATTGAGACAAGTTCATTGTAAAAACAATCGTCGGTTCCCATTAGATGATCTTTTCCCATTGAGAAGAACCCTGTTTGAAGGAGCACAAGGTTATATGCCATATAAACCCAAAAAAGTCCTGTGGGATACTTATGGAAAGGGATGTACAGATAAGAAATATAATAAAGATCATAATTGGCAAAAAGATATAGGTATGTGGATTCAAAATCAGATTTGTGAAAATGAAAAAATCCCTAAAACTGGTGATAGATTTGATGATAATGGTGATTTAACTCTTAGTGGAGCATGTAATGATACTGAAATATTAGAGATTTTCAAATTAAGTCATGATCAATATCAGGTTCATCTTAAAGAATTTGATATAGTTGTTGGGAAAGGCGAGGATGGGTCAGAGTTTAGTGAAGATGAATTACCAATCTATAGGTTTTATGATTCTTCAGAGTTTCAATAACATGGTATTTTACATATTGCTGGTCACTGTAGTCATTGGCTTTAACTTAGCTTCCCAATCTGCCTGATATTATGTGTCATATTTAAATTACTTTAATTCGACGTTGAACATATTATATAGGATCAAATTCAATAATATTGAGACTTTCCAAGACTTTGGGGTCTAGACTTTCAATTTCGAGACTTCACCTTCAAAATTTATCAAATTGATACTCACGAGATGAAAAGAATTACCGAGTAGTAACAAATTTTCACCAGATTCATTGAGAACGTTTGATTATGGGGAATCATGATCTTATCAGATTAAGCTTAGATGAATATTAGGGGACAAAGAATAGTCTAATAGATGGAGTTGATGAACACGTTACACCCCGTACCATTACCTGGTTTATAAGTGTCTCAGAAAACAAGAAAATGGTTTCAAATATTTCAATAATTGGTCAAGAATAAAACCAAAAGTAGACAACTTAAAGGGCATTAATGATGATTCAGCCAGTATAAAAGCTAAACACAAAAGGTTTCAACCGTTCATCTCAAGCTCAAACCCCTCAACAGTACATGCTACTAACAATAAATCTTCAACTATGTGTCTCACTTTGAAAAATTTATCAAATTATATATTAATGCCTTTCCGCTGTTCATCATCTGGAGTCTTTTGTTTTTGATTATATTTAGGAAAAATGAGAGCAAGATGGGCTTCAAACAGACTGAACCCTAGAAGGTTTATACATTCATTGGTTACTTCATGGGGTGAATATTCCAGAATTTCAATAACTGAATATAACGCTGATGATGAAAAATTTCTTTTCGCCAAAATCAAAATTACCAAAAATTTGATACTCAAATCTAACCTTTTGATACTTTTATCACTCATTTTCATTGGTATAAATTTATTGATATCAAAATTCTGCATCTTTACACTGGACAATTTTAATCAATATGTTCAGTCAAGTTATAATATGAATTTATATTTGGGTTTTAATAAAAGGTTTCAGGGCTTGAGAGAATTTCATAATGCTTTTCAAGTACCAAATCAACTTGAGTTATATATCAATCAGAATGGTGTGAATAATCAATTTAATTATAATTATTCATCAGTTGCGATGATTTCATACATCAATGAAGTTTATAAGACTCAAGAGAACCCAAAGGAATACCTTTTGAATCAAACCATGGATTTCCATTGGGGTGATTGGATTAATTTATCAAGAGCAAATCCATTTGTCAAGATGTATCCAGATTTACTCAAAAGATTTGGAAACTCTAAAGATGAAGTTTATAATTACTATAAAACAATGTGTCAATTTGTTCTTGAAGATAAAGTACCTAATTATGAAGATTATCATTTATTTAAAAATCATGCATACTTGTTTGAACAATTACAAGGAATTGAGATATGTGGTGCCATTGAAAAATATTATTATTCTCCTGTTCCAGAACGTATCATGCTTGAAACTGATTATCATTATCATGTTGTTGGTGTGAATCCCAAGAGATTAGATAAGCCTTTGGGTATTGAAGGATTGGCTAAAAGGTATTACAATACTGAGGATATCAACTCCAAGAACATTGAAGCTATTAATCCAAATGATGGGAAGGAAATTGCTCAAAAACTTAAATGGAATTATCGTGCGAAAGGTTATAAAATTTCAAACTTTGGGTTGAAGAGATTTGTTAATCAAGATTCATCAGCTTTTAAAGAGCCAAATGTATTGAATGAAATCAATGAATTAGAGAAAAATAAGTTTAAATTAACACAAAGAGAACAAAAAAGATTAGAGTTTTTGAAATATTCTAATGATCATTTAAATGAAAAACAACCTTTTTATTTCACAAGTGTTCAAGTTGATATTGATAACAAAGATGCAGTTTTACATCATTATAATTATCCATGGATGCAAAAAATTTTGTGTAATGAAGAAACCATTAAAATTGTTCATCATATGATTAGATCTTGGTTTAAATTTGCAGAAAATGCACAGGTTGTTTCGTGGTTCGATTATGGGAATCTATACGGGTGGTATTTCAGTGGTCAAAATCTACCTTGGGATACGGATGTTGACGTTCAAATTTCTATACAAGATCAAGAGAAGTTGGGCCAATACTATAATAATACTTTAGTTATTGAAAATCCTGATCTTGGTGATCATTTATTCTTTTATCAAACAAATCCATGGTATTTACAACCTCATAGGGGACAACATATCGACTCTCGCTATATAGATGTGAGATCTGGGATTTATATTGATATCTCATGTCTTTGGTTAGATAAATCTATTGAAGATTATGAAAAAGAAGATCAAGAAAATGCCAAAAAGGCAAATGATGAAGGGAAAGATATTCCAAAGAAAACACCAAGACAAATTCATTGTAAAAATAATCATCACTTTCCATTAGATGATATTTTCCCATTAAGAAGAACGCTATTTGAAGGTGCACAAGCTTATATTCATTATAAACCTAGGGAAGTTTTATGGAGTCTTTACGGAGAAGGATGTACAGATAAGAATTATAATAATGATCATAACTGGCAAAAGGATATTGGTATGTGGGTCCAAAATCAAATATGTGAAAAAGAAGCAATCCCACCAACTAATGAAAGATTTGATGATAATGGTGATTTAACTTTGAAAGGAGCATGTAATGATGTGGAAATATTAGAGACTTTCAAATTAAACCAGAAACCATATGAACTCCATTTAAAAGAATTTCATGTAGTAGTTGGAAAGGGTGAGGATGGCTCTGAACTTAGTGAAAAGGAGTTCCCAATTTATAGATTTTACGATTCTTCAGAGTTTCAATAAAAATGATTTTATATAATAGTAGCTGTCGAGTCTCGACCCATCACTGGTTAAGCTGTAGTCTTTAGTCTCGATTAATGATGAGGACTAGACTCCTTATATTTGAAAATATTTATTATTGTCCCGCACCCGTCCTACAAAAGCTAACCTCAATTATTCAAATGTATAGTTAATTTAACCATATTATTGATCAAATATGAAAAAGATCTTTTGACTCAATCGTTGTAACTTGTCACCTCAAAGATATAAGGCCAGACATATGAACTTCGACGCCTTAGTGGGAATATAACCCAGCTAGTGTGGATTACAGTTCACTTAATAAGTGTTTTTCTTGTTCGATTTGATGTCTCAAACACATATTTGTTTGAGCAGATTATAGATACTAAATGACCAACGCGTTGTCAACCTATCAAAGTACGTAAAGTTCACAGATATGCATGCCTAAAATCTCAGCCATTGGCTAAGAGTCAATATTGTTGATAATGATTTCAAACAAAGATTTCAGACAACGATTTCAAACAAAGATATGCTATTTCCCCTTGGCCTATTCAATGAATGAATTATGAGTGAATGAAGTTATGAACTACTATATCTTATAGACACCAAAATGATAATGAGATTGAGAGAATAATGAATCTTTTTGATCATCAGATAAAGAATGAAACCAAAAATAGTCAACTTTTTTTCTCAGACAATATTCAAGATATGTCTTAAAATCAGTTCCTGATACAGTTAAGAGTCACAAGATAACTAAGTTTTAACGTTTGAACTCCTATAATTTACGTCAAATTAACTTTAAAATCACAAGTTAAGTACGAGTTAGCAAATTAATTTACAAGTACATATAATCATTTACTATGTGTCTCACTTTGAAAAGTCATCAAAATTAGTTTATTAACTCAATTCTTTCCGCCATATGTTCAACTTTTGAAATTATACCCGTCAAGTGTGTTTTCTTTGGCTACTACTAATATCAATGAGGGTTAGATGGGCATTGAGTAAACTGAACCCTACCAGGTTTATACATTCATTAGGTACTTCATGGGATGGATTTTCAAGAGTTTCAGTATCTGAATATAATATCAATGATGAAGAATGTGATCCCACAAAGAGAAGAATTAAAAACTTAAAGCTAAAATCCAAACTTTTGGTACTTTTATCACTTGTTTTCATTGGTACAAGTCTATTTTTATCCAAGTTTTGCATATTTACGTTGGATAATATTAATCAATATATTCAATCAAATTATAATATGAATCTATATTTGAGTTTCAATAAAAGATTTCAAGGTTTCAAAGAATTCAATAATGCGTTTCAAGTACCAAATCAACTTGAATTATATATCAATCAGAATAGTGTGAATAATCAATTTAACTATAATTATTCATCAGTTGCATTGATTTCATACATCAATGAAGTTTACAAGACTCAAGAGAAACCTAAGGAATACCTTTTAAATCAGACCATTGATTTCCATTGGGGCGATTGGGTAGATACATCAAGAGCAAACCCATTTATCAAAATGTATCCAGATTTATTGAAAAGATTTGAAAACTCCAAAGATGATATTTATAATTATTATAGATTGATGTGTCAATTTGTTCTTGAAGATAAATTACCAAATTATGAAGATTATCAATTATTTAAAAATCATGCATACTTATTTGAACAAGTTCAGGGAATTGAAATATGTGGTGCCATTGATAAATATTATTATTCGCCTGTTCCAGAACGTATCATGCTTGAAACTGATTATCATTATCATGTTGTTGGTGTGAATCAAAATAGATTAGATGAACCTTTAGGTATTGAAGGATTAACTAAAAGGTATTATAATACAGAAAGTGCTCACTCGCAAAACGTAAGAAATATTAATCCAAATGATGGAAACCAAATTGCTCAAGAACTTAAAAAGAATTATATGGCCAAAGGTTATGAATCATCAAATTTCAAGCTTCAAAGGTTTCTAAATCAAGATGCATCAGCTTTTAAAGAACCAAATGTTTTGGATGAAATCATAGAATTGGAGAAGAATAAATTTCAATTAACCCAAGAAGAAAGGAAAAGGTTAAATTTTTTACAATATTCTAATGATCATCTAAAAGAGAAACAACCATTTTATTTCACAAGTGTTCAAGTCGAGATTGATAACAAAGATGCCATCTTACATCATTATAATTACCCATGGATGAAGAAAATCTTGTGTCCTGAAGAAAGAATCAAAATTATTCATCATATGATTCGATCATGGTTTAAATTTGCAGAACAAGCTCAAGTGGTTACATGGTTTAATTATGGAAATTTATATGGATGGTATTTCAATGGTCAAAATTTACCTTGGGATAATGATGTTGATGTCCAGATATCAGTTCAAGATCAAGATAAACTGGGTCAATATTATAATAATACTTTAGTTATTGAAAATCCAGAATTAGGAGATCATTTATTCTTTTATCAAACAAATCCATGGTATTTACAACCTCACCAGGGACAACATATCGATTCTCGTTATATAGATGTGAGATCTGGGATTTATATTGATATTTCATGTCTTTGGTTAGATCAATCTATTGAACATTATGATAAGGAAGATCAAGAAAATGAAGAAAAGGCAAAAGATGAAGGAAAAGATATACCAGAGAAAGTACTCAGACAAATCCATTGCAAGAACAATCGCCGATTCCCATTGGATGATATTTTCCCATTGAGAAGAACCCTGTTTGAAGGAGCACAAGGTTACATGCCATATAAACCAAAAAAAGTCCTGTGGGATACTTATGGAAATGGGTGTACAGATAAGAAATATAATAAAGATCATAATTGGCAAAAGGATATTGGAATGTGGATCCAAAATCAAATTTGTGAAAATGAAATGATTCCACCAACAGATCAAAGGTTTGATGATAATGGTGATTTAACTTTGAAAGGTGCATGTAATGATACTGAAATATTAGAGACTTTTAAATCAACTTTCGGTCAATATCAAGCTCATCTGAAAGAGTTTGATGTAGTTGTTGGAAAGGGGGAAGATGGTTCAGAATTTAGTGAAGAGGAATTACCTATATATAGGTTTTATGACTCTTCAGAGTTTTTATAATTGACTTATAGCTGCTCATACTTATATATTGTTTAATTTAGCTGTATAATGATTCAAATGTTATAAATGAGTCTATTCTCAATGATGGTGTTGACGTAGATCGATTTTTCTATCAGACTTATGTATCATGATACGTTTAATGATATTTTTATTTATTTTAATGAATGACACATGAATTTTAATTATCTGAAATTCTGAACTACCTTTATGTATAACTACTAACATCTCATAGTAAATTAAATTTATATAGATTCGCGAAGTGCTAATATTTTGAGACTAAGAGACTAAGTCTAGTACCAGGATTATAATCTTACAGTGGCCTAATCTAGTGTGGTTTGCATAAGTGTGCATATTTGCAATCGGATTTTTCTTTATAAAATTTCAGGTACCTATTAAAAGAAAAAAAAAAACATTTTAAAGATCGTGTGAACTCTTTGAAGTACTTGGTATAAATTTATATTTGAATGGGTTTCTTTGTTTTTATATATATAATATAGAATCTAGATTAATAACTGAACAAACTTGTTTCATAATTTCATTCACTCACATATAGAGATCTCAAACTAGTTTAAGATCTATAGATCAAGTTTGAACATCACATTAAAGTTTCAGACACCTTTATTTAAGACATATAATTATAGGTAAACAAAGATATGAAGGTTAATAAAAAAATTGTTACAATAATACCAATATCAATAATTATATTTTTATTTTTATTAACAAATGGTTCACAATTCAAATCAATAGCTAATCAACAAGCTCAACAATTATATTTAAAATATTCATATAATTCAGTTGATGAATATAGAGTTGCAACATATAATCATGATTCTCTTGGTGAATTACGTCGTAATTTATCCATTCATTTCCCTTATACCAAAAACACTGATGAAATACCACGTAATATATGGCAAATGTGGAAACATGATGATGTTAAATCATTAGATAAAGGATTACAAGATTTAATTGAAACATGGCAACATCAAGAAAATTTTACATATAAATTAATTCCAGATAATTATCTTGATGTTTTCATTAATGAAACTTTTGCAGAAACAGCACCAATGGTTATGGAAGCATTCCATAAATTACCTTTAATTATCTTGAAATCAGATTTTATGAGATATTTATTAATGTTTGTTTATGGTGGTGTTTATTCAGATATTGATACTTCATTACATAGAAATTTAACAAAATGGATATCATATGAAAATACTATAACACCAAATTTACCAAATCAAATTGGATTAGTTATGGGTATTGAAAGTGATCGTGATGAAAAAAATTGGGCAAGAAATTCCATGCCTAGAAGATTACAATATTGTCAATGGACATTACAATCAAAACCTGGACATCCAATGTATAGGGAATTAATTACAAGGATTGTTGATTTAACTTTAAATCATTTTGACCCCAAAACAATGACATTAATTAAAAATGGGAAAACATTTGATTTAAATAAAGGTTCCAACACAAAACAAAGTGGGATTTTACAATGGACAGGACCTGCAACTATAACAGATGCATTATTTGATTATTTAAATGAAGTTTATAAAACAAGTGAATTATTAGATCCAGAGTTGGATTTCAAACAAGATAAAATGATTGATCCAAATAGAGATTTAAATTTATTATCAAAAGTTAAATTTGAAAAATTAAGAGGTGCTACACATAATGAATATATCCCAGTGGAAAGACCAATTGGATGGCAAAATTTTACTAAACAAGTTCATCCAATCTTGTTTGATGATGATGTTTTATTATTACCACATATTTCATTTGGGAATAGAGAAGGTGGTGATTTAGATTATGTTATGCATCATTTTAAAGGTTCATGGAAGAATTAGATAGATATCAATATAGATATGTTTTGTTTTTCTACGATTGATGATGTTAAGAAAGAATTGTAGATTGTATATTAGATATATGAGATCCAATGACAATCTTAGTATGAGTCAAGATCTAAATATGGTACTCAGTTTGAGATGGTATCTCAAATATGGAATATCATCAGATCATGTTGCTGATGCTGAAGCTAATGTTGAACCTAACGTCCTGATATTTAACCTAATGTTGAACCTGATATTAAAAGTGATATTGGAGCGCAAACCAGTCTACCACGTATCAAGTTGCGATTAATACTAATCAAAGGTTCAGAAACCTATGTTAAGTTAAGTTTGATCACTATTCTTTTAGAATTTCAACTGATATTAATTGAATTTATCACAGCGGCTAATTCACAAATCTATAGAACACAAATACAAACATTTGATTAACGCTTACAGATTGTATGGATCAAATCCAAAGAATAATATCATCAGCAGAAGAATCAACATCTTCATTTGAAAACATATATTTATATAGATTCATTCAACTGTTCAAGCACAAATACTTGGATCAATATTTGATGAATTGAACAGACATGATTTATCAAAATGAGGTAAAGAAATACACCAAACGAAAACAATTATATGGTTTTGAAAAGTTCAATGTAATTCCTCAGGCATCCTTATGGTTTGCAAACCTAAAAGCTGAGTAGTATTGGATGGTACTATAGAAACAAGCTGATCTAATTGTAATTAGTACTTCAAGAAAAAAGTCGAAGTTTTAATAGAATGAAAAAGGAGAAAAAAAAGGATCTGTGCTTTTTATATACAAGAAATACACAGCGGCTAATCTTATACTAACTGATTTTTATAGCTCCACCAATATTCAAGTGAATAGTGTATCGGTTACAATTGATGATGTTTAAAAAGAAGTGTAGATTGTATATTAGATATATGAATTCCAAGAACAATCTATATATGAATTAAGATCTTAATATGGTACGATCAATTTGAGATTCACTAGGCTCAAATATAAACGTCCATTAGATAAATATGACTTAAACCCAGGAGTTGCACATAATAAAGGACCGTTGGACACAATCAACATTATCCACTGCAATATTTAGATATTGCCCATCCAGAAATGATTTCAGTGATCACTGTGTTAACATTATAAAATAGTACAAGTTCAATTCAAAGCAAAAAAGTGGGAAATTGAGCTTTTATTAACAAATCCATCACAGCGGTTAATGAACACAAACACAAATACAAACGACAGCGCTTACAAGTAAAAATATTTCAATCAAACAAATGATATCATCAGCAGAAGAATCATTATCTTCATTTGAAAACATGTATTAAATAGATTCATAATTTACTGTTCAGCACAATTATATATGGATCATATCAGTAATTGATGAACTGAAAAGTAATGATTTATCAAAATGATTTATCAAAAAAGTAGACAAAATGCTCATTGAAGAACACCGTATAATCAACTAGCTTTAACATCGAATCCAAATTTGGTTTGACATGGTTTCTGAAATAAATATAACAAAATCGAAAGTATGTGATAAACTGGATAATTACAAATTATTGAACGACTTGGAGATTGTTAAAGTAGAGAAGAAAACGAAAAAAAGGAGGATTCGTGATTTTTATATAATTTGTGATACACGCGATTTTGTTGGAAATATTAAGTTACTCCAATAGACAGTGAACACAGCGATTAATCTAATTAAATAATAGTAGCTATAACTGAATACTTATACTTAAACACTAGTAAGTAAATAGAATACCAAAGTTAAACAGGGATCTAAGATACACGATCCAAAAGGACCAAAGCTCTTGTCTGTCTAGATTTGATCTTGAATTGATCTCAAAGAAGTTACTGTGCTTATCTTTGATATACAAAAGTCCCAGTCTCACTGTTTCTTAGTCTTCGAATTTATTTTATTTCATGTACGTAACAATATTTATTCAAATTAACGCGTTCGACCCTTTAAAATTTTAAATTCTTTTCCTGTGCATAAGTTAATTTGAACATTGGATTACAGAGAAGGTGTACATGTGGGTTATTCTTCAGTAAACATAGAAGTACTTTAAACATGGAACAGTATAAACCATGGTTAATCAAGTATGGTAAGTTGTATATTTCCAATTTCATAACTATGGCTTTCTACTGTATATAGTAATATACGGTGGAATTTAAAGGTGTTTAAGATCGTTTAAGCTATGTTTAACCTGTCAGTGGTTATACATGGTTAAGTGAGATCACACGACCAGTTTTATAACCACTATTTATGAGCATGTACGCGTCTTTTTTGAAATTTTGAATCCATGTATATCCATTGAAAATCTTTATTATGTAGTATGTACCCATATTCTGAGAAAGACCTAGGTACACGGTACACTGCTTTTAAAAGTTCAAAGTATACATCAACTTCAGAAACCAATCACGACTAATCCTATAATAGTTCTTATTGATAATATTTGATATCCTTTTTCATAATCTCAGGTATCTTTTCTTTCCAATTCCGCTTTAAATAATTTCCTTTTTGGTGGATTCCAAATTCCAAAGTTCTTTAAGACTCATAAAATTTTTCATGTGTACAGTTTTGCTTTTGACTTTCAGGGACACAGAAAAAAAAAAATCTTGCATAATTTGTATAAACTCTAATTTCCGAGTTGAGATCTTGATAAGTAATATTTTATACCCTTGAATACTCTCTGAGTTTTTATAAAAATGATTATTTCAGAATCATAAACACAAAGTTAATCAACCACGTTTTCATCGTGGAGAAGAATAGAGATCGAGTGATAGATTATGAGGTTTCAAAGATATTTAAATGCTTTGAACCCTTCTGGTTTATTTCAATCAGTAAAGAGTTTCAATTATACTCAACTATCTAATACACCAGTATCTACAAATAAATCCAAAAACTTGATACTAAAATCTAAAATCATCATATTAATAGCTTTGATATTCATTGGTACAAATGTTTTATTAACAAATTTTATTTTCAATGTTGATAATTATGGTCAATATGTTCAATCATTAAATTCAATGGATCTTTATCTTAAATTAAATAAGCGGTTCCAAGGTTATAAAGAATTCCTTAAAATTTTTTCAATACCCAATAATGAATTAAATTTATCAATAAATCAAAACATTGCTCATAATGAATTTAATCATAATTATTCCTCCACTGCTTTAATTTCATACATTAATCATATTTATGCATCCAAAGAACAAGATCCAAAAGGTCTGCTACTTAATGAAACAATAGATTTTCATTGGGCAGATTGGTTAGATGTTCAACAAGCAACCCCATTTGTTAAAATGTATCCTGATTTATTGAAAAGATTTGGTTCTCATGATGCTATTAAAGATTATGTTCATCAAATTTGTGAAGTTCCATTAAAAGATCTTAGACAACAATGGGATGATTATGATTTATATGAAGGTAGAACTACGACCCATGAACAAGTTATTGGGATTGAAATTTGTGGTGCTATTGAAAAATATTATTATAATCCTATACCGGAACGTATTATGCTTGAAACTAATTATCATTATCATACTGTTGGTGTTAACCCAGAAAGGTTACAAGATCCTTTAGGTAAAGAAGGTAATGCTAAAAGATTTTATAATTCAAAACATGTTACTGCAACACAGATCAATAATTTCAAACCAAATGATCAAAGAATGGATTTATTAAATGATTTAAAACATAATTATATTGGGAAAGGTTATGAATTAGAATCTTTTAAATTAAAACCATTTGTTGATCAAAGTGTTAAAGCTTATAAAAAACCAAAAGTTATGACAATGATTAAAAAACTAGAACGTAAACAAAATCGTGAAAATGTTGAATTAACTCCAACTGAACAAAAAAGATTAGATTTCTTAAAATATTCATGGGATCATGTTGGTATAAAACAACCTTTTTTCTTTACAAGTTTAAGAATTCAAATTGATGTTACAAATCATGAATTAGTTCATTATAGTTATCCATGGATGAAAAAAATCTTAAATGGTGAAGAAAGATTAAAAATTATTCATCATACAATTAGATCATGGTTTAAATTTGCCGAAAATGCTCAAGTTATTTGTTGGTTTAATTATGGGAATTTATATGGTTGGTATTTTAATTCACAAAATTTACCATGGGATACTGATTTAGATGTTCAAATTTCTATCCAGGATCAAGATCGATTAGGTCAATATTATAATAACACACTGGTTATTGAAAATCCTGAATTAGGTGATCATTTATTTTTTTATCAAACAAATCCTTGGTATATTAATAATCATGAAGGTCAACATATTGATTCTCGTTATATTGAGGCAAAATCTGGTATTTATATTGATATTTCTGCCCTTTGGATTGATAAATTACCAGCAGTCTCCAAATCATCAGATCAAGAAGATCGTAAAGATGAAGAAATTATTAAATTCCATTGTAAAAATAATAATTATTTTGCATTTGAAGATATTTTCCCATTGAGAAGAACTATATTTGAAGGTGCACAATGTTATATACCAAATAAACCTAAAAAAGTTTTATGGGATTTTTATGGTGCAAAATGTACAGATAAAAAATATAATAAAGATCATAATTGGCAAAAAGATATTGGGATGTGGATTCCAAATCAAATTTGTGAAAATAAAAAAATTCCTAAAACTGGTGATAGATTTGATGATAATGGAGATTTAACACTTAGTGGGGCATGTAATGATGTAGAAATTCAAAGAAATTTCAAATTAACCCAGGATCAATATGAAATTCATAAAAAAGAGTTTGAAATTGTTGTGGAACAAGATGGTGGTGATGCTTCAAGTTTAAGTGAAAATGAATTACCAATTTATAGATTTTATGATCCAAAAGAATTTCAATGATTTAATTGATTTGATCATGTGTAACATAGAGTTAATGATTTGAATATTTAATGTTTAATAAATAATATACCTTCTAGCTGTATGTGATGTATTTGGATTTCATTGATATCTTGAAATATCACTATAATATTGCTTTATATTATATACAGCTCATGATGGAGAGTATCGAGTATGCTTCTGAAATAATTCAAAATAATAGTGATAGCGTTTCAGCTTTTTAAATATTTGAACTTGTATCATTCGTAGGTTCCATAAGCATTAAATTCTGAACAAAGGTATCAGCCCTAAACTATATAGTAATTGGTTAATCATAATATTATATTATATGGAAATCTCTTTTGTTTAGATGTTCGATATTTGATCATCAGCAAATCACGTCGTTCTCGTAAATTTTGCGATTTTTAATCGCATATATTGTTGACTTTCTAAACATTAACAAATAGAACCAGAACTATATGATCAACTTGTCGATATCCCTACTGAATTCAAGTTAGTTGTTTACACATTCACATCTATTGCATGTTGTCATATTCTTTTCCGATTACTCATCGAATCCAAATGATATTGAAGATCTAGAACAATTAAGAGAATCTCAGTAGAAGTGTATACTTTGAGGCATGTGGTTATGAATCGACACTATAGTTTGTGTAAAACAATCCCAGGGTTCACATTAATTCAACGATTTAAGTTCATGTGGTTAGATCTGAAACTAAGATTAGATCTAGTGGTATACCCAAATTGACAATTAAGATCTAAGATCATAACAAGATTTTAACCCCTGAAAGCAACGTATAATGGAATTGCTCTGCAGACATCAATATTGGTTTCCATGCGTCACTATATGCCTGATTGGCTCATATAATCTGATCTTTGAAGGAACCAAGTACGTATAAGTTGAACCTCAAAGTAACTAATGCTCGTATTCTTTTTCCTGTTTCCTCGGTGATCGCTTCTACCCAGATTACCCGTTTCGGAAAACTCAAGTATGAATAGGGAATAAAAGGAGATTTATACTATATCAAAGTTTATACAAGTATTACCGGAAAGAACAGAGATGTTTACTAATTCAGGAACCTGCTGCTTAAACTAAAACCATGTTATAATTGTTATTTACTGCAAGGAAATGCACACTGGAAAATTACTATGTCTTTGGCGAGTTATTTGATCTTCAATATTCGATAGTTAACTTTGAATATATCTTGGTAGATCTCTCAAACTTAAGGCAAACTTTAGGATGATGGACCATAGACACATGATTGACTTTAGTGGTGATGCTGTTTACAGCTGATATCCAATAAAATTGAATTGTCATTTTGATAAACCACGTTGATCTAGAGATGATTGAAATTTATGATATCTATAAATATGGAGAAGAATCTCATCAAAAATGAACAATTATTTGCAAATTCAATCCAGTACCTATCAACTGGAAGATAATCACTTCATTTCAATACTCATTCACTGGTTATTAGATCTTGAAGTTATCAACCATGTTAAAGATATCAATTTTGGCTTTTTTGCAGTTATTCATGTTGGCAAATGCCACCACAACAACACTCAGTTCACAAGATAATAGTGAATTATCTTCAGGTCCAACTCCTGAAATTTCCTTAGCAGCAGCTTCTGGCTCTACTGAAACTTCTACAATTTACACTGCTTCAAATACTGATTACACCCTACAAGGTATTAGTGCTTCTTCAGACTCAACTACAGGTTCAAATCCATTGATTACAGGTACTTTACCAACAGAAGAACCATCAAACACCATTGCTACTGGAAATTTCAATGAAACCAAAACTATCAGTGCCTCTCAAAATTCAAACTCACAAGGTGCAGTTCTAGAAGAAGCTACATCTTTCGATTTATTTTCTGCTATTGATACTAAAAATCCACCAAGTGTTTTCCCAAGAGAACCATTAAAATTAGAATTACCAGCTGGAGTTATAAGTGATAATAAACCAATTGGAACTAATAAATTCTGGAGTAATTTGATTTTAGGAGATCAAACTGCTGGTATTTGGACTTATCCTTATGTATTAATCAAATCTGTTAACAGTTTTTATGGATTTGCTGTTTCTCATACAACTGCTTCTCAATATTCTTTTGGTGATAAAGATAGTGCAGGTAATGCGAAATCTTATTCAAATCCACAAGGTATTTATTCGTTCATTTTCAGTGGTAAAGGTTTTAGTAAAGATAATTTAGGTATGAATGTTAGTGGATTGAAATCCATGTCTGCTTTAGTCACCTTATACAACAAACAAAGCTCACCAACTACTGATTATATTGATCTACCATTAGTTCAAGGTATGGGGTTTTCAACTGCTATTTATAAAGGTAATTTAACTCCAGTATTGAATTCAAATGTTGGTTTTAATAAATTAGTTCAAGAAAAATCAACTGGATTAGACTCCAAAATTCAAAAATATCGTGCTAGTTTGAAAAATGGTGTTGATTGGTTGATATATATTACTTTACCAGATTCCGCTGGTGATTTTAAATTATCATCAACAGATGGTGCTACAATCACTGGTTCCAAAGCTGCTGACGGATTGGTAATTCAACTCGCCGTTGCACCAAAGCCTGATTTAGAACAATTTTATGATCAAGCTGCTGGTACTTATGTCACAAGTGCTTCAGTTCAAGGTACTTCAAATGGTGCTTCAGCTAATTACGAAATTAAATATGAAACCCAAGGTAAAAGTTCATTAGGAAATCCAATTGTTTTCGCATTACCACATCATTTAAAATCATTTACTCAAGAAACTACCAAAAAATCAACAGGGATTACATTAGATTCTACTACAAAAGGTACAATGGTTGGTTATTTAACAAATTCTTTAGAATTCACTGATACTTTTAATAATAATGTTCAATGGTTACCATGGTCTCAACAAATTACCAAGGAATTATCATATACACCTGAACAATTAAAATTAATTGCATCTGTTGCTAATGGTGAATTAAATATTGATTTGAAAGGTGCAATGAAAGGTCAAGGTATGTATACCGCTGGTAAAATTTTAGATAAATTTGCATATATTTTATTAGTTCTTGATGAAATTATTAAAGAAGAAAAAGTTAGAGATTCAACTTTACAAAAATTAAAAGATGCATTTGATATTTTTGTTAAAAATGAAGAATTTTATCCATTAATGTATGATACTCGTTATAAAGGTGTTACTTCATCTGCTGCACAAAATAGTGATGAAGATCCTGGTAGATTAGATTATGGTGCACCATATTATAATGATCATCATTTCCATTATGGGTATTTCTTACATGTTGCTGCTGTTATTGGTTATGTTGATGCAAAAAAAGGTGGTTCATGGGCTAAAGAAAATAGTGATTGGGTTAATTCATTAGTTAGAGATGTTGCTAATCCAAGTGAAGAAGATTCTTATTTCCCAGTTTTCAGATCATTTGATTGGTTTGCAGGTCATTCATGGACTGCTGGGTTATTTATGAAAGGCGATGGTAATAATGAAGAATCCACATCAGAAGATTACAATTTTGCTTATGGTATGAAATTATGGGGTAATGTTATTGGTGATAAAAGTATGGAAGCTAGAGGTAATTTAATGATTTCAATATTGGCAAAATCATTAAATGATTATTTCTTATATTCTGATGATAATAAAGTTGAACCAAAACAAATTATTGGTAATAAAGTTAGTGGTCTTTTGTTTGAAAATAAAGTTGATTATAAGACATGGTTTGGTACTAATAAAGAATATATTCATGGTATTCATATGTTACCAATCACTCCAGCTTCTTCAGTTGTTAGAGGTCCAAAATTTGTTAAAGAAGAATGGGATTCAAAACTCTCTTCAATTGTTGATGGTCTTAATAGTGGATGGGGTGGTCTTATTAGATTAAATCAAGCATTAACAGATCCAGTTGCTTCTTATAAGTTTTTTTCACAAGATAAGTTTTCAAATGAATGGTTAGATAATGGTATGAGTAGAACATGGGCTTTAGCTTTTAGTGGTGGGTTAGCAAATTCCCTTTGATTTTTGAGAATTAATTAATTTAAAATGTTCTGTTTTCTTTTAGATACCCTTTTTTCTTCTATTATGATAATGAATATCCTATATATTTAGTTGGATAGTTATAAATGTAACATTATATTATTATTTCTATTCCTACATACATTATTATTTACATGTATTATACACTTAATCGAAGCGCCAGTAATGTTAGACAACTTATACTACATTGAATCATAGTGTATTTAAAAATATGTTCCATTGAATCCAAAAAGATGTTTCACAGCTTTTCAGCCGCTATTGTCATCAAATTGATTCAATGTGTTGTAATTGTATGTATTGATTGCAGTGAATATATAATAGATACATGTATCTAATGCTCAATGCTCAATGCTCAATAAATATTATACTTGATAGTACTAACAATAAGTGAATAACCAAATAAAATAAAATACCTGATGTGTGACGACGGGCTAAAAGACATAAAGCCCATATATATATTACCTGATATTGTCAAAATAAGATTGAGCTAAGAATATATTCATAAAATTGATCATTCGATAATTATAAGGTAAAATATTAAAACACTCAGAGCTTAAGCTATATAATATTGAATCAAAGTTTTTGAAAAAAGGGGACGAGATCCTTAAATTTATATCAAAACCGGGGCGGCTAAGGGGAGCAAATTTATAATTTATATTTAAAATATTATTATAAATAGCATCATGACAGCATATGATCAAATCAACAACTGAAGTCATCGAGTTTGATACAATCTTCTCTACAATATGATAATCTATGGTTAAGTACTACAAATCTATTAAACAACTAATAAAATAAAGCGTCATATTGGTGATTTGAACATGAATTGGTGCATTTTATATATAGCTTTCAATCAATTATTCAATCCCAATTAGCTTGTGTATTATACTAGATATACCTAACGTCACACGAGTTGTTAATTTATGATGTTGATCTGGTGTATACCAAATATATAATTAATGATCATTGAGTTTCAGTCAATAATAAAACTATTTGATTTAGAATTGGATAAGGTACAAGAGTTCATAAGTTGAATATAATAGTGATCCATCTGTTATCAAGAAAATGAAATATAGTAAAAAGGAATATAAACTTGGTATATATTCAAATGATATATCATGTTAATAATTGTATACATGGAAATTCAAAGATCACGGATTTTGTCAGACTTTTATATAATTAGATTTCAAAATAATCTTCAGCGGCAATTTTGAATATTCAATATGGAAGTCAAAGGCGAACATGTGTGATGATATATATTTGATTAAGAATTTGAGCACATGAATCATGGAAATTGATCATAATTAGACAGACTACCATTCTAATAAAATCAATATTGTTTAATACTGGCTCAATCTCTCAGATATGGTATGATCTTTTGATATATAACAATCAGCTTGAAGTATACGTCCTCAAAGGTGTTAAGCTATAAAGTAGTTCAAACTAATTATAATTGAGAGTTAGTGACAAGTTCCAAGATTATCCAAACCTTCAGATCATTGAAGAGAGTACTGCTTAATGTATTAATTGTGCATCCGATTAATTATATTCTAATCTATTATAAGTTATATTCAACGGTTTTGAATCTAGCTGTTAATTGTTCTATTTATTAGTTAATTGATTGAACTCACCTACGTCAACATACACAATGTTGTGACCAGCCTAATTAAATTAATTGAAATATATGAGTCTAGCATTTGTAGATCAATCTTTCCAGAACTGCATTCTATATGGCACCTTCATGATTTATCAATTAGCTGCGCCGGTTTTCAAGGTAAAATACAGATGATTAAATCTGTTAACCAATTTAAGGACGACATGCAATAAATTAAACCTAATCGAGTTTGGGGTGAGAAATGAAACATGGATCTCAAATTATTGCGGATATGAATACTATGATTGTGAAAAGCTGTACCACTGTAGCCTATATAGGTTCACATCTAGTGTTAAACATTACTAGATCTAACGCTTTACCTATTACGAATACCGGCACTTCTATAAACTGCAATCAGTTAGTAAAGAACAAAATTGATTAAAGAAGAGCATTCCACTAGATCATCTTTCTGAACATTAGCTCGAATTAATGGGGGCTAAGTAGTAAGAACCCATCAACGAATGTTCTTGATGTATTGCAATGCCTTAGCTAATAGCTTTGGAATGTTGTAATTGCTTTGGAATGTTGATGTATATATATAGCTTGATCACTCCAATAACCCCAGTTATACATACCCAAATTATCCAATAGCGGTTATCTCAACGTAAATCTCAGCTATGTGTACAATTTAGCACCTTTTTGAGGTTAAAGCATCTAATTTGCTTGAACCAGTATATATCAATTTTGCTTTAGAGTCTATGGTAACGTTGGTTTCGCTGGTGATTTTTTATCAATATTACCTTTTTCGGCAAGATATAAATAATAGATTTCAGCGTTGCTAAGGTTCTGGGATTAATTACCACAGATACATACATCTTCATTCGCGGTTTTAGTATGTTTAATATGCAACTAAAAACATTGTTTACGCGTCATTACTGCACAATAATGCGTTTAATGAACCATAATATTTTTTGGCGTTTTATCTATATGGTATTCAAACCAGCCATTTTTGAAATTTCTATTGTTTCTTCGTAGTTGTTCCGTTAATTTTAGTGCCAAATGTTACATACAGAGTATGAAATCTGATAGATTTCACGGAGATGAGATCATGGATCAACTCTAGTGATGGTGATAGTTGAGCTGGCTGGTAACAGATCTAATTTAATTTGGTATAAATTGTTGATCCATGATGATTTGAGTTACTGGTTTATGATCTATATATATGGGGAGTGAAGACTTTAAAATGAATACTTTCATAGCCATCTATCTGAAAATTATCTAACAATCAACACATTCATTCATTAATCTACCTTTTGACAGGTTTTAAATTATTCAATAGATATCAACTGACTACTTACATTCATTTCAATCATTCATTCATTCAAATACAACAAGTCAGTTCATACTATTATTCATTCATTAAATAGATATTTTGTCAGATCTTAGATTTCAAATCATGTCAAAGTTATCACTCTTAGCTGTTTTCCAGCTAATAATGTTGGTTAATGCCTTCAATATTACAACTACACTCACTAAACAAGGTAGTACATCTACTGTTACAAGAACTCATTTTAGTGAAAATGTTAAAGAATCAGAATCTTATTCACTTTATCAAAATCAAACGGAAACTATTGGTGTTCCATATGTCAATGCTCATTTTTCAACTGGTTCAAGCTCGGCTGCTCAAGCATCTGGTTATTCAAATGTGACTTATTCAAATGAATTAGCTTCTGCTACTGATATTTCATCATCAGAATCATCCAGTGAATCCCAATCTTCATCTACTTCACTTGATGTTGTTACCACTACAAAAGTACAAACACAATATTCTGTTGCTAATCCATACAACCCACAATCCACTTATGAACCAGCTGGTGGTTCTCAATCTGATGCTGATCAAGGTTATCCAGAAATATCACAATCAAGAATTGCTATTGGAACTACAAAGAAAGTTGTCACTTTAACTACACAATTAACTTCTACACCATCTGCTGAAGTCATTTTAGTTACAACTACTGCTACAACTAAGACTTCAACAATTTATACTGCTTCAGTTACTGGTATTTACTCTGAACAAGGTGCTCGTGCTTCTCCAGTTCCAACTACTGCTTCAAATCCATTATTCACAAATAGTCAAGTTTCTGAAGCACAAACCAATTCTATTGCTACTTCAAGTTTCACTAAAGATAGAACAATTACTGTTTCAACAACATCAACTTCCAGTATTGCTTCAAATTCAGCTTCTTATTCAGGAAAAGGATCAAGTCATACTTCCATATCTGGTGCGGCTTCTATTTCAGGAACAACTATTTCTTCAGTTGGCTATCATAATTCTTCAATTCCATATGAAAGTTTGAGCTCCTCAGCTTTAGATGAATCATCATCAATCCTGAGTGGTAGTTCACTTTCTCAAGTTGCTTCATCTTCTGAAAATGTCACTGCAACTTTATCATCCTCAGAATTATCAAGGTCTACTGAATTAGAATCATCATTATCTGGAAGTTCATCATCATCATCATCATTATTAGAAAGCTCATCTTCAGTTGCTACCTCATCATCAGCTTCCAACATTGATGCTGCAGGTGCTGTCTCATCTTCACACTCTGTCTCTGTATCAGCAACCGGTACAACAACATTACAAACAACTTCTCAAACACCAGAAGCAACATCATTTAATTTATTCTCTGCTATTGATACTCAATCACCACCAAATATTTTCAAAAGAGAAGCATTACCATTAGAGTTACCAGAAGGTGTGGAAAGTGATGATAAACCAATTGAAACTAATAAATTTTGGGGTAATTTGATTTTATCAAAACAGACTGATGGTGTTTGGACTTATCCATATGGTTTCTTCAAATCAGTTACAGATTACTATGGGTTTGCTGTTTCTCATACAAACTCTTCACAATACGTTTTTGGTAATTATGATAGTGATGGTACTGCTGAATATTATTTCAACCCAATTGGTCTTGGTTCTTTCATTTTCAGTGCTAAAGGATTTACTGAAGATAATCTAGGTATGGATATCAGTGAAATGAAATCAATGTCCACTTTAGTTACTTTATTCAATAACCAAAGCTCACCAGATTCAGATTTTATTGATTTATCATTAGTTCAAGGTATGGGTTTTGCTACAGCTGTTTATAATGGTAACTTAACTCCATTGTTGAATTCTAATGTTGGTTTTGCTAAATTAGTTCAAGAAACTTCAACTTCATTAGATTCTAAAATTCAAAAATATCGTGCTTCTTTAAACAATGGTGTTGATTGGTTATTATATGTAACCTTACCATCTTCATCTACTGATTTCAAACTTTCTGCTACTGGTTCATTTGCTATCACTGGTTCCAAAGCTGTCGATGGATTAATTATTCAAGTAGCTGTTGCTCCAAGCTCAAATGAAGCTTATTATGATCAAGCTGCTGGTACTTATGTTACAGATGCCACTGTTCAAGGTTCATCAAATGGTGTTTCTGCTAATTATCAATTCAAATATGCAACAAAAGGTCAAAGTTCTTCAGGTAATCCAATTGTCTTCGCATTACCACATCATTTGAAATCATTTACTTCAGCAACTACCAGGAGATCAACTGGTATTTCATTAGATTCTTCAACTAAAGGTACAATGTATGCTTATTTAACTGATTATTTACAATTTTCAGACTCTTTCAATAATGATGTTCAATGGTTACCATGGTCTCAACAAATCACTAAAGACTTATCTTACACTGCTGATCAATTAAAATTAATTGCATCTGTTGCTAATGATGAATTAAATGTTGATTTTGCTAGCTCTGTTAAAGGTCTTGGTATGTATACAGCAGGTAAATTCTTGGATAAATATGCATATATGTTATTAGTCATTGATGAAATTATTCAAGATGATTCAGTTAGAAATTCAACATTAGAAAGATTAAAAGATGCTTTTGATATCTTCTTACAAAATGAACAAGAATTTTCATTGATGTATGATACTCGTTATAAAGGTGTTACTTCAACTGCTGCTCAAAATGGTGATACTGGTGCTGATTATGGTGGTCCATATTACAATGATCATCATTTCCATTACGGTTATTTCGTTCATGCAGCTGCTGTCATTGGTTATGTTGATGCTAAACAAGGTGGTTCATGGGCTCAAGATAACAAAGATTGGGTTAATTCATTAGTTAGAGATGTTGCTAATCCAACAGATGATGATTCATATTTCCCAGTTTCAAGATCATTTGATTGGTTTGCCGGTCATTCATGGGCTGCTGGTTTATTTACTGCAGGTGATGGTAAAAATGAAGAATCCACTTCGGAAGATTATAATTTTGCTTATGGTATGAAATTATGGGGTAATGTTATTGGTGATCAAAGTATGGAAGCTAGAGGTAATTTGATGATTTCCATATTGGCAAAATCTTTGAATGATTATTTCTTATTCTCAGATGATAATGACATTCAACCAAATGAAATCATTGGCAATAAAGTTAGTGGTATTTTATTTGATAACAAGGTTGATTATACAACTTGGTTTGGTACCAATAAGGAATATATTCATGGTATTCATATGTTACCAATAACTCCAGTTTCTTCAGTCATTAGAGGACCAAATTTTGTCAAACAAGAATGGGATCAAAAGATTTCATCAATTGTTGATACTTTAAATAGTGGTTGGACTGGTATTTTGAGATTGAATCAAGCATTAACAGATCCAAAAGCTTCTTACAACTTCTTCTCACAAGATAATTTCTCAAATACTTGGTTGGATAATGGTTTAAGTAGAACATGGTGTTTGGCTTTCAGTGGTGGTTTAGTAAATTCACTTTGATCTGACCAAATTCAATTACAATTTTCATTCTTTTTATTTCATTCTTACGAACATTTTTCACATGAGCTATGTTTTTTTTTACGATCTCAACTCTCTTATTTATATATAGTTTTTGTTATTAGGTTATAGTTTTTAAAATTAATTAATTCACGGGTTTCAAAGTTAACATTAATCTTTATATTGTGTAGTAATGTAGTAATAATATTATAATAATATTATAATTATGAGACTTTAGTCTTTTGGTCACGTGAGTAGAGACTGAGGATTATTTTGTATGAGACTAGATCATCATCAGAGAGACTAAAAGTGTAATGATTGTACAAAATGAAGCATAACTCTTTTAATTCGGAGAGTTTTGACATGATAATTAGTGGGGAGTGTAGCCCAGCCTAATCTAAATTAAACTATATTAATTTCATAAAATCATAGAGACCAAATCAGGCAAAATAGCTCGTTATAGCATCAAATTTAACTTGGACTTGCAACCTCTAATTATTCTCGTTTTTTGTGACACACGCAAATATAAAGTTTAGAAAAAAACACAATCTAATATTAAAACAAACTTTCAAAGAGCACAAGAGACAAGGAAAACGTCAAGTATTTGTTCATTTTGTTTTGTGTCAAAGAGACTATATATATTCAAGCTATTTGTGCTGTATTAGTATTACCATTCTCCTGCTTTTCCATTATTCAATTCAATTATATTCAAATCACAAATAGATCAACCTTCAGTATTATCATTATCAAACACATCAAATTCAATTCATTATGGCAACAGTAGCTGCTCAGAAAAGACTTACAAAAGAGTATAAGAATCTTAAAGCTGAACCAATAGATTTAGTGTTTGCCAAACCATCAGAATCAAATATTTTACAATGGCATTATATCATTACAGGTCCACCAGATACTCCATTTCAAGGTGGTGAATATTATGGGTTATTAACTTTCCCACCTCAATATCCTTTTAAACCACCAGCAATTAAAATGATTACACCAAATGGAAGATTTCAACCAAATACAAGATTATGTTTAAGTATAAGTGATTATCATCCAGAAACTTGGAATCCAGCTTGGTCTGTAGGGACAATTTTAACAGGTTTAACAAGTTTTATGACATCTCAAGAAGTTGCAAGTGGTTGTGTTAAAACTTCAGAGTCTGCTAAAATTACATATTCTAAGAATAGTGCAAAATTTAATAGGTCAAATGAGAACTTTTTGAGGGAATTTAAAGAATATTTTGCTGAGAAAGAGGAACGTGAAGATTATGAAGAAAGGATTAGAGAAAGAGAATTGAAAGCTAAAAAGGACAGAGAAGAAGCTGAAAAGAGAGCACTTGCAAACGGGATAGCTACGAATGGAACAAATACTCATTTGAAAAGAAACTTATCAACAACATCAAATGTTTCAGAAACATCAAAAAGGGCAATGACTATAGATTTAGATACAAAAGTTGATTCACCTGATAGTTTTAATTTTAATGAAGTTGATGAAGTTGATGAATTAGATGATAATGATTTCTTATCGGATGAAGATGGTGTTGTGGTTCTGGATGAAAGTGATCAAGAAGATGAACTGGATGGTGAACCTGATGTTGTTGTTGTGGAAAAGGGTACTCAAAAGAAGAAATCCAAATCTAATCCAACAGATCCTATTGTCATTGATTAATCAAAACGCTGTACCACCATGTTTTCTGTTATAATGATTAATGATTTCCTTTTAATTTTGCTTTTACATATATTATACTATATGAACATTTTATTACAAAATTCTATATACATGCTGGATTAAATAAATAAATATAAACTAGGGAGTTCATGGGAATGTTAAAGTTTTTAAATCACTATTTTTTGTTTGTAGTTTTAATTTTTTTGGATTTTTTATTCTTTTTAGCCTTTTGAACAGGAACATTTGATTGATTTGAATTTGATCCTAATGTTTTTGCAACAAGATCCAATTCCTCATTAGGTTTTGAACCAATAGCTTGTTTAATCATATCAGCACCAACTTTTAATTGATAACCAGTACCTAATTCTTTCTTCAATTTTGATTTATCATTTTCAATTTTTTCCATAGCTTTACCAAATTTTTCATCATAAGTTAAAGCTTCTTCAGCTTCTTGAATAGATTCTTTACCAAATATAACATCAAATACACGACCATCACCCCAAAACCAACCATTTCTATCAACTAACCAATAACCGAATCTTTTATCTGATTCTTTTAATACAAAGAAGAATGTACTCTTATCTAATGTACCATAAATACCATTCTTGGTAAAGATTCTTCCCTTTGCAGAACGATTTAAATTTTTCAATTTAATTGTATGAACAGGAGTTGCTCTACCTGGTAATAAAGGATGTGAAGTAAATTTTATAAAACCAGAATCTTTTTTCTTACCAGGTAAATACCAAATTCTTCTAATTAATCTAGTTGGTAATTTCATCAATGTATAAACAAATCCAATAGCTAATCCTGCGATTAATGTGATTGCACCAATTCTACCACTAAAATATAATAGGTCTCCATCTTGTTTATACATTTCATATGCAATTTCTGAAGTCCATTCTAACATTATAGAACCATATAATATAGCAACTAGGGCCAGTGCACCACATGAAATGAAATATAATTTATGAGATTCAGCTTCATAAATCAATTCAGGTTCCCTTTTAGAATATAATACTTCAAGCATTGATCTTAATGAATGTGTAGATGATGTTGGTACACCTGGTTTAGGTAATAAAGAAGAATTATTACGTAAAGGTAATGTTGGAATTCTTGACCATATTGAATTTGATTGATCAGTTTCACCAGGGATTGATCTTCTTAAAGATTCTGGTAAATTTGGGGTTTGTTGAGTTGGTGGAGGTGGTGATGGTGGAGATGATGGATTTTGATCTTTTTTAGATAATGAGGATTGGAATCTGATCAAAATTGGTTGATGGTGTTGTTGGATGAATGAGGTTCGTACAAGACCAAGATTTGCCTTGAACAAAGGTCTTCTAAGGATGTTCATGGTGGTTTTTGTTGAGATCTTGGGTTTTAAATGGGTTTTGAAAAGTGGTGAAGTTTATATTTTTTTTACTTTCCCTATAAAATTTTCGTGAAACAAAAACTACAAACTACAAATTTTAAATAAAATGTAAAATATCTCATTATTTTTGTATGAAATGGTATACTTATTATGATCTGAACCCTCAATAACCCACTTTTACACCACTTACTTCTTCTTTAAATCATTAGCTTTTTTCAAAACACAAGGATTATGACCAATATATTTCCCATTCAATTCTTTAAAAGCTTTTAAATAATCATTTGGATCACTGAAAGCAACAAATCCATAACCTTTATTTTCATTCTTATGATCCATGGGTACTTTAACTTTTGTAAGACTTGGATATACACCAAAAGATTGCATCAATATACCATCATTTGCATCTGAACCTAAATTTCCAACGAATAATCTAAAATGTTTTGGATCCCATTCATCTAATGTATGATCTTTTCCATAGGATTGTTTCTTGAAATTCTTATTTGGTTTATGATGTTGTTTATTGTGTGGTTTAGTATTATTTGTGGTATTATTAGCACCTGTTGTTGGTGTTGTTGATTGTGATTTTATATTCAAGTTATTTTGTTGTTGTGATAATAAGAATGATTCTGGTCGTACACCAGATGCCAAACGACGATCTGAAGATTTGGAGTTATGGATCTTTGGTTTCTTGACTCTGTTGATGTTGGACATGCTATAGAGTTATGTTTGAGTATCTGTTAACGTATTTTTTTATGATTTATTTGTTGATTTGTTGAAAATCTGATGTTTATGGTTCATGTCAAATTTTATATGGGTACAAAAAAAAATTCGTGAAATATAAACATCACCAAAATCACCAAAAAACTACAAAACTTCAATCAAAATGCCATAATGTATATATATAATTTTAAAATCTAACTACTTACAATAAACCAAGACACATCAAGATATAATCAAACAACAATCCAGCAGAAAAAATCAATCCAGAATTTATATTACTAGTGAAATGTTTCCAACAATCTCTTGGATCATCAAGATTAACATCTTTAATCATTTTAATTAATCTATAACTGAAAATACCAGATCCAATTAAAAAACCTGGATTTAATAGGATACCAGCACTATATCCAGCATAACCTAATAAACTTAATTGTGCAAGAGATAAACCACTAAAAATTTTCTTGGAATGGGTACCCCATTTTAAAGCTGTTGATTTAACACCAGCATTAATATCAAATTTTTTATCTTGATGAGCATAAATTGTATCATAAATCATAGTCCAACAGAAAGTTGAAGCGAATAATGCACACATGGTATTTATATCCCAAAGACCCATTGCAGGGAATCCTAATAGGGCACCCCAATTGAAAGTTAATGAAAGAACAGCTTGTGGATAATAAGTAAATCTTTTGAATAATGGATAAGTACAAACTGGTAATAATGAAGCAGCCCCTAAAACAAAACAATCTAATGGGATCATTAATATAACACCAAGCCCCAGGGCTAATTGACCACCAGCATACGCAACAGCTTGTTTTCTAGTGACTCTACCACTTGCAATTGGTCTTTCAATAGTTCTCAAGACTTTATCATCATAATTTTTATCTAATAAATCATTTATAGTACATCCAAATCCTCTCATAATAAGTGCACCTGTACCGAAAATAGCCAACATACTCATAGTGGATACAAATGGGGCACCTGTTTGAGTAGCTGCTATGATGATTGACCAAGTACATGGAACATATAATAACCATGTTCCTACAGGTTTTTCTAATCTTGATAATTCAGCATATGGGATCCAAGATTCAGGTAAACGAGATACTAATGGTCCTAAACCTTGTAATCTTTGTTTAGATGCTAAAGCACGTTCCTCTGGGGTGAATCTTTCAGCTAATATAGCACTTTGTGATTGTACTTGTGGAGTTGATTGAACAGTGGTTAATTGCTTTGAAGATGATTGAATAAGTCTTTTGAAAAGGGTATTGTGAGAAGATGAGTTGGTGATTGGGAATCGTATCTGTCTGTGAAGCAATGGAATGAAGCGTATCATCTTGATCTCAGTGAATATTAAAAGATGTTGATCTTGTGTCTGAGTAGAAAAGATACGAGATAAGCTTATTTTAGTTTAAATTTTTCGAGCTTTTCATATTGAAAAAGTTCCTCGAGATTATTTGCGTTTTGACAGGTGGAAAGCGTAGAAAACCAGTAAGACAGCGCAGAAAAAGGGGAATCAAAAGCCAAATATATAAATTTCATTATACTCATAATAATAAGCATTCTACTGCTTTTAAACACCAATTTCCACCCAATTAAGCCTCTTTTAAACCAAATTTCCATCATTTCCGTTATACCTTCGCGAATGTGTTTTGTAGATTTTCAGATTTTCGTTTAAACGTTGAACAAAAAACAAAAATAAAAATAAATTAAAATCAAAATTATCAACACAGCTTTCAAAGGGAATTTTGATCTGATTTCAGCCATCAATTACTCTTATTTGGTTATCAATATGACAGTCTACACAGCATCAACCACAGCTCCAGTCAACATTGCGGTGAGTGTCCTTTTTGAGGATTTATTATCCCTTCTTTTTGTGTGATTTCTATAGCGGTATCTAACATTTAACATCTAGACATTGAAATATTGGGGGAAAAGAGATAAACAATTGAATTTACCAACCAATTCATCCATTTCTGTGACCTTAGCTCAAGATGATCTGAGAACTTTAACATCTGTTGCCACTTCATCCGAATTCCCAGAAGATAAATTATGGTTAAATGGTAAAGAAGAATCATTAGCTTCAGAAAGAACACAAAATTGTTTAAAAGATTTAAGAAATTTACGTCAAGAATTAGAATCAAAAGATGATTCATTACCAAAAATTTCAAATTGGAAATTACATATTGTTTCTGAAAATAATTTCCCAACTGCTGCTGGGTTAGCATCATCAGCTGCTGGGTTTGCCGCTTTAGTTGTTGCAATTGCAAAATTATATAAATTACCACAGCCAACTTCAGAAATTTCTAAAATTGCAAGAAAAGGTTCAGGTTCTGCTTGTAGATCTGTCTTTGGTGGTTATGTTGCATGGGAAATGGGTGAAAAAGAAGATGGTTCAGATTCAAAAGCTGTTGAAGTTGCTCCATTATCTCATTGGTCAAATTTAAAAGCTGCTATTTTAGTTGTTAGTGCTGATAAAAAAGATACTCCATCAACAAGTGGTATGCAAACCACGGTGCAAACTTCAGATTTATTCCAATGGAGAATTAAAGAAGTTGTTCCAAAAAGATTTGAAGAAATGAAAAAATCTATATTAGATAAAGATTTTACAAAATTTGCAGATTTAACAATGAAAGATTCAAATTCTTTCCATGCAACTTGTTTAGATTCTTATCCACCAATTTTTTATTTAAATGATACCTCTAAAAAAATCATTAAATTAGTTCATTCAATTAATGAATTTTATGGTAAAACTGTTGCAGCTTATACATTTGATGCAGGTCCAAATGCAGTTATTTATTATGAAGATCAAAATGAATCAAAAATTTTCAGTTTCTTATATAAATTATTCTCAAAAGTTGAAGGTTGGGAATCAAAATATTCTCAAGAAACTCTTGGTGCTTTTGAACAACAATTTGACTCAATAAAAGAAAAAATTCAATTCCAATTAGATGATGAATTATATAAAGGTGTTAATAGAATCATCTTAACAAAAGTTGGTGATGGTCCTCAAGATACTAAAGAATCTTTAGTTAATGCTGAAGGTTATCCAAAAGCTTAAGGAGAGCTTTATATACTAGATCAATTGTTTAATACTTGCTAATTATTTGTATACTATTTAAAAAAGTTAAATTCATGCATAAAATCGCTTTAAATACTTTGTACATGTAGTTTATATTACAAAATCAATTTTTATTATTGTCTCAATAATTAAACTTCAAAAAACACAAAATCGTACTTTATTTATATATAACACACATTTTATAATGATTAGAAATTAGTTGAATATTTCTAATCAATATATAATAAACACATAAAAAACATAATAAAAAATAAAAAAGGAAATTATCTTTGTAAATAACCAAATAAAAGAAAAAACAAAAGATTTAAAATTAAAAATAATATTTGACCTGCCAAATAATTTTGTTTAATTTAATCTTTAATTCTTAAAAGATAATAGAAAAATAAGATCAGAATTGATCAAAAAAAGCAGTGTAGTTTCACTTACACTGAATTCCATCTCCATATTCTTGCTTTACAATCACCACTACCAGTGGCAAACATACCATTACCACTAATAGCATTATTAGCAACAGAAACACTAATAACAGAATTTCTATGACCTTGTAACATTAATAATGGATCACCAGTTTTTTTTTCCCAAAATATCACACCACGATCTTTTGAACCTGATAAAATATATTTTGAATCTGGTGATGAACAAACTGAAAGTACAAAATCTTTATGACCAACATAAGTAACTTCACAAGCTGTAACATTCTTGGATTGAGTTGTACTTGTATTTGCAGAATTTCCCAATTGTTTTAATGACCATAATTTAACTGTACGATCTAATGAACCTGATGCAACTTCTGAACCATCTGATGTAAAAGCAACTGAATAAACTGAATCTTTATGTCCTGTACCTGCTTCATTTTCAGAATCTAATCTTTCAACTAAAAATCCTGTTGATGAATCCCAAACACGAACTGTACGATCTAATGAACCTGCTGCAACTAATTTACCATCTGGTGAAACTGCAACCGTGGTAACACCATCTTCAATTGATAAAGTTAATGAACATTGACCACTTTGTAAATCCCAAATACGAACAGTACGATCACCAGAACCTGAAACTAATCTATTACCATCTGGGAAAAAATCTAATGAATAAATATCTTGTTCATGACCTTTTAAATATTTAGTAATTCTTCTTGTTGATAAATCCCAAATTCTAATAACTTTATCTTCGGCACCTGTTGCTAAATATTTACCATCTGGTGAAAAACAAACTGATCTAATATATAAATCTGCACCTGAATTACCATTTTCTGCTGCAGTATTATCATCAGTTAATCTTGCAACTAATTCACCAGTTTCAACTCCAAAAACTTGAGTTGTTTTATTACAACCAGTTGCTAAAAATTTACCATCATTTGAAAAACGAACACAACAAACCACAGATGAATGATCTAATGAATGAACTAATTCAACATCAACATTTTTTGGTAATGAAGGATTATATAAAATATAATAATCTGGTTGTAATTTTTTTAAATGTGCAGGAACTAAAGTTGAATCTAAATCATGTAAAAATGGTGGAATTTGTTTATTATGTGAAGCTCTTTGATTTGCTGGGACTAAATAACCATTTGAAGCATGTGTTGATGGTTGTTGTTGTTGTTGTTGTTGAGTTGCAACTGTTGAGGCACCACCTGAACCGGTAACAGCAGCTGAAGTTGCAGGTGTAGCAGTTTGAGCACCACCACTTGGAGTTGATGTTGGTTTAGTTTCTTCAGTTTGAGTTGGTTGTTGTGGTTGTTGTTGTTGTTGTTGAGGTTGTTGTTGTTGACTTGGAATTGGAGCTAATGGTGCACCTGATTCGGCTTTTGGTTGATTTGGAGAAACTGAATTTTGTTGTTGAACAGAACCAACTGGAGGTAATTGTTGTTGTTGTTGTTGTTGTGTTTGAGGAATTGGAGGTTGACCAGGTTGTTGAGCTTGTAATGGAGGTGGTAATTGATGATGTTGTTGAGGTGGTTGAGGTTGTTGTTGAACAGGTGGTAATTGAGATTGTGCTTGTTGAGGAGTAGCAACATTTGAACCTGGTTGATATGTACCAAATTGAGGTTTTGGTAAATTGGTGGCACCATTTGTTAAGATTGGTTGACCTTGAGGAGTTTGACCTTGTTGAACTTGTTGTTGGAAAGAAGCTAATTGTCTATCTTTTAAGTCTAAATCACGTTTTAATGTAGCCAATTGATCTTCATAAGATTCTTTAATTTTTCTATGAGCCAATTCTAATTCATAAACGGTTTGCTTGATGGATTGCATTTCACTTGTTTGTTGATTAAATTTAATATCATATTCATTTTTATGTAATCTAAAACTTGAAGCTTCATTGTTGACATTTTCAAATTCCTCCTTGATAGCTTCAAGAAGTTCATTTAACCTTTGATAATTCTGATGGGTTGGTCTTTGCGGATAGGACATTGTGATGCAGTGAAATAGGGGCAATCTTTCTGGTGTAATGATAGCGCCTGGATATCAATGGAATGTCGAATTCACTGCGTTGTGTTTTTTGTTGATGTCTTTTATTCAGCGTGAAAACGGTTCATTTGAGTATCAACACTTTTTTAAAAACTCGAAAAAGTCTTTTTTTCAAAGTCTCCTGAATCTCGGATTTCGAAAATCATGTGGCAATTCATTTTCGCGGGAACATTAAAACCGAGGGAAGGAAAAATAATACAGTCGCGAAATAGTCGCGAATTTGACTCCCTTTTTGATTATGTAATCGCACGTGACAGTTGTTTTGCCCTCGGAATGCATTCATGTCATGTGACTGAATTCTCACATTTCCGACCGCGTCTTTCAAAAATGTAAACAAACAATAAACATTTCAAAGAAAAAAAGATTTAATACCTGTTGATTTAATTTGAATTTGATTGTTAAGCTGATATATTGTCTCATTGTCTAAAGATGCCACCAAAGAGAAAGAATACTAGAGCCTCCAAAAGAAACCAAAAAGAGGAAGATCCTCAAGATCAATCTCAAGTTGAACTAGAGGAACGTATGTATATTGATAATTAGATCTATATCATTTCACCGGGACTAACATGAATTTCAGCTCCAAAGAAACAAACTCGTAAAGGTGGTAGAAAGAAGAAGGAAGAACCAGTTGAAGAACCAGATGAACAACAAGACCAACCACAAGAAGAAGGATTACCAGAACCAATTCCAGAGCCAGAACCTGAAGTTAAGGAACCAGAATCAAAAAAAAGCACAACAAAGTCTGATCCTAAACCAATTGCCCAATCTAGTGCTAGACAATTACCAAAACCTAGATCACTTCCAGCGCCAAATTCTCCTACAAAAAGAGTTTCATCAGTTTCATCAAGAATACCTTCACCTATCAAGAGAAATCCATCAAACAATATATCAAGATCTAATGATTTAGATCATAAAAGAACTGAACAATCTATAAATCAATCATTCTTATCTAAAAACATTCCAAAATTAAATTCTATAATAGATGAATTGAAAACAACAAAATCTGAACAATTATTTGATGATTTGAAAAATTCCACGGAATTAAGATTTAAAACTTCAGATGATTTAATTAATTCATTAACATCTCAAAATCAATCATTATTAACAGAATTAGAAGAAACTAAAGCAAGACTTATAGAATTAGAAACAAATGGTAATGGATCAAATTCATCAAATGATAATGATGAAGAATCGTATCAAAATGAACTGATTTTAGATATGTTGGAACAAATTGTTGGTTTAAGAATTCATAAAGCTGAAGATACAGATGAAGCTTTATCATTTGATTGTTCACAATCTGGTAAAAATGGAGTATTAGATTATAAATTAACAATTTCAAAACAAGATTCTTCAGAAATCATTTATACACCAATTAATGAAGATGAATCAAATCTTTCAAATGATTTAAAAGATTTCTTACCTGATTATTTCTTTGACGTTTTAACTTTCCCAATAGATACACTGCAACAATTTTATCACAAGATTTACAGAGGTTTAAATAAATAAAAAAAAATGTTTTATATTAGATTAATGCATATATGTTGATTTTTCCTCCTATGAGTTATATACTGTACACATGACTTATAATTTTAATTCTAATTTACCATCTTTAGTGATTTGAATTTTTTTCAATAAATCTTTTTGTTCATCTTTTGATAATTTTTTAATAACTTTTGATAATGATTTACCTTTATATTTACCTAAATCAAAACTTGGTTTAGTAACTTTATCCTCTTTTTTAGATTCTTTTTTGTCTTTTTTCTCAACTGGTGTAACAGATTCTACTGGTTTTGATTCTTCTTTTGGTTTTTGTTGTTGTTTAGGTTGTTGTTGTTGTTGTTGTTGCTTTTGTTGTTGTTTCTTTGGTTTATACATCGCCTTCTGATATTTTTCATCCTCCGTTATACATTGTGTATGTTGTCTATAGTTACCATCTGAAAAAGTAGTTGAACAATCAATACATGTGAAATAAGCACCATAACATCTTTGAGTATGTTGATCTGCTTTTTTTTTTAAGCATTGATTCATTACAAACCTGTATATCATGTTAGTATAATGGAACTGAAAAAAGATAACCAATGTTTATACCCACTTCACAACTAAAAGTAACCATTTTGAACTTATTTATTATATATACTGTTTATCAAATATAATGTATAATTCTGTTATTTATTATCTCGGAGTTGATAAGATGAAAATTTTCTTTTTATTATACCGTTATAATTTTTTTTTTAGGTGATGAGTCGTGTCGCTACAAAAACAGATTTATATTATACAATAAACTTTAAAAATCTTTTAAATATTCATAATTTCAATAAAAAAGAGTATACATTAAGATTCAGAACAAGAGATGATATCAAATTTATCCTTCTAATGTTACATAGTTTGCTGGGAAAAGACCTTTATCACCACTTTCAGTTTCACCTAACCACCAATCTTCATCAACAAATTGAATATTAATAATCTTTTGACCTTCAACAAATGTTATTTCATTATCTTCTGATGCTTCATAATCATATTCAGCAATTGCAGTAGCACCTGTTTCTTCTGTTTCTTCTTCAACTTCTGGTTCTGGTTCTTGTTCTTCAACTTCTGGTTCTGGTTCTGGTTCTGGTGCTGCAACTGGAGCTCTTGGTGGTAATGATGGAGTTGGTGTAGCATTAGCAGATCTTGATGGTGGTGGAGGTGGGGCAGCAGCAGCGCCTCTTGATGGTAAAACTGGTGGTTTTTCTTCTTCTTCTGGTTCTTCTTTTGGTTCTTCCTTTTCTTCTTCTTCCTCTTCTTCATCTTGTTCTGGTACATCACCATCTCTACCTGGGAATGCAGGTCTTTCTTCACCTGGATAAGCACTTTTAATACCTGGTGATGGGATACCACTCTTGAAAGCAGGTGGTGCATTTTTTTGGAAATCATATGGTTTATCAACTTTTGTGATTTCTGGTTGTGCACTTTGTAAACCTGGAGATGGATGACCATCAGTATTTAATTTATCAAATTTACTCTTTAAATCTGAAACATTAGCTTCTTCTTCTTCTTGATCTTCAGTCTCTTCAGTTTCTTCAGGTTTAGTTGATGGAGCTGAAGCTTCTGGTGTGGAATTAGAAGATTTTTGTTTTTTTTCAGCCCAAATTTGTGCAGGAGTTTTACCATTTTCAGTACCAAAAGATTTTGAAATACCACCAACAACTTTATCAGAATCTTTATTTAATCCAGATGCTGGTGCAGGTGGTTTAGCACCAAAACTAGCAGATTTAGTTTTCAAATAATCATCTAATTCTTTTTCTTTCTTTAATTTTTCTTTTTCTTTTAATTGTTCAATTTCTAATCTTGGATCTGGTCTTGATTTTTCTTCTTTAATAACATCTTGTAAATTAACACGACCAATTGGTTTATAAGTTGATGTGTTTGGTTTTAATGGATCTTTAGAGAAATCTCTTTCTTTAATTTCAGGTTCATTCCAATCATCATCATTTGATGTGGAAGCAGCTTTAGCTTTAGCAATTGAACTTGGTGATGGTTTAATAACTTGTGGTTCAGCAGCTTTTGGAGCTGGAGCTGGAGTTGGAGCTGGTTTTGGTTTTGGAGTTTCCACAGTTTTTGGTTTGAAAGGTTTTGGTGCAAATGAACTTGAACTTGAACTTGTTGGAGCATTAGATCTAGCTGATTGAATTGAATAACGAGCACCAGCGGCAGCACTAACTCTTGATAATAAATCATTCCTGTCTAAATCATCAGTATCTCTAGCAGTGACTTGAATATGATAACCTTTTAATAATCTTGAAACTTCAGCAAAATTTTGAGCAAATGAAGATCTTGATTTAATTGGAGCTGAATCTGGACACCAACCAATTAATAAATTTTTTTGAACATCAGAACCTGGTGGATTAACTCTTGCTAACCCAAATTGAATTTGTGATTCATCAAAACTTTCTAAAAATTCATCAAATTCTGTACCTTGTTCATTAACTTTATAAGCTTTTTGAGAATCTGGTCCATAAATAACCCAAGTTATTGAAGGATCACCTCTAACAACTTGTTCATAAGCTTTTTGGATTTCTTTTCCATGTGTAGATAAATTGATTTGTTCCATTGTGTTTGACCTCTTTAAACAATAGATTTCTCGAGTCTTTTGAGTTCAATTGAGTGTTTTTGCTATGAATTTATCAACAACTTTGACATCATGAAACTTGATCCGCCCCTAAAAAACAAATCCACAAGTTTCGAGAAATTCGGTGATGTGTTCAGAATGGCGCGGGCTGCGTAACCGGGAATTCAAAGTGTCACAATTTTAAAAGTGAATTGATTGAAGATGGCATGATATTGTTAAGAGATGGTTGTTATTGGGGACTATTTGATACTCTAGATGAAGTTTTACGGTTTGTCTAGAGGGGTCTCCAAAAATTTTGGTGAAATTTCAATCATATTTGACCACATTCGTAACAAAAGCTTATATGATTCATGAAGTGCCAGCTAGCTAGCTGAAATAGAAACTATATAGGCTGATATACACGTTTGATCTATTACGTAGTATTTTAATATTATCAATCATATGATTATATCTACTTTAATGGGCTTATAGAGACCTTCAAATAATATCACGGACGTTAACAACGAGATCTGGATGATAGCAATATGGAAAAGGGAACGGGTCAGATCGTATTAATAAATCGACATGGTATCTGCTTTTGTTCCATAGTAATCCATCTCTTTTATTATTTAGTAGCTTTGTATTCAATTGTTCAATTCAAGTGCAACTGCTAATATAACAGAATGAAAAAATAATAATCACCATGAAATAGCGGTGCAAAATAATATAGTTGAGTAACGGAGATCCATGGTAATAAGAATTCTTCTTTTGTTCCACAATGCTGGTGAAGTGTCTTAAAGCTCCTCAAACCCCTTCACAACCATCATCACCTTTTCTTCCAACGCATTGAAGAACTAAATTAGTTTAAAAATGGCTGGTTATATACATTTTTACAAACTTTTGATGGAATCTGGTGCGATACCAGATTGGGAATCGCAAATGTTTTCGCAAAATGAACAGTTTTTTTGCGCAAATGGTTTATGGTTTAAGATCGTCAGTGCATTTACATGCAGTTCATCGCGCAAATGCACAATTATACTTTGATAACAAATTTGGTCAACCAACACGCGCCTCAAACTTGTATTGTTTTTTTGAGAAATGGTATAAACTTTTCCTTAAAAAAGTGGCATGCAAAGTCTACAAACACTTTTGGTTTTTTCACAAAAGTGTAAAGGAGTGAAGTCATGGTTCAGAAAGCTGGTTTCGTACTTGAAGATGAAGGTTGATTAATAAATTTTATAAAATCAATATCATTCCCATCTTCTTTCAAATGTTTAACACTTTCATAATTTTAATCTTTTGAAATAACTTATACATTACAAAGCTATTACCAACTGCTAATATATTCACTCGCTAACAATCATCAATCCTTTCACATATTATAGATAGCTAACAATGGTTCAAACAAATAACTTATTCAAAGGTAGTATAATAGGTGCTTTAGCTACTGCTGCCAGTGCTCAATCATTATTCACACCAATAGACTATAAGTCAACATTAGATGTAAATTATTACTTCAGAAATGCTTCAGATGTTAAAGCTACTGTTAATGATGAAGGTATAGATATTGAAGGTTCATTTGGTTCAAATTCTGAATTATGTTCTGCTTTAAGAGGTGCTCAAATTGTTTATTCAAAAGATAATGGTGATGAAATCTTATTAACTGCTGATTGTCAATCTGTTTATCATTTAGTTGATGATTCAAATCAAGAAATAACATGGGATTCATGTCAAGAATTCTCATTCTATCAATCAGATTGTGGTAATGGTGCTATTTCTTCATCTGCTGGTTATTCATCATTAGTTTCATCTGCTTCATCAGCTGCTTCTGCACAAGCTTCAAGTTCACAAAGTATAACGAATTCAGCATCAAGCTCTTCATCTGCTTCATATGCTGAAAATTCAATAAGTAATGGTGAAACATTATACTTAACTACTGTTACTTCAACCATAAATAACATTGAAACAATTTATACTACATACTGTCCAATTTCTGAAATTATTGCTTCAAGAACTCATGCTCAAATAACTGGTGGTACTACAAATATTAACGCTCAACCTGCTCAAACTTCAAATGCCAATGCTGCTTCAACTGGTGTTTACACATCAACTTTTGTTTCAACTTCAAGTGGTTCTGTTGGTACTTTCACTTCATTGTACCCAATTACCGGTGGTGCTTCTTCATCTCAAATTAACAACCAAAAACCAGGTAGAGTCTATGTCACTGCTACTGATTATTATGAATCAATCGCCTCACAATCTTCAGCTTCATCAAGCTCTACATCACCTGCTGTTGAATCATCATCTTCAGAAAGAGCTTTAACAGTCATTACTGAAACTCATTCTGGTGTTCAAACTGTTTACACAACTTATTGTCCAGAATCTTCAACTTCAGGTGCTTCTGCTGCTTCTGCTCCTTCACCAGTTGCTCCATCATCAACTTCAATCCCTGTTGAAACTTCATCATCAGCTCCAAGCTCTGTTGCTCATCAAGCTGCTACACCAAAATCAGAATCACCAATTGTTGCTTCATCAGCTCCAGCTTCTGCTCAAGCTTCTCAAGCCTCAAGTGAATCTGTTATCAAACCACAAACTCAAGCTACTAATGTCTCAATAATTTCTGAATCTGCTGCTACACAAAACACTGGTAATGCTGCTCCAACACAATCAAATGATGTGAGCTCTACCCAAAACGCAGTTTCAACATCTACAGGTGCTGCTGTTCAAAGTTCTGCATCTGTTTCAATTGCTCAACAACAAGGTTCAGCAGCTGCTAATGGTACTGTTTCTTCTCCACAAGTATCTGTTTACGAAGGTGGTGCTAATAAATTAATCAATTCTATCTCTGCAGTTTCAATTGTTGCTATTGTTTTTGGTTTCTTTTGTTAATTTACTTTAATGATCTTTTCTTATATATTTCTTTTTTAATTTCGTTGTTTTAATCTTTTGTATATTTAATTATAAACACTTTGTTCAAATGTAAAGTACACTGTAGTTACGACATATTCCTCATAATTAGAAGATATTATATACCAGCTTTAATATTTCCACTTGCAATGACTGTAATATGGATGATATCTAAATCGGAAAGATTAGCTCTTGCGCAGTATCAATCTACAAGAGTAAATATTGATATATTTTCCATTCAGAAGTTAAGTAGATATTTTAAATACGACGTAAAGACTCAAAGGATCAGTTCAGCTGTTCATCACCGAATTAAAATTTAATACCTCTCTTAAACTTGTATATACTCCATCGTTTAAAGCAAATTTCTCAATCATATTGAGCGTGTCATACATACATATCACTGGTATAAGGTCTTTTCAGGGTTGGTGTCAGGACCGCAAATTCCAAAAAAAAATAATGTTCAACAGAATATATAACTTAAATCGTAATTGGTTGCTTTGACTAAATCTCATAAAAATATTAATCTTTAAGATTCAGTTGTACGTTACTAGTAGAACCTAAAGATCTTACACGTTGTGTGGTTAAGGCTTTTTACTTGAGGTGCTCTGAAATAGATTACCATCGAACGTCTTCATCACCAACGCGCGTATACTTCATAACTTAATTAGATAACCAGCCATTTATTTAGATTTAAAGGCGTGTCGTTTTTAGTTATCAACTAGATGCATATGTCACGGTGAATATAACGCTTGGAAGGGGCTTGATTTTTCTCTAGCTCATTCATAGAATCATATTGAATGCGTCACTCTAATTTTTGGCACCATTAGACTCTAGAGCTTATTATGCATGCAATATTGGGCACCAAAGTGTCAACTTTTACATCAAATGTTTAGCTGCTGGGTCAATGATGCGTAGATACCAATCTGGCATTTGTAAATTCATATAAGCAATAATATTAATTTAGTGTACACCTATACTAGAGGTTGACTTTTGAGTAGGATCTAATTCTGATACTAGCTTCTAATCGTTTTTACGAACCAATATTAATACTTCAGCTCTTTGAACTCGGGAAGTGTTACGATAGAATCGCAATGAATGAGCAGCTATAAAATATAACACTGAGCTTTAAACCATGACAGTGATCTCAAAATTAGATTAAGTTGAAAGAATATCCATCTTGAACCGTCACCACATCTGTGCATGGTGTACATAAGATTTCAGTACCCAGTAATTGAGCGTGTTTTTAACCCAATTACCAGCTCCTTAAGCCGCAAAATAGCTTCAACATCCAACCTCCTTAATGATCATTGATCCAAACTAACCTGATCTAAAATCCTGTACCACTTGATTGATACATTTACGTGATTTCTCTTTTTGAATCTTTAACCAGCATGAAAAATCTCAGATTTAGATCGCGATTTACAAATTACGAATTCGGTGTGTGCAAATTCCCCATTTGATTTTTAGATCAAAGTTACCATGGAAAGATTTGCGGGAACCCAGCCAACATCTACTTCTATAGGAAATTCCAGCATACTAAAATGGAAATTGCGCAAACATAATTTTGCGATTTTAATGCGGTCCAGTTTTTGATGCCCGTACAACGTGGTTAAAGGACACAGTGCATATGTACCAGCCCCTTCAAGGTTTTCAGTTGCATTTACAATTAAACTTTATACCTTCAAAGTTCAAACTTTAACGCGAGCTATTGAACTTTTCAACTCAAACGCAATGAGGTTGGCAGATGCTCTTTTAATAAAAGAAGTGGGTTATGATTTCAAAATGGTGATGAACTTTTCTAATAAGTAGTTGCTGAAATCCTTCTTTTTCAATAATTTCAAGCTTTCAAGTTGTTTCTCTTTTCATTTCGTTTCTTCTATATCATCAACTAACTTATACATTCGTTTATATCAATATCAATATTAATTGTTCAATATGAAGACCTCAAGTTTATCATTATCATTATTAATGATAATTGCTAGTGCTTTAGCACAATCAACAAGTACAGATTCATTCACTGGTACTGCTACACATACAGCTTTCACAAAGAATCCATCATCATCTGCTAGTCAACAAAGTTCACAAACTGATTCATCTGCTGCTACAACAAGTTCAGATGCTTTATCATCATCATTATCATCTACAGATTTATCAAGTGTTGATATAAGTTCATTAAGTTCAGGATTCTCAAGTTTCCCAACATTAACCCCATCATTCTCATCAGCTCCATCATCAAGTAATATTGGTCAAGGATCAGCATCATCAGCTAATCCATCAAGTTTCTTATCAGCTCCATATCAAAACTCAAGTTATATTGGAAGCTCATATGATAGTATATCAAGTACTTATAACTTACCAGAAGGTTCAGAAAGTTCAAGCATATTAAGAAGTGCTGAAGAACAATCATCATCACAAGCTCAAATTTCAAGTGCCACAGATGCTGCTGGTTCAAGCTCAGCTTTAGATTCCACCACTGGTGTTGAGTCATCTTCAGCTTCACCATCATCAGCCACTTCAAATACTGCTTCTGCAACAACTTCAAGCTCAACCTCTTCATCATCAACCTCAACCTCAACTTCTTCATCATCAACCTCAACATCAACTTCTTCATCATCAACCTCAACATCAACTTCTTCACCAAATAGTGCTGAAGGTCAAAAAACCACATCCAAATCATCAAGCTCCAGTTCAACATCCACTTCATCACCAAGTTCAACTTCAACTTCAACAAGATCAACTTCATCATCCTCAAGTAAATCATCAAGTTCTTCAACAAGTTCAACATCAAGTGCTAGTACAAGTGGATTAACAACTGTCGAAGCTGCCATTTTAGCAAGACATAATCAATATAGAGCTAAACATGGTGTTGCAGCATTAACATGGAATTCTAAATTAGCAGATTATGGTAAACAATATGTTAATGATTTGAAAAGTACATCAACAAATGCATGTTCAGGTACATTAGTTCATTCATCACGTTCAGGATTAAACTATGGTGAAAATTTAGCATATGGTACAATTACTGATACACAAGCTGTTGATTTATGGTATGATGAAATTAAATATTATAATTTTGAAGATCCAGCAAATAGTTCTGGAGATTTTGAAAGTTATGGACATTTAACTCAATTATTATGGAAGGCATCTACAGAAGTTGGTTGTTATGTTGAACAATGTTCTGATAATATTATTTATGTTATTTGTGAATATAGTCCACAAGGTAATATCTTTTTATCAGGTTCTGATGAATATTACTTCTTTAAAAAGAATGTTCCAGCTCCTTTAAGTTCTTAGATATAATTATATAAAAACACTCTTGTTATGATTCTTTTTTTGATTTCTTATTCCTTTATTTTATTTTGTTTATAATGTTTTAATTTAATATATTTCTAATTTATAGTGAGACATATCATAATCCATGTAACAAATTGCTTATATCTCATGACGTAAATGATTTGCTTGGGAAATGTGATTTCAAGTTATCTTTTAATAAAATTCTCATTAAATCAGGTAATTTTGTATCTTTTAAATTTGATTCAAAATTTTTAAAATTATCATATAAATTCAATAATAATAATAACATTGGAGTTGTCTTTTCAGTTGTTAATTTACATAATTTCTTCATTTTATAAGGTTCATCATAAGTATCATGACATAATTTGAAAAATGTACCATTTGATTTTAAAAATAATATATCAAGATCAATTTGCATTAAAGTTGTAGTACTCCAATCATTTAATATTAATTTTGGATTGAAATTTTCTGGGATTTGTATTAATACAAGATTAAACCCATCTGAAAGGATACATGAAGTTAAATTGCAACAACACATTTGTAATAAAATTTCTGTAATGAAATCATGTTCTGTAATTAACTTGTTAAAACTTATGTATGAAGTGATTTCAATTGATAAAAGTGAAAATTCTAAATTTGAATCATAATTTAAACCTTTAATATTTATACCTGGATAACTTTTCAATTCTATTGATTCATCATCATCATTATTATTATTATTATTCTTTGAACTGGATCTTGGAATCCGAGGGATATTAACCTTATATTCTTTTTCAAGATCAATATTTAAAATTTCACCATTATTTTCCATAAATATATAACGGAAAATTTTCAATACTGGTGCAATAATTCCATTCAATAAAAATTCTCTTTTACCTTTTTTTGTGGTAAGTAAATCATCACAGATAATTGATGCCTTACAAGTTTTCAACATGACATGTAAACATTCAAATATTTCATTAAACGTTTCCTCTGGATCTCGTAATAATAGTATTTCATCAATTTCTTTTTCAATAACACCTAATTTCATACTCATATTGTATAATAATTGTTCTGTTTGAGTTTCATTTGAATCATCAATTGAAATTGCAACACCAAATAGTTGGAAGGGGGGTTCAATTGATTTTAAACCATAATTCATTGATGAAGTACCACAAGTCATTTCATATTCATGGAATTCAACTGATTGTAAATTTTCAATTTCAATAGAACGAGAATTATTCTTGAAAAAAAGTGGTAATATGAATATTAATTTATAAAATCTAATAAAAGTCATTTGATCAATTATATTTCTTGAATCATTGAATGCAGTTGGGATATTATTTAATAATAAAGCTAAATATTCTTCAAGTAATGATTGATTTAATGATATTAATAAGTTTCTATTCAATGGTTTTCCATTACCATCCCTGAAATCCTTATCAGTAAAGATATTAAGCAATGAAAAATTCCTCATACTTTTATTAAGTTCATGGAAAGTTTTTTGAATGATTAGTTCTCTATTAGCTAATAACAAGCTTGATATGCTATGAATTAAGGACATGGTGTAATTACTCTTGGGGTACACTTTCCACTCCGTAGTTGACTATAACATTCTAACTTTGTTTCATTGTGAATAATTATATACGTATCCCAACCATTTTATATAAAAATTTCATTAAACCACTGAGCAATTTCTCATTGAGAATACTGAGAAGATTGAAATTTGAGAAGATTTTGAAAAAAGTTTATATCATCTGTCAAAATTCACAGTGTCAAATATTTTCGCGAAACATCCGCGAATTCTCAAAATCTTCGCGAATTTCCCAGTGGCGAAAAAAAAAAATCAAAATTGCTGGAATTTTGAATTTTTGAACCCGCAAAAATCAAATCAACAAAATCGAACAAAATTTGAATCTTTTTTGAATTCAATTTTGATCCATTTTTCAATTCCAAAAAACAAAAAAACACACTGATTTCTGCCTTTCACGGTACTGACAATGAGAAATTGAGCTGTTTGTTCTCTGCCTACGATCCCTTTTCAAAGAAATACAACACAGTTAAACCGCTATCAAAAAAGGTGCGCCCACAATATTACGGAGAAAGATCAGAGCACCCCCGAATCCAGCAGATTAAAGTATGGCTAATCCGTTATTGATGCAAAATGAAAATGAAGTTGAAATTAAAATTAAACAAGTACATGGAGTAGACAGTCAAGTAGACGGTCAAGTATCAGGTTCTGCTATGAAGAAGAGGAAAGTTTCAAATGGGTTGAATGGTGATTATGTAGGGATTACCCCTGTCAATGGTGATGGCCATAGTATTGATGATCATGAAAAATTATATAAATTTCAATCCAATCCTTTGGAATCAAATATTGATTATATCTCATTACAAAGTTCTCTAGATCTTTTAAGAGATCGTGCTAATAAATTAGAAAGAGATGTTCAACAATTGGCTGATTTTAAACAAAAGATTTGGGAAACTTCAGATTTGAAACAACTTCCATCAATTATAAAGAATAATTCAGATTATTTAAATGAAATTACTTATAAAGGTGTTACTATTAAAAATCCAAAGATAAATTGGAAACAAAATTTTGGTTTAAATATAGATGCATTAAATATTGATGAAAATTATGAAGAAATTAATGAAAAATATGAAATTATTAAAAGAGATCAATTATTTTGAGAATTATATCACAAAGGTTTGCTTATGATTATTATGAATTTTGGGTGTTTATACCACCACCATGTTTATTTTCGTTGCTATATAGAAGTTTGATTACAAGGACAGTCCAATTTGACACATATTACAATATAAGGAAAAAGAAGAAAAAAAAGGAGAGTTAAAAAAGTTTTATTTATTTGTTTATTCTATTGCTTTTAATATTATGATAAAAATTTATATCAATTGTAGTACAATATTACACTGAATATATAGTTATAAATTATATTTCATATACATAATAAAAATCATAGATCTGTGTTGTAATTTTGTGATTTGTTTTAATCAATTATTGATATTGTTCAATTGCTTGTCTAATAACTGGAGGATTAGCACCAACAATTTTACCAATTGGTTCACCATTTTTAAATAAAACAAAAGTTGGCATTGCAGTTATACCATATTCTTGAGCAATATCTTGTGATTCATCAACATCAACTTTTAAAAATTGTACTTCAGTAAATTCAGTGGATAATTTTTCTAAATATGGTGAAATTGCTTTACATGGTCCACACCAAGTTGCATAAAAATCTGTAATTGATAAATTTTCATTTTTAATTAATTCTTTAAAATCTTTTAAATCTGTTGAAAGTTTAATATTTGAATTAAATCTTAATTGTGATTGGAAAGGTTGAGATGATACTCTGGAGACCATTGAAGGTCTGATTCTTAAAGTTGATGAACGTAATGAAGTGATAATTGAAGACATTTTGAACAATTTTGATTTGGTCTTTTGATTTGGCTTGATGCAGTTTATTACAAATTAAAATCTCAGTCATATAATTTTTTTTTAATATATGGACAAAATTCGCGAACATTTACACCTGTAATTAACGGATTTTCAAGGAATTTTAAAATCATAGTTCAACGTCTTTTTGATGATTCATTTATTGTATGTGATGGTGATTGTTGCTGTTGTTGCTCATTTGATTAATCATTATCAATATCAGAATCTGAAGAAACATTTGTGTCAGCATTTTGTCTAATTCTAATTGCATGTCTTTCTCTCCTCTGGTCTCTTAAAGCACTTATCAATTAACACAACCAGATTTATCTTGTTTTCAATGAAAGCCATTTTTCAGAGATTTTGATAGATGTCTCATTTCAGTTTTGTACTATAGATCTCTTCACGTAGACAAAATTATGTGTTTTACCGGTAGAGATCGAAAATACAATTTAATTATTAATACAATGAAATGTACTACGTACTACGTGATTATATTTGGAAATAATCTCCTTTAAATTCATAGATGGGAGACGAAAATAGGGAAGTTCATGTAAACTTTTACAAAATTTTGGGCTGTAACTTATTACAGAATTCGCTTTAACTGCAACTTCTAATTGAATACAAATTATAATATGATAAGTTAACTTTATTTTAATTGTTGTACAATGTTACACCTAATATAGTCATATATATATATATTTAATTGCAGATTTTATTCCAACATCCTTAAATCATAGACCAGCTGTGTTGTAACTTTGAGTTTAATTTTTGGTTTGTCAATTATTGATGTTCTTCAATCAGTTTTCTCATAGCTGGAGGATTGGCACCTCCAAGGAAACTAATTTTTTCACCATTCTTAAATAAAATAAAAGCTGGCACTGAAGTTAGATGATATTCTTGAGTTATATCTTCTGAATCATCACTATCAACTTTTAAAAATTGAACTTCTGTGAATTCTTCGGATAATCTTTCGAAAATAGGTGCTATGGCTTTACATGGTCCACACCAATCTGCATGGAAGTTTGTAATTGTTAAATTCTCAGTTTGAATTAATTCTTGAAATTCACTCAATGAAGTTACAAAGTTAACATTAGACATCTTTGAATTTTGATCTGATATTGATCTTAAGAGTTTATGTACAAGTGCTTAAAATCTCAGCCTCATATAATTTTTTCCCCTGGATATGAACAAGCTGAATTCGCGAATATTATTTACACCTTTTGACGGATTTTTAAGGAATTTTATAATCATAATCATTAAAATTTAATTAAAAAGCTATAAATCTAGGTAAAAACAGTTAGCAATGAGTTTATTTGGAATGTCCCACAGCTGATCTATTTCTTTTACGAACTCTTGGATCTCTTGGTCTATTGAAAAGATTTGAAGTCGTTGGATCATTTGTTGGATTAGTTCTTTTGGTTGGAATTGTTGCTGGTTTCATAATTTGTGGTTTTGAAGTGATACTTGGTGATGATGATGAGGAGGATGATGATTGAGGTTCCTTATTTTGATGTTGATGTTTTTTAAACCCCTCTGGTTGAACTTCTGGTATTTTATCATCTGATATATAACTTGGTTTAGGATTTAAGTCATGTGATTGTGATTCAATTGGATAACTTGGTGATGGTTCAACAACATATCTCTTTGGTGATTCATTTGGTATTGGTTGTGGTTGTGGTTGTGGTTGTTGTTTTCGTGGTGATTGTTGCTCATTTGGAACATGGAATGGTTCATTCTCTGTATCAAGCATATCAATATCAGAATCTGATTTATTTGTATCATTTCTAACTTCATCTTCTTCATCTGAAAATTTCCCATCGATTTCTTCAATCCATTCATCATCTGAAGAAACATTTGTTTCACCATTTTGTCTTCTAATTGCATGTTTTTCTCTTTTTTGAGCTCTTAAAGCACGATATTCAACACGACCAGATTTATCTTGTTCAATGAATTTTCTTTGTAATGAATCAATTTTATCATTATCATCATTTAATTGATCTTCATTTTTAATTTTGTGAAACTCTTGTTCTAATTGATCTGTTTCAAGTTTTGGTAATTTTGTATTTTCATCAATAATTAATGAAGTTTCCTCACTATAACCTTTATTTTTAAGATTATTCATTAATTCTTCATTAGCTAATCTCTTTCTGGTTTCTTCTTCTAATTCTTCTTGTTTTTTCAAATTTAGTAATCTTTGTTTTTCTTCAATTTCTTCCTGGTATTGACGTTCTTCTTCTTCACGTTTTTTGGTTTTTAAATCTTCAATTTTTTGTTTTGCAACTCGTATTCTTTCATTCTCATCATCTTCAATAATTTTTGTAACTGTTATTTCAATTCTTTCATTTTCTAATTTCAAATCATTTTCAAATTTATATAAATCATTTTGTTTTATTTCAATTTTATTTGTTAAATTTTGAATTTCTTCATCAATTGATTTTGATTTTTGTTCAATTAAATCTTCTTTAAATTTATCAAATTGTTGATTTGAACCATTATTATAATCAATAGCAAAATTGAAAGCACTAACTCTTAATGCTAATAACCCTAATGTTTTAGATTCTATTTGAGAATTCCGTCTTGTTATAATTGATAATCTATCTTGTTCATTTGATACATTATGTAAAACATTTAAGAAATAAGTTTCAATAGATTTCAATTCTTCTTCTTTATATCCCACTGTGTTCAATTTGGATAATCTATCCTGTAACTTGTTCAATTCATCTTTCAGCACAGGTTGTGATAGTTTAGCAGCCATTAAAATATTTGATTTAGATTCTTCATCTTGTCTAATTTTATCAATATCTAAAGCACTTGGTTCAACATCTAATTCTACTTCTTGCTCTGTTGGATCATCCTCTGTAATATCTATGGTCTCAATTGGTTCTGATGACATTCTGATGCATTCAATGCGATAGTCAGTTCTTTAGTAGTTGATGTTTTGATCCTCAGATATCCTTATTATAAGGAAAGGTAATTTTCTATGTCTGAAAATTGATGGTTCGGAGCGATGTGCTTTTGAGCCTAGATCTGTTTTAATTAGACATTTGTTTAGTAGTTGGTTCAGGTACGTAACAGTATAGGCTAGGTCTTTATAACACAATATAACTTCTATAAATTCGACTTCATCTGCTTACTCTTCTATAAACCTATATATTGAGTGATATAAAAAGTTTTACTACTTTTTATCATCGACATCAACCAACTGTTAACCGGTAAGGACAACATTAGGGCTTTTGTCTTTTACTGATTTCAACATTCCCCCATAAGTTAGATTCACTTTCTAACTTACTTATGTAAAAGCTAAAGTCCTTGTAATAATTGGTTTCTGGTGGTTGTTGTATCTAGAACCTAGATTTTTGTCTATAATTTATCAGCCTCAATTTGGTTCCAAGATTGACCTAAACTTTTCTTTAATATGTCTAACCAATATATATACCAACAATCAGTTTATTAACCTAATGTGTTGGGTTATCAGTTCTCAACTCTGGTAATACCATTCGTTGTAACTCTCTGACTTGTGAGTTAACGTATAGTTCTTTATCCCCTATTGCTCTTAACTCTGGCAATCATTGGTCATAGCACTTTAAGTAAAGACTCTATCTTGTATAATAAAATGTAATGAATAATGTGAATATTTTTTCACTGTATTCCTGGAATCAACTTAGCATTCACGAATCTCAATCATAATGAGTATTCTTCTCAGTGTATTTGATATCCCAAGGTACAGCAAGTACACTCTGTTAAGTGGTTGGATTTAAAGTACTTATGGTTCAGAAGTATTTGTGATTACTGCCAAAGTATTTAATGTGACATTCTCCCCTCTAAAGTTCAATATCATTCAAAGTGTTTGACTTTATTGGACATTGTGATTACTGCCAAAGTATTTAACTTTATGTGACATTCTCCCCTCTGAAGTTCAATATTATTCAAAGTGTTTAGCTTTATTTGACATTGTGATTACTGTCAAAGTATTTAACTTTATTTGGCATTATTCCTTCTAAAGTTCAATATCATTCTCCCCTCTAAAGCTCATTTTACTTTTATCCTGAGGTATGAACTGTAAGTCTTTTCAACTACCTGTTCTATGAATGACATACCATATTTTGCTTAACTTTTATACTCAACCTTCTTTAACGTTCAGATAACTGAATTGATGTGTACTTGATATTAGCGAACGTGGAAAATTCCTGTTCATGCTTTGTGTGTGGGTGCTTCCTGTATACCACTTAATTTGAATGTGATTATTTGATGTAGTTGTGTGATAATATAATAATAGGTGGGCTATATTGCACAATTTGTACATTGTACACTATAATGTATGTAATAATTTATTTGGTTTTGAGCAATTTTGTGGGTGTTCAGGTTGTTCTTGAGCTTTTGGTTTATTAACTTCAAAGAAAAACGATAAAGTGATATCACATGTCTTGCAATATTTTATTGTAGCACGTATCTTGTAATTGTGATAACAATGCTGGTTCAAAGCCTCAATTGATTTTGAGTACTAGTCGAAACGAACCCTAGTTGTATGGATTGTAGATATCTTCAGAATTTTCACTGGTGATCTAGTATACCCATATCAATTTGTTCACTCCATACTTAAAACCATAATAACATATTAGCAGACATTCAAATTCTTCATCCAAGTTATGATATTTCTCGGGCTTTAACAATTACCCCCTATTTCACATAACCAGATCATTTGAGTGATTAGATCATAACATAAGGTTATTTGAGAATAAGCGCCTATATTAGGCTTCAAAGAGTAATATCAACCAAAGCAACCTCTAACCAATGTGTAATAAATTTTCAGCCATACCAGCCACTAACCAGTGATTGTTAATTAGTTCAACCAGTTCAAACAATACATGGTTTGAACAATACATGGTTCAACAATCAATTATCTCAGCCTAGTTTCAATTGGCTTCAATTAATAACCATAGACTGAACACAACTTAGGATGTCTCATCCTAACATCAGCATACATACATATATGAGCTGGAATTGGTCTCTAGTGACCATTTGGAAGCAATTACTTGAGTTTAAAGATTTTTCACCTCTCACTGTGTGATTAGCAACGTGTTACAAACCGCTGTTGTCACAAAAAGGTTCATTACAAAATGTTTGTATTTGGCACAAAAGTTATTATCAATAATATTATTTCATTGACTCGTTGCTAATCACACAGTGAGAGGTGAAAAATCTTTAAACTCAAGTAATTGCTTCCAAATGGTCACTAGAGACCAATTCCAGCTCATATATGTATGTATGCTGATGTTAGGATGAGAAAAATATATTATCCTATGGAAGGTTGATTACAATGTCGTAAAATATATTATCCTATGGAAGGTTGACTATAAGAGCTGGTTGTAAAATATATTTTCCCATGGAGGGTTGACTATAAGAGCTGGTTGTAAAATATGTCATCCTATGGAAGGTTGATTAAAAGAGCTGGTTATGAAATATATTTTCACATTCAGTATGTTTCCTGTGGAAGGTTGTCTATAAGTTGTAAAACATATTGTCACATTGAAGATTGAATTCAAACACAGAGCTGGTTTCAACAAACATTTATCATAAATCCATTGCATACAATTCTGATAGAGTTAATATACTGTCTAAATGAATGTCAAAAGCAATTTATATCACATAAATCATATTACATGTTATCTGCTTCAAACATGTTGATATTAACGAGTTATTAAAAGAATTCGTACTAGTTTTAGTTAAAGCTAACTTCAAAAATTTATCGTGGGTTGCTTTACTTGAATTATTTAAATATAATTTTTTTTTTAAAGAATATTCAATTGGAATTAATATAAACAACTATTACATAAATAGTTGCTATCACTATGATAGAAGGAATATTGAATCTTGTTACCAAAAGCACATTTTCTATTTAAAAGGGGGAATGTTACAAACCGCTGTTGTCACAAAAAGGTTCATTACAAAATGTTTGTATTTGGCACAAAAGTTATTATCAATAATGCGAGAATATTGAACCCAAAATTACCTCCATTCGAAATATCGTCCATGATGCTGATCCATGAATCATTCAAACAGTAGGGTTGGACCTTGTTGCTGAAAGAAAGACTGATGGTAGTAGGACTACTAAAAGAAATTATACTTTCTCCAAATGTTAATATTTATGATGGTGTTGGTTAAACGAAAGAGCTCTTATCTCTTATCAAGGCCAAAGGAAAGAGTTTATACCACATATTGAAATGATAACTTAGATGTTGCTCCAAAAGTTAAGTTACAGGAGGATCAATGGAGAACACTGTGGGTGAAAGACGTTGGTATGCAAAACATTATAGAAAAATGATAGATTAGAGGACAACTTTATAACAGAAAAGTTTGTGTCGCTCAGAGTAATCCCACCATAATTTAGGAATGCCATCAACAAGGGTTAACAAAGTAGTGAAAAATTGTTTGATGATGAGAGTATATGCATAGCTCGGGCTACCAGAAAACGTCATTTCATACCAAGAAGTGAAAGGATTAAGTATAAGTATGAAATAAAAATTGATCTGGTTTATCAAAAAGCAGAACCAATAGTTTGGGGAAGCTTATGCCAGATGTTTTCAAGATATTGGTAAATTTGCTGATGATTATGAATAAATGCTTTACTAAGGATAAAGTTCAAGCATTTGTTTTATTGAAGTTTAGAATTTCATTGGCTAGAAGTATTCATGGTTGAGGATTAAGCCTGTCCTGTTAAGAATCTTCAATTTTAGAGATAGACTATCGAACCATGATGGTTGTTGACATGGTATCTTATTTGGTTCACTGAGAGATTTGTGTTATATAATGTCATAATAATTGACATTTATTATTATTGTTTTTATTTCTTTCATGAATCTACAGATAAAAATGTTATACAAAATTTGTTAAAAGGTTTAGTATTTTCCAAACTAAGCTATTGCTGGTGATGTTAAGGTCACAGGAAGATAATACAGGTATTGAAGCTTATCAGGAGATTGATCGGCTTATGGTGAAGTAAGGAATTAAGGTAATGATGTTCACCTCATCAAGTTTTATTCACAAAAGAAGTAGTGTGATAGCTATAGGTTTTACAGTGTTTGACATTATATTTTGAATAAAACTTGATAAATTCTATACTGCTGGTGAATAAGCTGGTCGAGTTGATCAGATGATTGAGATGAAGATTATATCATAAAGATTGAATAAATACTTTGAAAAAAAAAAAAAAAAAAAAAAAAATTTACATACCTGGATAGAAAATGATATAAATGAGGTTCATGGTGAATAGAATTAGACATTCATCGTTACAAATATACTATTCAAAGCTCCATTTGCTGCTGAAGAATTTAGATATTAATCACAGAAATCAACTAAAGGACATATACTTATGATATGAAACTTTATGAAACAGGCTTTAATGAAAAGCTGATAAGAATGGTGAATTACATAGTGATTTTTGCTGATACAGATATTGAATATTGATGATGCCTAACAAGGATTATAAATGAAAATTTCTATTGGTTCTCATTTGAAAAGAAATTGTGCTGTCTGGTAATGGCTCTTGTTAAAATTGAAATGTTGGTGTCAATGTGCTGATATGGGATCCAAATTCCAATAATAAGTTCGTACTCGTGGATAAGGTTTTAGAGGGATACATCAGAAATAATTATAATTGAAATGTGCAATATTAATAATATAATAGGGTCAAGTTGCCTCAGAATTTTTAGTTATACTTTCTGATAATGATAAAGAAGAAGTCAAGCACACAATCACTCTATTTAATCAAGAAAGAGGAAGTGATGCGAGAATATTGAACCCAAAATTACCTCCATTCGAACCCTAAACGTGGAATTTGTTATGATAAATCATATAATAAATTATGCCCAAAACATACATTTATTATGCACAAAACATACATTAATTATGCACAAATCGTGCATAAATATCAAGAGAAATATATTACTGAAAGGGTAATTTGAGATAGAATTATGATCAGATAGAGTAATTGCTAAAGAAGAGCATTGTCTAATCAAATGACTATACATTTAGTGATAGAAGTATAAGGAACCAAGGTGAAATAAGTGAAAGTATATAAAAGAGAGGAAGAATCTCATCAAATTATGTATTAGATTGTTTAATAGAACATCCTTCATTTGTCTTACTACAAGTACTATAAAGTAACGTCTGCTATTGATAAGAACTATTGACCAAGGGTAGAATTGTCTACATCTTAGCTTCAACTTCAAATAAGGACCTTCGGGTCCCAATTTCTTCCAAATAATATTATTTCATTGACTCGTTGCTAATCACACAGTGAGAGGTGAAATAATATTATTGATAATAACTTTTGTGCCAAATACAAACATTTTGTAATGAACCTTTTTGTGACAACAGCGGTTTGTAACAAGATCTAAACACAAAACTACATTATAATTGATAAATCACTTTAAACATAGAAATTATACTAAACTTGTACTGTTATCATTCTTTTCATCAAATGTTTGATATAATTACTTTTTTCTTCTGTGTGATTTCGGGCTAAATTGATAATCTAGGAAATTCGGTTCAAGTGGATATGAGAATATTACAAAAGTTTAGTACTTGAGAAAAATCTTTTGGACTATGGAGTAAAGCTTCAAGACATTAATAATATGAGCATTATCTCTTTATATAAATACATTCAAATATTCCTTTTGGTGAGCTTTGACAATTAGTAGTTTCGAATATTATCATTGATACAAATTATACACTATGAAGAATTTCATTAATATATCTCGTTTATTTAACAAAGCAAATCAGAAACCTACTCAGTCATCAGCCGTTCAAAGATCTGCTGAACATCTTGGTAACTCATCTAAAGCAGAAAGTCAAAATGCTGTTAAATCAAATCTTAAAGCTCATAAAAATACATTAAACCGTACAGTTGTTAACAGTGAAAGGGATCATCAAAGTGGTATTGATTCTCTTAATGTCAGTTATACTAATATTCATGACACAGAAGTCCAAGCATATCAAAAGAAGTTTTGGTTAGAAGCTATGTATTCAATGGTTTAATTGCAACGAGGGGTGTTTGACAAAAAAGGTTTATTATGTTGAAAAGGGAAAACAGTTGAAGGTTTTGAGATCTTCATAGATTTTGTGAACCCTGAACAGTGTGTGTAAAGCTACAATCCTAGGGAAGCATTAATGAAACAAAATGATTCATCTTGGAGGATAATATTGATCAATAAATTTTTGGTCAAGATTACTTTATTGAGGGGTTTAAATAACCATCTGTCTTTCCATATTAATCAGTGAACTTATCATGAGCCTCCACCTTGACATTATAATCACACAAGATCTGTTTATAACTATCAGAAATGAATTGAATAAAGTTAGTATATATATATTTTCAGTCTTCCATTTAAAAAGATTTTCGTAAAACATTTCATAGATGATAAAATTGCAGTATCAATTGGATAATTTTGATGCAACATATTCATATTCACCAAATGGACAGTTAAATTTATAAACAAGCTCGGTGTTTCAATGAATACATCATGACACATACATCTCAATCATTCAAAAAATCAGTCATTCTCTCATATCCTATTAAATGTTTCAGTATCAATACTAAAGTCTAAGAGCTGGAAAATTGTTTTTTAGTGTAGTTTATAAAAAAATCGGTATATGTCTGCCACTCACACGTGTCACTAAAAGTCATCAGAATACTTTATTGTTTATATAAATACAAAACTTAAGTGGATATCCTATATCAAACTAAATTATAGTAATGCTTGAGACCCTATCATTATTCTGATCATATTTTTAAACCCATAGATCGCAAAAAAAAATTGAATATTTTTAGATTTCTCAATTTTAAATTGAATAAATAAAATAGTTAACATAGAAAATTTTGAAATCAAAATTTTTTGAATTTCAAATCCAATTTAGATGACAAAATAACCTCATAGGTAGACTTTCCCAATATATTGAATTTGATATTATTAGATAAAAAGTCATTAATAGAATGTTTAAATGCTATAAAATTAAAATTAAGCCGGAAGCTCATATGCTGCCCTAACCAATAACAGCAAAACACGCTTTATGCCAAAATTTCGAAAT